GTTTTAAACTATATTATAGCTTTATTACATTTATGCTTTCTTGCCCTTACTAATATATCACGCAGGCTATATTTCTTATTCATGCTGTAAATTTTAGCTCAAGCAGAAATTACATGTCAAAATAACAGTATCAAATAGATGTATAATAGTTTATTTTAAATCAATCTAATAGTTTGCCGGTTAGCTGAGTGTTATTGAACTACAGACTGTGATTATAAACATTTTAATATTTATACTTTCTTCAGCCATTTCTTGTAAATATTTTGAAGTAGTGCTTCCTTTTTTTGTCACCCAAGGAATCCAGTGTATTTCTTTATTTATGTTTTATATTTTGTGTTTGTATTTTGTTAGTGAAATTCTTTGGTTCTAGTTTTGGTAATAACCTTTGATTTGATAAATAATGTGTTTTAGTTTACTAATCTCTATAACATAAATATGTGTAGCATAAATTAATCTTAATTAGCATAGAATGTAATAAAGCATTAAAGGGCCAATCTCGATTATATTTTGGAGATTAAAACTGCTTAATTTTGTGTTAAAAGCCCTTAAATTCCTCCACCTTACTTGATACGTCTTCAAACGGCTTAAACCTGTCAGTATTCATCTGGAAATGGAAACGGGTGTCCCAAGCCGTATTATGTGGTGTCTGGATAAAACCAGACCTTTATTTTATAAAAATAATGTGTACCAGTAGGTGAAATTTACCTTTCGTTATCAAGTACGGCATGTGGATCGGCAATAGATTAAAGGTCACCGGAAAAGCTTCAATATTTTTTTTTTTAATAATACAAGTAATTATGACAATATGTCCTTTCCATAAGTATTACATAATCCTGAATGTCAATATTATCTGTAAAAGTAAAATTTCAGTGTTAATAATTTCCAACATTCTTCTGTCAATAAACAATCCGTGACGTCATTTTAGTACTTCTGCTCATAGAAATATAGACTAGAATATGAGCAGAAGGACTAAAATGACTTCACGATTGAGTATTGCCGGAAAGTTACGATTACTCACGGAGATGGGTGGAAATCTACCTGTTGAAATTTATCTGTGGCAGGTAATATTGACATTCGGGTTCTTGTTATACTTATGGAAAGGATATGTTGACATAAATACTTGCATTATTTTAAAAAATTATGAAGCTTTTCCGGTGACCTTTAAATTTCATACTACAGACTTTTATTTCTGAGACTGTTAAAATCGGGATGGTCCCTTTAAGCTACCTTCCATGAAAAACAAAATAATTATGATTGTTTGAAATATATAAATATCCCTGGTTATTATAAAGTTTATTTCATATTTATAATTTCCATTGTGTTATTTCCTATAGCAAACAAACAAAATTTCTCTTTTGTAGATATAGATGTATATAAGATACCAAGAAATATATTTGAATACAACTCTGTTATCCACAAACTTTTATTTCTTTTCTTACTGTCATATTTTGTCCTGTACAATATCCTCTTCTTTATGTATATATGTATTATAAAATGTATATATTATACTTTATATTTCATCATAATTATATACTAAGGGAATTATGCAATATATATTAGTATCTATTAGGATTATATTGATTGATAGAAAGTAAGATTTGGGTGTGGTGATTGTTAATGAGAATGTTAAATCCATTATAATGATTAATTAAGAAATATAATGTGTGTAGTAACCAGTGAATAATAACCATTACTATAGTTAAATATTCTTGTTTTCTACTTTAAAATCTCATTAATTAAAGATACATTATGGGAGATAAGATAAAGAGATGGCAGTTCTCGCTATAATAGTTAAAAACTAGATAGTGTAAAGGTAATTTGCTGAAAATTTCAGTCAAATTGATCCACTATGAGCCGAGAACGAAGCGGGTGAAATTTTCGCATAGTCTCGGTCATCATTACTAAAATCATTAATATAAACAGCATAGTCTCGATTATCCACTGTTTTGATTTAATTATCAATGGCCGTTAAGCGGCATATAGGAATCTAATCCAGCCAACATCGAAGGCTAGCCTTGACATCGGGAGTTTATTATGGTCTGGATAAGTTAATTAATGTCTAATTGATAATTTAGATAACATTTCAGGCCTAAAGAAAGACTTGTAATAAGCAGATTTTGCTCTTGCATAATGCATGTTTAATATCAATTAATTTATTCAGGAAAAGGGCCATTATCTGTCTCAAATTTTAAACGTACAGATATCTGCCCTTAAGGTGTTAATAAATCATAGCTCAAGATAAGAATCTTACCATGGCCAAGTCCAGGGTATACTAGTCCCCATAGCATGAACTGATATGTGGTTTAACGTACGGAATATTTAGCAGTAGGCTGAGAAGGCAGAGGATCTGGAGAAAACCCACGCAGGAATTTAAACACGCCACCAGACTCAATGACAGAAATGGGGTATAACGTCCTACTTTCCTGCACCGACTGGGGTGATGAAGATGGACATTCGCCATGTAGTGTACTATGAAGGATATCTTGCCCGCACAGTAGTGCTACGGCCTACTCTTATTTAGAATTCCAACTGTCAATGGGGTATACAAGACCTTGGTTTTTCGTACCATCCAAATAACTAGGTACTCCGTTAGTTCTGCACCACTGACAAGAGAAAACCATACTGAAAAATCCCAGGGAACTTCCTCTGACAACATTGGGCCCGAACCCCGTACCTCCTGGGGGATCACGGTGGTTGAGTGGGTAAGGCGCTGGCTCGCTAGCCTGGAGGATGGGTGTTCGATCCCTGCATTGGCCGAGAAAGTTCATCCAGATTTTCCGGCGTGGTTCCCCCTTGTCAGTGATGCAGGACGGAGGGCCTGACAAGGACAGCTGTCTAGTCATTCGGATGATACGAAAAACTGAGGTCCCGTGTACACATTGGCGTGCACGTAAAAGATCCCTTGACAGTTGGAATTTGATATAAGAGTAGGCCGTAGTGCCGCTGTCCGGGCAAAATTTCCCTCATAGCACACTGTATGGCGTATGCCCGTCTTCATTAGCCCAGTTCGGAGCAAAACAGTAGGACGTTAAACCCCATTTCATTTCCGTACCTCTTGGTTATGAGAACGCATAGTAGCTTAAAAAAAGAGATATACTGATGTTTTTGTTTTTAACTACGATTGTATGTCTATAGTTTCACCTGGCAAACTTAATTTCTTTATTAATGCATGTAAAATCTTAAGAAATAAGTTAATATTATTAGGACTAATTAAATATACCCAGCCAAAAATAGTTAAATAACTTTCCACCTATAAAGGTTTTCCTACTTTTCGCGTATTTTGAATTTGATTGTTACATGACATATATTTAGCCCCGCCTTCATGACGTTACCAGATGTCAGTAAAGCCAGTAATTATCGCTTCGATTTAAAAGAGATGGTTTGTACCCGTGTCAGGTTGGATTATATGCTTAATTGTAGTTGGATGTGGCAGAAATGTAATAAATAACAATAATAATCAATCGTTGTTTTGAAGAAAAAATTGAGTTTTGCTTTTTGAATCCCGATCTCATTGCATCAGGAGGGTGGAGAGATCAGGTTTCTTATCTATTATAAACCTGTAATGGTAAATCTTTTTGATATTTTGGGGTGTTGGATGGCCGAATGGTTAGCACGTGCGTGCTGTATCATACGGCATGTCATTGAGTCAACTGGCGTGGTTTCGAAACCCCGGTTGTACGTAACAAGGAGTAGGGTCACCTGTCCAACCTCGTGGGTTTTCTCCGGTTTCCTCCCACTGCTAAAGACCCCTACGCGCAAGCGAATTATAGAAATAAAACTAAACCATGTTATTTTGTTTTTCGGGACCCAGACTGAAGACGAATTGATGGACACAGAATGGAGGATGGTTAATGGCGGATGCAGACAAGGCAGCTGCGGAGAAGGTGCACCATATAGGTGGTTATCTGTGGGGACGATTTTGGTCGAAATAAGAGTAAAGCTTTTATGAATGTTTTACTTGAAGGTGATCATGGACTGCAACCCAGCGACTCTTTTTTGTCTTGGATCGGCTGAACACTCCAGTTCAATGGGGATGAAGTTAATTTCGTTTCCATTCAAGATATTTTAATAATTAGTACATCTGCAATGATAAAATATCTTGAATGAAAACGAAATTCTTGCTTCAGAACCCTTCCTAGCGGCACTACAGATAAAAGGATACAAATTTGTGGACACAGAATGGAGGATGCAGAATGGCGGAAACAGATAGGCGGATGCAGCCAAGGCAGTGGCTGGGGAGGTGCACTAGATAAGTAGTGATTTGTGCGGACGATTTTGATCAAAAGGAGAGTACAACTTTGATGGATGTAACATATGAAACAACAGATAGTCCATCATCACGGCCGTCTTCATTATATTAGCCTTATTGGTACAGAAAAGTAGGACGTTAAGCGTCGTTTTATAATCAACTCCACGGCAACGAAAACATCGTTGGCGTTATTTAAGAAACATTTGAAAACGCACATATTCTTAGAGGCTTTTCCTGGGCATTACATCATTTTAATTTAAAGTAGGGTAATGCTAGGTTGTGCATTAATGAGTTTTAATTTGGTTTGAATGTTCACACGTATGCCTTATTTGTATTTTGCTTTATTTATTCTATTTGTATATTCAGTTTCTGCGGTATATTTCTTTTGTAAGGCGCGCGTGAGGACCGAGTCGTGGAAGTTGTACGCCATAAAAATGTACAATGATGATGATGATAATAATAATAATAGTGGCGTAAATTATATTTGACCAGACACGCCTCAACAATTGACGTAATGGAAATGAAGCTATATTCTTTATATAAAATCATTAAGATTGCTTGAAATGGTTCTGTGGAAAATACTTATAGGATCATAACAATTTCCAACTGATTAAATCAATACTTATAAATATATGCGCAATCTGTGGAATTAGTTAAATTTCTAACAATAAAACAAAATGCAGACTGAACGAAATGTAACAACAGCTGGCGTAGCTTTATTCTCTGTATAATTACATCTGTGTACAGTAACCGTTATAATTAGTACAGTTTAAAGTTTATTGGAATGGCGAATTCGACACATTTAAAGATCACCAGTTTCTGAAGTGAAAAACTATGGGCAATGCAATCAGATGGAAGAGAAAAATAACATTGCCAGTAGTTTTCATTTCGATCTATGGTGCCATTTACTTATCTGTTGCCTGGAGATATACATCAACAGTATTTCATCCTCGAACAGAGTTTTCTTACAACAATGAAACTGCTTGCCCAGGAGTTCTATCTCATATGATGCGAGGATACTGGAAACCATATCCAGCACTTTTACAACGTGAACTACTTCAGATTTTACAAGAAAAATTTCTGATTAGTTACAGGTTAAACAGAGGAATACCCAGAAATTTGTCCCGATCCGATGGTAAATGCGGTAATATAACATTTTCTAATACTAAATTTGGTGTATACCGGGCTTTATGTGATCCGTCGGGGCCCACTCCGTGCTGTTATGAAGGTTATTGCGTTTCTAAATCGGTTCAAGACTGTAAATGTGAGGATTGCTTTGATGTAAGACAGCGTATTCAAGCGGAGTCTTCTATCTGGATCCCTTCAGATCATCGGTGTCATGTTGAAGATTTTGATTCCGAAACCGCGTGTGATATATTGAAGGATTCTACTATATTTTTCAGTGGAAACTCACTTCTCAGACAGATCTTCATGGCTTTAACAATGATATTGAGAGGTGATCTACGACACGCACTTCAAGAACCACAGAAAGGTATATATATTCTTCTTCTTGTAAATATGGTTTATCCTGGCATGTATGTTTACAGAGAGAGAAGGGGGGGGGGGATTTGAAAGACGCTGATCTCATAGCTTCAATGGGAAAATGAATATAAACCGTACTAATTTAATTGAGCATGATTCTTAGTAATAATATCCCTTCCCGAGTACTTTACCTGTTTTCTCATCTCTATAGTAACTAGAATGAGTGAATTTTTAACAGTCACATTTCATGGATTAAAAGTTTACGACATTAATTGTATAATTTTTGTGAGATGTACTGTGCACACTGGAGCGTATGCTCATTTCGTCGGAAATATTCCAATAAGTCCATATTATTGACAGATCTATCCGTTTTTGTTATGTTTATATTTTGAATGTAGGATGTCCTAATAACTTGATATTAATATTTTATATATTTCAGTTGTAGAAATGTGTGATGGTTTAGACAATATGGTGGGTCCCTGTCAATTTGAAATGGAGAAGAAACCCGATGTATGTAATGGTCGTGTCAATATAACGTTTGTATATAAACCACACGCTAGAAATATTCAAGAGCCATTTCGCGCTATAGACGAATTAAAACATAAACCTAAAACAATGATATTTCTGGGCGTAGGTCTACATGATCACTATAATTATGAAAAGGTTTATTTTAAATATTGTCGTCGGATATTGAAACATTTCAGAGCACAAAATGCCATTTGGCCAAAATTTCTATGGGCAAGTACCCATGCTACTGGACTTTTAAAAAGTCCGCATATGCCATCTCAATCATATAAATCCGGGCGATATTTTAATGAATGGTTAAAGCCCCGTTTAGACAAAGAAGGAGTGACTATATTTGATACCTTTAATATGACTGATGGTGTAGTCAGCCCTGATGGTTGTCATCATGGTTTGACTGTGAATATGTTGAAGGCCAGATTTTTTCTACATTACATAGCTGAACTACAGAGGAAAGGAGAATGGTGAAATCTAAGAATGTATAGGCTGGATATTAATGTGCTAAAAATATGTTTTAGGGAGTATGGGTTTCTACCAAACCAAGGATATGAGGTCAAAACCAGCCAAACCACAAACTGAACCTTAGTGTCACAACCATGTCCTGCGATAAAGTAGAATATGTGCCAAGTTGATATTTGAACTACATATATGGACAATTGATTATAAATGTAAGCATTATTCCTGCCAGTTCTGTTTAAAATACTATGCTTTTGTTTGAGGTAGATAACTGAGATTGTAACATGGATGGGAAATCTTTCTTTGTTCTTTTCGTTGAAAAAGCAGATTGTTTTCCCTCTAGTAGATTGGGTGGAGCTTAACCGTGCAATTACTAGACATGTTCAATGTTATTGCACACTTTTGCTGGTTTACACTAGTTTTAGTAGAAATCATATTGAGAAGTGGGGTGGGTTTTCTGTGCAATAACAATAAGCATGTTGAGCAGTTGTCAATGTTACAAGTCATTCATAGCGCGCTTCATTCATTAACAAGTTTAACCCCTCGGCCTTTGGCCTCTGGTTAAACCTGTTAACGAATGAAAACCATGCTATAAATATAACTTAGCTTAAATCTGGGAATACAAAAAGTACTAGTATATATGAATGAAGATCTGTTTATCCTCCCCTTTTCTGTGCACTCATGTAACAAAGTACTCTATAACTTTTATCAAATTAAACTTGTTGACCTCCAGCTGCTTTGATAATATATATAATATTGACCTTTTAATTCTGTATGCACTGTTCTTAAGTCACGTTTGTCTGTGTCATTTACGGGCTGCACATGATCTGTGTGCAACACTCGGCAGGACTTCAAAGGAATATGCACTGGTCAGTAAGCATGCCATGATGAGATAAAAGAGACAATTGCATGTATGACCATGTGTCTTATCTATTCTTTGGCGCTATATAATGTGGAGTTCACTGACTAACTACAGACGAGGCGGAGAAGAGGGGCTTGGACAAGTGCATGGACTCACCCGAGTTCAACTGCTGCCCTGGCAGAGGGGCGGAATGGTAGAGTTAATATAGTTATGTACCGTCCTGATGAGTTCCTGTATATAGTTTAAGTACCTGTATTGCTGTTGTAATTATGTAGATGTGTTATATTCTGTTCCAATGTAAATAAACCATATATTTACGAAACTGATCTCTGTTATCACTAAGATAGTGTTACACTCAACACAAACTATGTCATTTGCATCTAACATATTTTACTTCAATAATTTGCTGGTGCGTTAGCAGTGGGCCAAGTAAAAGGACCCGGAGAAAACTAAGCCGCTTGATTCAATGACAAACCTTATGATATAGAGCGGACACCTTTAACCATTCAGCCACCCAACCACCTAAATCAATTCCAGAAAATACTTATTCTCAATTGAAATTGTTATAAATATAATTAACATCAAATATGTAATAACAATGAAAAGTCTGAAAGCTTTTATTTTACATATTATCACAGAGGTAAGATTTTCAATCACCTGAAACATTTTTTTAAAAAATGAAATAAAAGTCTGATAAAAATCACTAAGTACTTTATCAACTACAAGTTTCACTTCATTCTCATTCATCCATCTTACAATTCCACGGAATACATATTTTACCGTCTTGCATCATAGAATAATAATGTGATATATTCAATCTGGTGTCAGTCAATAAAAGTCCTAATTTCCAGTATTCTGTAACTAGTCGTTCACAACAGGTTATCATCTGTTCACATGTTATATTCTCATCTTTACTGATTTCTTTTAACTCTAAATGTTGTTTACATTCTTCAATGGCCTTTTCTTCATATAATCTATAGCTGAAAAAAGCAAAAGCTTTCATTAAATTATTGCAAACAAAGAGTTTATTATGAGAAAATAAAATAAACAAGCTGGTAAATAAAATTGGTATTTTTTTGGTGATTAATATGTAGTTATCCCCTAAAATAACATAAAATGTCATATCTTATTAACAAAACTTACAGTGCTGCCTTTTAGAGTACTCAATCCCCTTAGCAACTAGCCAGATTAAAGATCAAACTTGCAAATATACCTCACCGTTGTGATTAGCTCTCTTCTTAGTTATACCCCCTTATGTTATATTTAATCTTGGACATATAATTTACCAGTCAAAAAATTAATGAACCTTGTACCTTTCTTACCTCATATTCTGTTTAAGTGTATAACTACCCTGTTCTTTATTTTTAGCTATAAATTCTACTATAAGCGAGCCAGGAACAGATGCTGGTAACAAGAACTGTCCTGTATTAGACAACGCCAACGGACCAGATTCTCTGTAACAATAATACACACTACAATTAATGTTTTTGTATAAATTTATTATTATTACAAATGTTGCAAATTGACAATATTCTTGGCAAAGGCTGCTAAAAATTCTTTAATAAGGATAAATAACAGTACTAGTCAATTTACATTGATTTTTATAAAAAAAATATTTTCAATCAAATACAATCAAAATCCAACTTTTATAGGCCGATCAGATTTCAGACGCTTATTTTCAAACGGTTATGGGTTTTTAGGACAAGTTAGTCTTGCGTTCACATGTACTATATGCCACATTAGTTTAACTTCATCGGATAAAGGTTAGAGTTAATTACGCATGGGCACAGTCGACGTTATACATGTAAACCAACTTTATCAAACGGCCAAGATGAACCAGATTTTCAGAAATGCCTTTTCGAAGACAGGTAGAGAATTGGGCTTTTTAAACTAGTTTATATGACTACCTTTAACAATCGCTGTTTTTTTAAAACTAGTTTAAAGATAGGTTGCCAGGCAACGAAACATACGCCCACAGCAGCTACATCGTCCAGGCAGTCAACAAGAGATGTCGCATATTTTTACTTTTTTCGGTAATGAAACATTTATAATACATTAAAATCTGATTAAGAGTAACAACTTATTAAGTAATTATCAGAAAATCATTAGACTTTGTTTGGTTTTTATAAAGTTCTGCCCCATGCTAACGTTTAGTATAAGAAACTTTTAACATTATGGATTTAGCTGTTCAAGTCATAAAGATTCAATGAAAATCAATATACATGTACTTGTTTGTCTCAAGATCTTAAACTCTGTGTATCAATCTGAAGTCAATCGGATGATAACTTTAGCCTCTAGAGCGTCACAAGATTTTTCAAAGTGATCAAGGGTCATAACTCTGGCAGTAATTATCCGAAATCGTTGAAAATCAATATGATTCTTCATCTCATGGCCTCAAACACTGTGTATAAATTTAAAGTCAATCGGATATTAACTTTAGTCTCTAGAGCGTCCACAAGATTTTTCAAAATGATCAAGGGCCATAACTCTGGCAGTAATTATCGGAAATCGCTGAAAATCAATAGGCTTCTTCGTCTCATGACCTTAAACACTGTGTATAAATTTAAAGTCAATCAGATATTAACTTTAGCCTCTAGAGCATCCACAAGCAATTGTGGACGCCGGCCGGACCGACCGAACACCGACGGACAGACAGGGGCAACAACAATATACGACCACATTTCAATGTGGGCGTATAAAAATGTGAGCATCTGAACAGGCTATTAGTTTGGGTTAATTGTACTAGCTTTTATTAGTGGAAGACTTGTTGGTAGTGAAATAATCTGGGCATTGGACCATTGATTTGAAATGTTTAATAACTGAACGCGAATAACACATGACACAATCAATGAATTATATGGAATACAAGTTGCATAAAAGATTTATTTCTGGCGACAGTTCGAAGAGGGTTCTCTCGTCTTTATCTTTGCTTGATAGACAAGAGAAGCCTTGTCAAAACACCGCCAGAAATAAATCTTTGAAGTAACTTGTTTTCCATATAATCGTGGCATGTGTTATTGATTTGAATGTTTTGGTTTCAAGGATGAAAGGAGAACTTTTAAGATTGTTTTCAGCCCTGTTCAATTAAGAAGTGACAAATTATCCAACCATGTACACATTAAACATTTTTTCCTTCCTTAAATGGCAGACATTTTCTAAATGAGAACAGAAACAATAAAGCTTACCCTTCTACTACAATCTGTACATCAGATAAACTTTCATCGCCTAACCACTTCTCACTTAAAACCTGACTTCTTCTTAAAGTATTCAGTAATTTATTTAATAACACTTCATATTCATCCGCCATTGTAATATGGTGATAATGTTTTCGTCGCACTACTTGAATATTATTTAAGAGTTCAGAAAGTTTTTTTTCCATATAAGGCAACCGTTCTAAAACAGCATCGTAGGCACTTACTGAACGCAGAATCTAAAGAAAAAAATATATATTTTTTAAAATTATCATCTAAATATGATTGTAACTGGTAAGAATTGTGTAAGAGAATGACTCTGCAGCCAACTTTGAATCTCTAAAAGGAATATCAGCCCAAAAATGGTTTAATTTTATTCAGTATTCATCAAGATGTGATGAATATTGAAAATTTGGCCACATTCGGCATATTCTGCAGACGATATAAATGGGATATGGTCAACCAGCGGCTGCCTGGCAGGATACGCCTACATTTTGCAAGAGATGGATAGAGAACAAGATAAAAAAAAGAGATTTTTCGTACCATCAAGGGACATAATTCAGGAAGTTATGATCTGATATGCGCAAATATCAAAAGGAACCATGATCTTAGGGTTATAAAGATATATTTCAAGTTTTATAAACATCGGATCAAAATTGTGTCCCCTAGAGGGTCCACAACCTTAATATACCATATATTTACACTATTGTGTACGTGTAGCGGCCATTTTGTCCGGCAGTTTTGGTCCGATTTTCACAAACTTCAGCATCATTACAGTGTTATGGTGATATATTCGAACATTTTTTTTAAATCAGATAATAATTATGACCTCTAGAGGGACCACAAGCTAAAAAACGTGATTTTTTGTACAATCAGGGGCCATAATTCAGGAATATGCACAATATCGAAATGAACCAAGATCTTTGGGTAATAAACATGCATTTCAAGTTTCATCAAAATCTGTTAATCCAATGAAAATTGTGACCTCCAGAGTGTCCACAAGCTAAAAACGTGATTTTTTGTATAATCAGGGGCCATAATCTATTAAGTTTCGATCCGATATATGCCAATATCTTTCGGAGACAAACCTATATTTCAAGAGTTGTCAAAATCGGATAAGAATTGTGACCTGTAGAGTGTCCACAAATAAATTGTGGACGGACAGACAGAGGTCGACAACAACATACATCCACATGAAAATGTGGGCGTATAAAAAGGATTTCAATTTATTCAAAACAGTCAAATTTAAACCTACATACTTTTATCCAATCAGCTCTGACATCTTCTCCACTTAAGACTACATCACCATGGAGACTAACACCAGAATTATTACCAAAAACTAATGTTCTTCCTGTAAATACAGTTTATATTATAGTTAAATATACAGTAAACTTCGCATAAGTCGGATCTAAGTGGACTGACCAATTTTATCCGAGCTAAACGAAGATCAATCTTAGCTCGAAGGCAAAAAATGTTCTCAAACTAGTAAACATTTAATCTTTCGAAACAAAACTGTAAAGGTATAGGGCTTGCACCATCACTTATCGATATAAAACATCATATTAACCCAAGTTAATGTACTTCAGCTTATCCTTGAGTTAGACACACATACTGGACAGACAGACTAGTGAGGATTGACCACAAGTATTTCTATATTCCATGAGTTTTTAATGGGGTTTAAATTGAATAACCCATCAAGTGCTGCCAACCAATGAACCTAGCAATAAAGCACCTGCCATACACACTGTCAGGCACAATTCAGACTCAATCACTTGGTGTCTGTAATTTTATCCAGAACAGATTTGTCTTTTTTTTCTGATTTAAGATACAATGGGTCAATTCAAATCCCGGGTTAGGCTTGTATTAAGGTTGCTTTTTTTGTGGTGTATAACTGGTGTTCTTTTTAGTGCCTTAAACGGAGTCTCTCGATTTAGCACTAGTGTTTATATCAGTGTCTAAACTAGTTTAATACCAGTGTTAACACTGGTGGAAAATAAAGGAGAAATATAACACTAGGCTAGTGTTACATGTATTTTTAAATGTTACATTTTCGTTTTTGTGTCTTGTTCTAACGCATGAGCTGGCCAACTAAAACAAAACACCGAAAGAAAGATAATGGGGAAACTAACCACTTCCCGAAAGTTAAGTAACTAGCATCTATGTTGAATTTTTGTTGTGTCATTCAAACTTTATTCAGTCGAAATTTCCAATCTGAAATTTTTCGTAAATCAGCAGGTCTGCGATAAACATTTCTTTAAGCTTTGGCCATAAATGGGTAAAAAAAAACATTTTAAGCCTTAAAACTAAATCTAAAAGCCCTAAAAGAAATTCCCCTTTTGTCCTCTGCTGTTTTACACCAGTGTATATGTTATAAGAAATGACTTGAACTGAGATTTTATTTAACACCTAGGGGTTAGTGTTAAGAGTTATTTTTAACAAGATGATAAATTTAACTGGTGTTATACATTACACCACCTTAACCCCGGACATGAATGGACCTATTGAATGGAAAGTAGTCAGCAGCACCACCATTTTCACCATGAAAGGCGAACAGTCTCAGTACTAAAATAGTAAAATTCATACCTTTTAAAGTTTCTTTAACTTGGGTAGGATGTTCTTTATATAACAAATAAAATCCCTTTAAACAGCCTCTGAAGTGGGAAAATCCCCAAAAACTTTCCCACCGAATATCTTTTAATTCCAGATGATCAATAAGCTGACAACGTAATTTATTAATATCATCTTGTACAGCAGTAGTCGATTCTTCTAATGTACGAATATTGTCAATATTCTTCCGCAACCATGATCTGTCAAATAAACAAAAAAGTGAAAAATTTAGCAGCTGGATATTAAATTAAACACACCTAAACATTTGCAAAGTTGTTGATTTAAATCACAGATAAACTATACATCAAGACGCAATGAAAACACACCACTGTCATACCCAATATGCAATGTAGCCATTTGGGGAGATAAGCCTCTGAATGGCTGCTTGTGAGATCCTATTCCACTCTTGTTGAAATACTGCTTCCAATGGTTCTGGTACTCATGCCCTCTTCAATTAACACAATGGCTGTTCTCAGTGTGCAGATGTCAACGATGACATATCGTTGCATCTTCCACAGAACTGTATACAAGTTGTACTGACCCCAGCTTTTTACAAGGGACATTTTATACCCCATGTTTGCACCATACAATAATGATTTTCAACATTCCGTTTCAATTTTTTGCATTTGAGAGAATTGATCTGTGTACTGTTGAGTTTACTCAAACATGAAAACACAATTCTCATGTGCCATCATTGTGAACTTATATTCAGAATTGCAAGATCAAAGTGTATCCATAAAACAAAATTTATAATCATCTTAATGAAGCATTTTTCAAAGATAGGTTGCCAGGCAACAAAACATACACCCACAGCAGCTAAGTCGTCCGAGCAGTCAACAAGAGTTGTCACATATTTTTTCTATTGTCGGTAATGAAACATTTATATAATCAACTAAAATCTGATTAAGAGTAACAACTCATTAACTCGTTAAGCGTGAGATTTTTAAAACATTAACTACCCCCTATTGTGTAATTAATTTGATGAAGTGTCGAAGAACTATGTACTATGTTCTAAGAATAGGTTGGGGAAAATACCTCCAAGCGTTATATTATGCCCTACACACAATGAGTGGCAGTTGTCCAAGACGTAATATAACGTCCTACACATGCTGCGATCGTGGGGAATTCCCAAGAGATTCCCCCAAGTGACGAACTATGTTCTAAGAATAGGTTGGGGAAAATACCTCCAAGGCGTTATATTTCAATGCGGGTGTATAAAAACCAACTACGGTGTCAGATCTTTTGCAGTCGGTGCTCCGAAGTTAAGGAATTCAATATCAAACGAAACCAAAAGCGCAAATTCTATTAAAGGTTTTGAAAAGTATCTCAAAACCGAACTTTTTAATCAAATATACAACTGATTTAATAGGGCTTAGCTGGGTTTGTGTCAGACTTTCACCACGTGTACTAAATAATGTTCCCTGTTTTTTGTTTATGTCTTTTTTATGGATTAATGTGTTAAGTTTATATTATTTATACTTATGTAAAGTGCCCAAGAGCAGCTCACAGAGTTTAATTGCCGACACTATATAAATTAATTATTATTATTACATGTATTATTATTATTATTATTATTATCTGTTTACAAAGCAGTGCATTGTCATTGAATCTCAGGTTTTGTACATAAATACAAAAGGTTAGAAATTAACCTCAGCAACGTGTTATTCAAATTATATGCTAAAGACCGATGGAGTTTACAAATCCAATATAAAATTTTAATATAAAACAAATAGAAGATCTTTGCTGTAATGAAACAAAAATAAAAATTACTGTATGTATGTAAACTGGTATCTGTGTAAATGTCTTACCTTAAAGTAACCTCTATGGTGGGTTGAGAGAATGCCTCACCAGGTGGAGGCTTCTTCCCAGTAGCAGCATAAAAAGATGGATGCCATTTAATTGGTCGTGAAAACTCGTTAGAATCACCTTGTGAAGAATCTTTAGGTATGGTATTAATATAACTTAAAGGTAAATCACATCTCTCCAATACAGTAATGACAGTATTCCGTACACTTTTACCCATTAAATTAAAATCCACTCGTTTTAATTCTGAAATAAAATAACATAAGACTTAATGAGTATACATAATTATATGATGAGAACTATATGCCTGAAACGGTGGCCTTAAACCATGTTTTATCTCCCTCAATAATTTCTAGTTAAATTAAAAGAGGTAAGCTTATATAAAAGACAAAGTGAAAAATACACTCTGGAATTAAAATTAAGATATGTTTTGTGACATATCAAACTGAAAGAAATACCTTTTTCTAGAAATACATACATGTATATCCTTTATATGATTCTATCTTTGGAAGTGTTTTCAGTGGATAGGCCTACTAAACAAAAATGTTATATTTCTAGTAGACTTAACTGCAAATCTAAAATAAAAATAACCCCAGTAATTCCATATCAAGAAAGACTTATCCTAACTAGCTTTTCTCCTATTGATAAGACTTTTTTCGATATTCACTAAACAAATTAAATAGATAATACCTTTAGAGTTTGTATACCGAGATCTAATATAAAATGTAACTTGAGCTGGTTTAGTTTTAACAACTTTTTGTTGACATGTTATATATTCATGTAATATCTTTAAAGACTCTTGATTCACAGCCTACAATACATAATCACTAAATTATACATCTATCATAAAAATAAATTATATATGTTTAACCCAGAAAATTTGATACTGCTTTAATGGGCGTCCTCGCTAGAGATAAAGGGACATAATTTATAGGCGAGGTGGTACCACGTGACCTCATTGTTTACCTTATGTTATAGCACAGTTTTCCTGTACATTCATTACGAACTTGTGTGTAGACAAACGTTAGTTTTTGTTGTTAATATGGAATTTAATACCGATACAGTTCTCTTACCATCGATAAGGTCACATGGAACCGAGTTTTTACTAGCGACACCTGGTGAGAATTCCTTCAGCGAGGACGCCCATTAAGTTAGGGATTAAATTAAAAGTAATCAACCTTCATTCAAACACCCACCAAAAACTATCAATTACTGTCTGATGTTTTTAAAAAGAATTTGGGAATTCCACTTATTGTGTAAAGATAAATATTGTCCAAAGAAACCCCCAGAGAAAGGATATACTAAAAATCTTCCACTATATGGCTCTGAAGGCATATCTACCATTATGTGATTACAATACAAAGTTAAAGAAGAGAGATGATAATATGAAGTTAAAATTACACAACACCTAACAATATTCTTGAAGTAATGGTTAACAGCCTTACTATCGCACTGAACAATGCTACATCAAATTTTAACTATGGTGTACAACTTTCCTTGGTGACTGATCAAAACCAGGAGACAAGAAAAGTAGTTATATAGAATCAAACTAATAATATATAGCAATGGTTAAGGAGCTGGTAATGATCATAACCCTTGCTTCAGGAATATGATCCTGACTAGGAAGTTTGACAAACTTGTTTATGGCAGTAATAAGCATAGTACTTACCTGTTCCTGAGGATATTTGCCAAAGAAATCTGGATGAACACTAAAGTAAAATGGACGAAGAGCTTTAGCTGTTTGCTTGGCACTCAGACATCTTGTTATTAGGTTGACATGATTTTTAATGTTATTTAATTTCTTTAACCCATATTGACTGAAACAGAAGAGCGGAATTCAATTTAAAGGTTTTGAATGAAATCAAATTATAGTGGACCAATCGATATTTTATTGAAATGGTACTTTTTGCACTGTAATTTCACTTACATCTGAGCATTAAAGAGGTTTCCACACTGCAGAGATTTTTTTGGGTTGGTAATTTAGTGATTTGACGTTTTTATACCATCAATTTACGAGTTATACATTGCTTAAAATGTCTTTTAAATTAATTAAATTTTTTATATTATGATGATGTTAAATTATGATGTATATGTTTCTTGGTGAAGAAATAATGCCTCTCTCAACTCTCTAATTTTGTCTAAAGTCAACAAAGTACAGTACTTACTTGACTAGTCTCTACTAACCGTGAGGCACCGGTCACAAATATTTTCGGACACAAATATTTTGAGGTATTATGACAAAACAAGGCTAATTAGAAAGAAATATTGGTGCTTTCACTTTCTGGCCATAAATAATACGGTATTATCTATGATCTGGATGCCACTACACTACTAACTACTGTCTGAACTGTCGTAAATTTTAAAAACAGATTTCTTCGATTATGAACACACTACTCAACTTTGGTTATTATAAACTTACCTGTATATTTCAAATCAACTCCCATCGAATAAAATCCATTGCACAATTAAATATTCCAACGAATAAAAAAGTTTTCTCTTGAAAAATTTGACTATTTACTTGAGTGGACGATAACATGGCTTTGGTCACGTGTTGGGCGAAACCAATGAAGTTGATGCTGGGGTGGTTTAACTTTGACAGATACATGTGTTGCAATCAAAACAAAGCGCGACCCATTGCGATCGTTTGAGTTTGGGCAATGAAAAATATCAAGTTAAGGCAATTACATAGGAGATTTGTATTGAAACCATTGCACGGATACTCGTAAAATAAAGTCATATATAAACTAAAACTTTCCTATCTTCTTTATATTATAAATAATTGAACAAGCAACATGAAGTTCATGTCCGACTTTTCTGAGTGTATTGTCAATTTGATAGCATTCTTTCAATCCAATAATAATCGTTTCAATAACATCTATGTGGCAGCCCTGAAAGTGCCTATTGGGTGCGTTTATAATGCTAAGAAGCCCGTAAGACCTCGTAAGAAGCCCAAAATTACTTCCAGATTCAATAGTTTTGACCTTAGTGTCAATATGAAACTATCCACGGTCTGTATTTCTTGCAATGTCTATGTAGTTTGTCTTGTCCACAGGTTAGGTTTTTTAGCTTTAATTTACATGTAGTGATGTCCTCCTGAACTTACTATTAGAGGAGCTAAACCTTTCCATAACATTTAAAATTAAACACACAAATTATAATTCACAACTGGGTCCACTTTAATCAATATTCATGTTGTTATCTTAAAGTGAAAATATGCAATCCTTCTATCCAACAGTTAAGACAAAATGAACATTAATTTTTATAATCACTACACGCGGTGTGTATTCATATTATTTTGAAATCCATTTCAGTTAATTCCATATCTATTCGAAATATATGTAATTTTAGATACTTTTATTTTTAAAATTTTGAATTGGAAGGGGGCTTTAAAGAAATGAAATTCAAACTCAAATGATATTCAACACTTTAATGGTTTCATTTTCGGAATTTTATCCAGTTCTCAACCAGACGACTGTGTTCTGTACACTCCAGAAACGAAGGAAAAAGTTTTTATACTTCTCATGGTAAAAGATTTGTCATTGTTTTTGTGCTATATGTGAAATTTCTCCCATTCGAGTCTCTAAATCAAATAATCAAAAATATTTCATATGAGTAAGCTATAAACTTTGAAGAGATTTTACTAGAATGTAAAAGACGGTAACAAAGTAAAGGGACACTCAAACTTAATACTGAGCCAGAATCAACTTCCATTTTGGTATACTTGAATTTAAAGTTTGTCGGATTTCAATTTTTCAAGAGAGAACTTTTTTATTAGTTGGGAATTTAAACTGTGCAATGGATTTTAATTAACGGGAGGTGATTTCAAACACACAGGTAAATTTATCAAAACTAAATTAAAGGAGCTAAATTGCTAATATTTGGGACCTAGTGTTGACACAATTTCACAAATGGGTCGCAAGGCATATAATAATGTAATATTATATGAATGTCTATTAACTGATTTATATTCAATTCTTTCCGTTGTTACTCTAATTTCAAATCAGTTATGTTCGGCTCTAATCCACAAGCTAAATATAAACTACCACTGCATTTAACTGGTGTTGACATCTTTATTGCATACTTCAGCGTCCGATCATGTTTTTGTTTACATTGGTTATGTGCGCAGAAAGTGATGCGCACAGCCGGGAGGAATTCCTCCTGGGAAGATGGCTGCCCGCTACCTGTCTCTATATTGAAGTCAGAATAGCAAAGTGACGTAGGAACCAGCCTGACGTTATTTAGAGCAGGTTGTCCAGTCTACGTTTGACATGACTTGTGGAATATCATGTCTAGCCTCGTTCTTTGAGTCCCTTCTTAGAAATGGCGCTGAAACACATTATGGTACACGATTCGTGTACCAATGGTACACGATTCGTGTACCAATGGTAAAATGTTTAATTTGTCATAAATTATTATTATTTATTATATAATTGGATATCAGAAGCCTTTTATCTGTATTATATCTTTTCACGGTAAAATCACTTAACATCAATGTTGATTTAAATTGACAAATAATTCCTGTTTTCAATGTCGAAGAGTTTGGATGATATTGAATTAGAGACTTAGCTACTTTAGGTAGTTTATTCATAATCGAAGAAATCCGTTTAAAATTTACGATGGTTCAGACAGTAGTACGTGAACTTCAGTACTAGTTTGTAACGCAGAATTGAAAATTCGGAAAAAGAAACATGACAGCGTGAAATATATTTTCATATACTTACCTAATGAAAAGCGTCATTATTTATATGACCTACATTGTCAATAGATATAATGATGTCATTGTTTGTTAGATTAGGCTATAAGTTATATTTTCTTTTTGTAAACAAAACCAAAAAACATTTTTGACCTTCGTTTTAACTAGGTGCCTATTCTAATTCTATAGAAAAGAGCGAATTGAAGGGGAGTTACCCTTGTATGATGGACACGTGATCAGACCACAGTAAATAACTCCATCATAGATCGTAGGCTACAGAACTCAATAAATCACAGAACATGCACGAACGGAACAAATGCGTTTTCCTCGTTCAGCTGAAAGCGTGAATGTTTATAATTAACCTCGTTTTGCCATAATACCTCATGTTATGTACTAGGTTAGCCCCTTTCTGTCAATCTGAGAGCCTATCCAACAATAAAATAAAACCAAGTACGAACAATCCAAACCATAAGACAGAATTCGAAGTCCTAAAAAACGTTATCGGCAAAATAGTGTATTCAAGCAAAATAGTGTAATCAGCAAATGGACTGCTCCTCGTGTACAAAATACACGACAAACAGTGGTAACAGGTGTCCGGAAGAGTAAGCTTACCCTGCCTGGCGCCACACCCGCCATAGCTGCATCCAAACTATTAGGCGATTTTCCAGGAAATTGCTCGCTCCAAAAAAGAAATGGTAGCCTATAATTTTTGACGAGCTCGCTATTAAATCGTCTGGGATATCCTTATTTATTTTAATCTTTTGTACTGGAAAAGGTAAAGCCTAAGGGTATTTTTGTTTTCTTAATCAGCTTTATGACATTAAATTGTTGTTTCCCAAGCTCAAATCGGACTCATTTAAAGCCAGTTTTATACACTAATTATGTTGTATAATATACTGTTTAAACGGCATTTAGTACCTGAACATATTAAATTAAATACAACACTTCTATGGAAAATAATAATTGCTGTATTTCGATTGGAGCTACATTTCTGCCATGATTCTCTTGTGTTTTTATATTAATGTTGTCAATTTATTAATTCATAACGGTTTGGGATATTTTGATTGCCTGTCCGAGCAGGCATGGGTTACGCGAAATTAAATCAAGTTTAACGTCTTACTGTTCAGGGAGAGGAAGGGGGAGAGGGAAATGGGGGGGTCACGGTGGCTATGTGGGTAAGGCGCTGGTTCGCTAGCCTGGACGTCGGGTGTTCGATCCCTGCATTGGCCGAGAAAGTTCATCCAGATTTTCCGGCGTGGTCCCCCCTTGTCAGTGACACAGGGCGGATGGTCTGACAAAGACAGCTGTCTAGTCGTTCGGATGGCACGAAAAACCGAGGTCCCATGCACGTAAAAGATCCCGTGACAGCTGGAATTCGATATAAGAGTAGGCAGTAGTGCCGTTGTCCGGGCAAAATTTCAGGGTGAATGTATATTTTCGCGACGATATTTTGAGAAATAGATTGCCGGAAATGCAGCCTGTCAGTAGGCTATTTCAGACACTGGTCGTCGAGATAAACAGAGCTGACCAGATAATGTCTGTCGCCAAATTACTAGCTGGGGCTATTTGCCACATGTGGTAAGACAATCCGGAGATTATTTGCCACATGTGGCAAGTCTCCGTACCGCAATTATCAACCGATTTCAATGAAACTTACAGATAACGATAACATTAATCTCAGAGTAGGCAAAGTTTCGGCCACTTCCGGTTAGCGGTTTCCGAGATATCAGGTTACCACACATTTCATGTGGCACGGCTACAGACCACAATTATCAACCGATTTCCATGAAATTTACAGAATATGATAACATTAATAATATCTCAGAGTAGCCAAAATTTCGACCACTTCCGGTTAGCGTTTTCCGAGATATCAGGTTACCACACATTTCATGTGGCACGGCTACAGAACGCAATTACCAACCGATTTCAATGAAACTTGCAGATTATCTCAGAGTAGGCAAAGTTTCGGCCACTTCCGGTTAGCGGTTTCAGAGATATCAGGTTACCACACATTTCATGAACCGATATCCATGAAACTTACAGAATATGATAACATTAATAATCTCTCAGTTAAGCCAAAATTTCGACCACTTCCGGTTAGCGGGTTCGGAGATATTAGGTTACCACACATTTTATGTGGCACGGCTACAGACCACAATTATCAACCGATTTCATTGAAACTTGCAGATTATAACTACATAAATAATATCTCAGATTAGGTAAAATTTCGACCACTTCCGGTTAGCGGTTTCGGAGATATCAGGTTACCACACATTTAATGTGACACGGCTTCAGACCGCAACTACTAACCGATTTCAATGAAACTTGCAGATTATAATTACATTAATAATATCTCAGAGTGGGCAAAATTTCGACCACTTCCGGTTAGCGGTTTCAGAGATATCAGGTTACCACACGGTTCATGTGGCACGGCTACAGACAACAATTATCAACCGATTTCAATGAAACTAGCTGATTATAATAACATTAATAATATCTCAAAGTAGGCCAAGTTTCGACCACTTCTGGTTAGCGGTTTCAGAGATATATAGCGTCTAACAATTAGGGAAGATGGACAGGAGTGATAATCATAATTGTATGGTATTGTTTATTAGCAAATTATGGTGTCTGTAATTACACTGCATATTTCTTTGGAAGTCATTGTCAGGTCAAGGTATGATGCACTGACCACTAATACATTCTCTTTGAAGTTCTGTCGAATTATACACGGATCACGTGTAGCTTGTAAAAACATATTGAATAAACTAGATGTTTAATAAGATCGTGCCTTAACAGAAGTTTATAGAGAGTTTAAACGTCAACTTCAGGTATAGATCACTTTGTCACATATTTTGAAATTCTTGCTTACCACATGTGGCAAATAGCCACTGCCTTCCGAACAGAGGGGGGAGGTGTCAAACGAACGGAGAAAGTGAATGAATAGGCTTGCCGCGTTGAACCTATACCCCAAAACTTTGACAGTCGTAAAAAGCACTTCTCAGGTAGTTCACGTCTTATTGCACTATCCACACAAGTCTCGCTATCCAGCATAGTGTTAACTGCAAGGGAATACAACTTTGTTTGGGAGATTAGTCTTATTGTTTATAGTAGGTTTACAGCCGGATGCGTCCGGTAAGACATCACTCGGCCTCTACACAACATGACTGAGTTGGAACGTGGGATTTAATCACCGTAGAAGGTATTAATTACCGAAACATATCACAACTATTTCTTTTTTAGTTTTCTAAATTATTGGTGTGTGTGTGGGGGGGGGGGACAGAGGGCAGAGCAAATTTATGGGGGGCGGGGCGCAAATTTGCCCCCCCCCCCCACACACACACTGGTTTTACCAACTTACGTAGGCCTATCTCTAAACATTTCGTGTTATGAGTTGTTGGTTTTTTAAATTAAATTCTTACAAAGATGCGTTATGCAAGAGTTAAATCTGCAAATGGAAGGTTTTTATTTATGTTACTCTTCAAAAAAGGTAGGGGATATTGAAATGCAAATACCTATGCAGATTGTGATATGATAAATAGTCATGGACACTTGACATGCTTTGAGAGTATGTTCACAGATGAAAAACTTATCGCCCCAACAGAACCACTGAGCTGCAAGTGCGACACGCAATAGCGCCATACACGTGGGAGGGGTTCATTGTCAAATTTGACACTTCAAGGAAGGGTTGGTGAAAACTGCCGCGTGCTGGTTTATCCTATCCATGTTTGCTTTCCTATTGGTTCTTGCATAAGATTTACTGTGTAACGTTTAATTTGCAATGAGCTATTGGCATGCTTCAAATGGGTGGTACACAGCGAGCAGTAGCCAACATGCTTCATGTGTCACAGACTGTGGAACCGATACCATCAAACACACAATGTTGATGATAGACCTCGTTCAGGTCGTCCTAGAGCCGCTACAAAAGCCCGGGATCGATACATACTTACACAGGTCCTGCGAAATCGAGGACAAACGGACAATCAGCTTTCTGTAAACTTGTACCAACTTACAGGAATTCGAGTTACACCCCAAATGATTAGAAAGCGGCTACATGCAGCCCATTTGCATGCGCGACGCCATTAACTAGCCAGCAGATGGCAAACAGGCGTCAATTCTCTTTGCGAGTGAAATGGGGCCGTCAGATAAGCCACCCAAATGAACTGTTTATGTTCATGTGTAGCCAATTGGCCTGTTATTAACATACACTGTTTACCTCTAATAAAAACAGCAGTGCATTTCCGAAGTTTTGTATTGTTTCTGAATATCCCCTATATTTTTGAAGAGTATATAAACTATTATTTAGACATTTCACATGACAAGCCCATAATCAACTCTCTAGACCATTAGATGGCCGAGATTTAAATGGATTGAAACACGATCTCCATTTTATAATTCAATTCAAAAATGGATTATCCAGACTTAATCTCGATAGTCAAGTACCGTTGCTATGATATTAAAAAATCTTCCAACCCTGATAACTTAGCTTAGAACAAAGTATACATTTTTAATTATCTATTTTAGAACTATTATAACAAAAACGCTCAGCTTTTTATCTAAATCTTACATAATGCATCTAAAAGTTTATACCGCATGTCAGTACCCGGATATGTAAATTTCTAATAACTAGATATTTTTCCAGTCAATGTTTTTTTTTCCGCCTGTCGTTCGAAAAATATGAAGAGGTATCTTGTACGTGCACGCCTGTTTTCATCTCACCCTACCCACTTTTCATGTCAGTCCATCATGCTTATGGAAATAGGGCTTGGCAATCACTATTTTCCCAATTCTCTCTCAATATACGTGGTTGGATATTTTTACCAGTTTTATAATTCTTGAGTAATAAAACTGGGCCATATAGCAAAAGCCACCAGAAATCTGTGTTGTTGCCCCTTTTCTTTGTTACTCCACAAAAACTATAGTTTGCGAAACAGTGGGACGGTATTGATGGGCGGTGTGTGTGGGGGGGGGGGGGTAACTTCACTTATCAAGAAAGACATTTCATATCATAAGCATGCAAGGAGATTGGCAGATAAGTAAATAAAAACAAAATAAAGCAACACGATCAATCAACAGCTGTTAAAAAGTGAGGTTTTACGTACATTCAAGGAGTACCACACGTTTGACACTAGTCTCTTGCACAAAACCGCTAAAACCACAAGGGCCAAACCAGTGCCAGTACTATCCCAGATCATAAATCGAGCTAACCGACAATATAGATTTAATACTGTTATTTTATTTTCACTAAAGCACACTACCTTTCTAGGATATAAAGACATTATGATGAATATATAAATACAATGATACAATAGATCTGTACCAAAATGGCGATAGACACTATCAAATATAAGAAGAATAAAAATAAAGTTGAACAGTTTTACATACCATGTATATTATACGATGTATAGACTTAATAAGGCTTAATATCACAGATAGCTGACAAAATATATTAACATGGAAATATAGTTCTGGGGGTAATAATAAATAGGACGGAATTAGAATATAATATTATACCATTCCAAAGTGTAAAGGAAATAACAGATCTTTTAAAAGCCCACGTTCGGCGTACATCTTCGCCTGAAACCGGCTTAAACGTATAAGCATAAAAAAAGGTCTTTTCTAGGAGATCTCAATTATCTTTGCTGCATATTGTTTCACTATATTATACAGTCGTCAACAGATTTTTAGTCGTAATTTAGCTCAAAATGCTGTCTCGACTATTTTGGTTAGTGGGAAAGCGGACTTGGTAGACCAATGAAGATTATGTAGCATCTGAAATGGCAATAGTTAAAGATGGTTGTCACTGGTTTATGAGCATGGAACTGTACGACCTCCATTTAAAATTATTATTTAACTTTAACCCAAAACCTAAACTGGAATACCACCTTATTTTACAGACTAGTTTTATCAAATGTATCATGGATAAAAACATTACAAAATACATTGTACAGTAAAATAAAAAGTGAGAACTTATACCTATACTTTATTTGAAAAACCATTGTAAAATGTCTCTGAACTGCGTCTTAGTAACGCTTAATACTGCAAAAGTTTTTCCAACTTATATGAACTAACTAACACAGTGGTGGTGCCAATATTTTTCAGTATGGGGAAAAGAGTGGCTGTCGGGGTACATTCCTATTAAATTTTTCAAAATATTCCAAGAGAAATAAATACGCGATATGAAATTTGTCTGGCATCTTAGCATTGATTAGAAAGGAAAACTATTATTAATTTTTCCTCTTCGGAACCCAAGTTTCCCGACGAACTGACACCTGGACATTAATCAGACAATCTACCATCTTGCAAGGAAAATATTTATTTTTACTCAAATTTAAACATATCTGGGCTTCGGTTAAGTTGTCACAAATCGAAACGTCACATAGATTTCATACGGTCATTGTCACATGTAAAAGTACGTCTCTATATGTGAATTTCTAAATAGCTATATGTAGTTGGATGATACCAATGGACTTTCGATATATCTGACTGTTGGGACAATTGTTTGTTGGGTTAATTGAATATTAAGTACATGTATAATCTGAGAGCGTTGCAAAAATGGGTGTATAATATGATACTAACAATGAACCCTCGATCGGATGTATTTTTAATATTTTAATAATTTTACTAAATGGTGGATGCGGTGTGAATGTCTAGATTAGTTCGTTGTTATCTGACACATTCCAAAACTAATTTGCCTGTATTTCATGACGACGATATTCTTTTTCCTTTATGCGAAGATTTTCAGCTAGATCTGACCGCCCACTTCTTGTCAAGGCTGACCCCAGAATGGATATCTGAAATACAAATATATTAGCTCATGAATCCAGAGAACTGTTCACAATATCTCGGCAAATGTAACGCAAGCGATCTATTACTAAACAACTCATCAAACATCTTGGCATTGATTTAGTGAACTGAAATAAAGATGGAACTATAATTGTCATGGATTAAAAATATTTAATCGAGAGAATGTGTTTTTTCATATTTTCAATCGCAGTGGTGGAAAAATATCACCACTGACTTTAATTGAACCCATTGATCAAAAATGGTGTACTGACAAATCGTTACCCCATTTTATTATAATTTGGGTTATACCTTATTAGCTGCTTTTGGTACTCTCTTTAACCACGTCATCAACATATCAAACTTGGCTTCGTCAAACGTTCTTTCACCTATATTCATATTTCTTAGTATGGCCTGGATACGAACTCTGTGTACATTTAAACAATGGGCAACTTTCTTCCACTCTTCTCCTAATTCTGTTGCTAGGTTACGCATGGTGTCCTCGTTTACTGGATCAGTTGTATTGTGTATTTTGATTGGTGCCTTTACGGGAATGGAACTGGGCTCAATGTGATACTGAAATGGCAGAAGGTTTTTTAAAAAAAATATGCGTGTAAATAAAAAGTCCAACGAATCACAAAACGTACAATCCAAATTGTCAATGTCATTGGTAAAACCCTTCAACACACACAATCTAAATTGCCCGTGTGGATGGTAAAAGCCTTCACAGTGTTCACAGCGATATAAAAAGAAACAATACACTAAGTACTAGAATAAAACGAAGTTATCGGACTTGAATCGGGATTCAAACTACAAAGCAAAGATACGCTAAACAGTAAATCTTATGCAAGAACCGATAGGAAAGCAAACATGGATAGGATAAACCAGCAAACGGCAGTTTTCATCAACCCGTCCTTGAAGTGTCAAATTTGACAATGAACCCCTCCCACGTGTATGGCGCTATTGCGTGTCGCATGTGCAGCTCAGTGGTTCTGTTAGGGCGATAAGTTCTTCATCTGTGAACATACTCTCAAAGCATGTCAAGTTTCCATGACTATTTATCATATCACAACCTGCATAGGTATTTGCATTTCAATATCCCCTACGTTTTTTTTAAGAGTATATATTGACAGGAGGGGTTAAATTGGCGACACAGACTGTGCAAATCTCCAGTGATCTCATTCCTTTCTACTCCACTTTACCAGGGGTTTATCCATGGGTATTCACGCATTCAAATCAACGACCCTTGACCGTAGCTTGATTTTACAAACCAATCAAAAACAGTGTACAAACCATTCTTAGCCCCATTGCTTACGTTCACAACAATATGGCGGCTTGTTTGATATAGCGGCTTGTTTGATGCAACAAGGTGAAGGTTACTCCCCTTCGCCATCTTCCTTTGTATTTAACGATTTGTTTGAATGGTCGATAAAAATAGCGTAGTTATCAAGCGGAGATAATGTTAATCCATTCTCCTTCATGGATGAACCCAGGGGTTAGTGGAGTGGAATGGAATGAAACCACTGAGAATACCGAGGATGTTGTCCTAGTTATTGTCAAATCCTGCAATATGGACTCAAATTTTCACGACTTCCATCTCCATCATAACCATTGTGTCAGGAACAACAGTTGATTATTTCGAATTATACCAGACTGATTATTTGTCAAACTTATTTACCTTCGGTATACTGAGCAACAGCTCACACAACAGTTCCTCTTTAATCTCGGGTTCCCTTTCTACGTCACCATCATGTTTTCGACCACCTATTGTTTTCACCACGGCTTTCTTCTCCTTATATTTTCGATAGACTTGTACAAGGCCACGGAACATAGGAAAGTTCTTTTGTAAATATTTATCCACTTCCGAAACAGAAAAATATAGTTGAGAATGCACATGTGTGTTGTAAGGCATTTGTTGTTTTGGATTATCACCAAGATCACGGATGTTACCACGGAATGTTATTTCTATGGTATCGCCTTCAGTCACACAGACTTGTATGGGAGGGCATGGTGCCTCTTCATACCCTTCTTCTGTTAGATGCTTTAGTGTTTTCTCCAGTCTGATAGCGGGTGTAACAGTCAAAGTTGCTTGAAAAGGATCGTCATTTCTAAAAAAAACAAGACAATATATTGTTTTGGATAGTATAATGCTATTGTATTTCATACCCTATCGTATGGACAAAACACCCAAGTTAAAAATCTAGTACATCACATAGGAATCTCCAAAACCTTCTAAAATGGGCATTCATATTTGTTTGATGGATTGTACACAGGAATAAACGTTAAATATTAAAATCTTAAGATCATATCTTTAAAAGAACATCAAGTCAATAGACTTGAATGCCCCCGTGCATTGATTTGCATCTAGATCATCGGTGATTGTTTGTAAATGACAATATTGACGAAGTATCTTTACTACTGTGAACAAATTCCGAAGTTTCAGTTCTACTACCATTTATATACCCACGACAAGACGCACCACAGTCTCGAGGAATCTGTTTCGGCTAAGTCTGTCCTCATAGATACGATTTTTAACTTAAAAGATCGCCCTGTTCAGCAGAAAAAATCGAAGAGCACGTACTTTTGTCTAATTATAACTTGAACAAATTTCTTATCTAAATATCCATTTAAACCTCTACCAATTTGAGCAACAGAATCTTCTGATACATTTGTTCTTGTTCTTATTACCATGAACCTGAAAATAACAACATACACTTTAAAGTGCTTAAAAATCCACATCGCACCAGGGCATTTTTAAGGGGTTTAGTGATGAGCCCTGAGTGAAAAGAGGACCTGCCTGAGGCAGCGTCGTGACTTTACGAGAAATATTTGAAAAAGCAGACGTGATTTGATTCATTCTAACATATTTCCCGGGTCATAAAGCCACCTCTATAGCTAGTGTCTTCTCTTTCTATGATTAGACGTCGTAAAAAAGAACTAACGCTGTAAATTAAATACTATTGTTTCATGATTTCAGATCGGGATATATGCGAGGGACCATAAATAAAATATGCAGTAAAATACCCGGAGTTGAGCCATGGATTATATCAACACATACAATGGAAAATTCATACCCTTGAGTGTGGAAAAATGTAATTGACTAAATTATAAAGGGTTGAAGATAGCGTAATTCTTATATTGTACCTATCACATGTTCTTGGTAGGTCAAAGGTAACTAGGTCGATTTTGGTTGCTGTTATGTGAACTTCTGGTTCAACATTCCATCTACCATTGGAATAAACTAAGAAATGTAATAAATCATTTTCATCATCTGAAAAAAAAAAATGCTAAATCGTAAGAAACGAAGCTCTCTTTACAGTGTCGAGTAGTAAAGAACATATAACTCTTCTTTCATTAGGGACACCAGTGTCAAGTAATGAAGGACATAGCCCTCCTCGGACGCCCACACCATAAAACTATAAGCATGTTTATATTCGGGACACTTCTTCCAAATGTCTGTCGAGATACACCCAGATTTTCAGCGTGATTGTATTATCTGTTAAAATGGACAACGTACCGTCACTAGAAGCATACTCTCCCATGTACCATCTATTCTGTGTTTTTTTTAAAGTCACAGCACCCTCTTCGTCATTCTCGCATTCTTCGCCTTGTTGCTGTTTTTGTTGTACTTTTGCCACTTTCTTTGCTTTTCTAGCTTCAGTTTTTTCTAGTTCTGCCAATGTCTTAGGAGCATTTTTTGGATGTTTCATTTTATCTTCTTTCATTTTTCTGATCTGTGCCAGTTTCTTAGCTTTAGCAGGATTTGGTGGACACGGTAATGTCACCTTCAAATACAATGAATGAATGGTGGCATAAGCAAATAGGTGTAGAGTTCTATTCTGATGGCAAGCTGCACACTGCTATCTTAAATCCATTGAATGCTGTGGTATGGAAACATATTGAAGACCATTATGGGTTTAAAACTTAATGAATTTTACTTCATAATTACCACAATATATCTCATTCACTAATATCATGAATAGAACCGAAAATATGCTAATGTGTCTATCAAACTAGTTTAACTTACCGTAACTGGATTTAATATATCACGGGAATCCCAATCCATATGTACTATATGACTAGAAGTTAATAAGCCTTTAGCTGCTGGATCTCTTGCTCTATAATCTTGTATTGACCCGGAATCTACATATTGAACCTACAAAAACAGATTAAGAAGTAATAAAAACTGATACTTGTAGATGCGACGAAACATATCAAGTCAAATGAGATCTTGTGTTTGATCCTGGCGAAAGAGTAACTCTTACTATTCACCCAAACCCTATTTTTACTTTTGGGATAATAGATTCTTTGCCGAAAATCAAATTTCAAGAAAGTTCATTTATTACGGTATTTAGATAATTGTGACCTGTAGCACCATGGGTCTTTTGTCAGACATGGAAAGCGGGCCCACCAAATCCGGTCGCCACACCCGGCGTATAACCCATGCATTCTTTATTACTACATATCTTAGGAGCCTTTATGATCGTCTAGTATTTTCACTTGTCGTCTTTGGCATCCCCTTCACATTGTGTATTCTCTTCTTCGTATCTATGTCAGTTAAGACGTTCGTCTTACCAGGAATAACAATGCAACAGTTCGGTTTTACATGTTATATATCAAGCTGCTTACATATGGTACAATGTATAATAGAATAAAGTCATTCTCTCAAGCCCCATCCAGCCAGACTCGCTGGAGCGAGTCTGCTGATAGAAATTACTACATCAAATGGTCTAGGAACTCAGATGGTAATATCTCCGGAATCTAATGAAAATCTGCCTTAAAGGTTTGCCAGGATTTATTTTATAGCACCCATATGGACATCACGTACAGACTAGGCTATTCATGTCCCCGAACCTGTGCAATTACTGATATGATTAGTTACTTAAGCCAAATGATGCAATTAGTAAATTTTCAATCACGTGTGATCTGGTGATATTTTGTTGACACATAGAACTAGCTATGTTTTGGTTCTATAACTCTTTTTATGTGTCAACCTGTCACTCATATTTTTAGTGCATATTTAGTACAATTAGCCAAAGACATTAATTAATACAATATAATGCCATCATTAATTGTAAGAACAAAATCTGTAGCAATATTGCTACAGGCCATGACAGAGACGGGTATCTACTCAAACTTCAAATGGAAATCTTGACAGGATTCCTGTTTTCTATTAGAAATCAAATGTAATATTCTGAAGTCCGAAAGAAACTATACGAAACGTAGCCTATATACTGAGATTGTTAAATAATATATAGTATATGGAAAACCAAATTAAAATACAATTTAAATCACCGAATACAGTATAAAAGCTTTTTGGGGGTATAATACATTTTGGTGGTTTAGTAAAATACTGAAACACGGATTAGAATTTGTCTAAGTCTTTTTTTTAAATTATATTTTAATAACTAAAGAGCAAATATTTGAAGAAGAATATATCTACCTGTAAAAGTAGGTTTTGTCTTTCTTGTACGGTGTCTTTTGGAAAAGAAAAGGTAATTCTCTGATCAAATGAAGATGTTATTTTTGAAGCTTTGCGTGTGAGGGTTACATAATCCTGTTTAAATCTGGACATCACCACCAATATACCCGGATGTTTAACTTCTGCTTGAGCAAATTTCATATCCTACAACACAGAAATCGTCCTACATGTAATATTAATCTAAAAAAAATATCAATTCAGGTGTTTCATCTTTAAAATTCAGAAATTTAAGAGATGACTGAGGAATCCAGCGAATATCTCTTTAAGTATTCAGGGTAATATGGTTTGTCACGAGGTTAGGCCTTATATTAGTTTCGTTACCCACTGGAGCTGCTCCATGCGACCACAGGCATTTAGGACGGAATAGGATAAAGCCATGCTAATTAGTGTAACTTCTGATAACCGTTTTAATAAGTATCTGATAACATATACTGGTATGGACAAAATGGTCAGAAAACTAGGTTCTGTCATGTTAAAGACACTTCTGAAGCTTTCAATAAAACGTCTGGTTTACCATCATACCTTCCTATTATCGAAAGATACTTCTTTAGTAGGAAGATCTACCCAGGCACCACCTACATCTGTTTTGACAATAACTTCTCTATAATTAGCTGCTGCTCGAGTTTGAAAGTGGGGTATACCAATAAACACTGGATCCTGAAAGATGTTCATAAAAATGTTTCAGCTATATACATCTATATACTAGATAGGTAAATAATGTATAACAATACAAATCTATCTGGCATCTGAATAACGCAGTGACCCCATTTACGTGATCACACATCATGGGTATTTAATACGCTATTGACAAAAAAGTAGTCGGATACTGCGATGGACAGCATTCAACATACATATATATAAAGTCTACTGTTCTTGGATTGTCGATATGATACTTGTGAAAATAGAACAAGTTTATCATAGGGTCCCTTTTATCCTTTCAGCGAAAAAGATAACTTTACCTACCTGAAATTCGGTTTCATTATGAACAGATTTAATTTCTAAGACTTCACTGACTAGTTCTTCGTGGTCATTAAATGTTACATTAGCTTCAGTTCTCTCGATAATTTCACACTTAACTAAATCTAATCCAAATTTAGTAGGATGACCTCTTACTGAACAGATGATTGGCGGTTGTTCATTCTCCTCATCACTTCTTTCCAAAATTCTGAAATTACATTACAGTCGAGTAATGCCAATACCCATTTCGAATAGATACTAAAAATATGGCCTATCAACATCGAAAAAGGAAACCGAGCCCTATTGGAATTGTGACGACATATCAACAATTGAAGTCCGTAAATTGATGCGCAATTTTCCTTGGACAAAGCATGCCAAGTTTTATGTCGACCGTACTTACATTGGTGGAACTTTTTGTCCCGAGAAGAATAACAAAAGAACAACTAGAACTCTTAAAGAGTACGGACGTGTTTCGGTATGTCACGTCACGTTACGTCACGCCTTGTCACGCCAACATTCCAGTTACACCATAAATTATTGAGTATAGTAACATTCAATACCTATTAAAGTGGAAAACCTGTCATTTTGAACTCTTAATAAATCCAATATGGCGGCCAAGCGGTTGAAAATGTTATGGAACAAGCTCTTTGAAAATGAGCTAACACCACCATGTCATTATTTGTGGATTTTTAAAATGGAGAGAACTATTCATGTTCGGGAAAAATCGGAAGGTCTCGATAATTTCCGGAAGTTTCCGGAAGCCGTCACAAAACTTTGAAGGCATTGGTGTGTTTCTTATTCCTATAAAGTTTCAACTTGATACCTCAAATAGTGACGGAGATATGCCATCTTGAACGTCGAAAAATTGATGAAGAAAACTTTCGCAAATCCTTGATGCGAATATTAATCGCGCGAACTTCCGAATTTCGAAAAACGTCAGTCAGAGCCAATATGGGATTCGTCCAAATAATCCAAAAATGAAAGCCCGAAGAAGATCCGTTGAGAAATAACCGAGATATGGGCAATTGATTTTGACTTATTTTATCAAAGGCGGGAAAGGGAGTGTAAGAACGGGGCGGATATGCTTACTACAACACATACAAGAATTCCATGAAAAAAATGCACATAGCTTATAATTTCTATTTTACTTGTGTATTATAAATTCATAAGCTTACTCGAGAACTGGCCATTTTTCTCGTTCACAGAGCGGTATTTTATCTGAACTGTTAACTTCACGTCTTCTCCATTCTGCTTCTTTAGCTTGTCTTGCGTGTTCTTCTTTTCTTTCTTGTTCTTCTTTCTTCAATCTCTCTTCCTCAGCTATCCTTTCTTGTTCTGCTTTCTTCTCTCTCTCCACCTTGGCTTTAAAATCTATTTCTTCTTGTATCTGTTCAGCCTCCATTTTGGCGCGCTCGGTGGAAATCTGTGCCCTAACTGCTGTACTCTCTGTCTCTGCTGATATTTTAATGGCCTCGGCTACGTCAAAGTGGGCAGCTGCAACTTCTACGTTGATTTTTGCTAATTTCTCGTGTAATTCCTTTTCTTCTATACTCGTATATTCGTCATCTGAAAAGACCAGGCCCTAATTAAATTCTGGTTATATACCAAGATCTAAAAATGTACTAATAAAATAATAACTGTTCATTAATGGTCACCCGTATCTCGTTATTGGTAGTTATGAAGTTGTTGTTTTTTTTTCAGTTACAGCTGGTTTATGGTTACAGTATTTCCAGAAAGCAGACATGCCAAAATTCTCTTAAAGAGGTAGATGCGGATAGCTAAATTACTAAATACAGGCACCATAAAATAGTTAGATCTTCTGTCATCTTATCAAAAGGAGGAGGAAAAGAATTCAGCCATTCGAGTGTATGTCCAGTTTAAATGAGGACTAAAACATTATGGCAGCTACAATAAAGTATATCTGTATTTACACTTGTATAAGTCTATAAAACACCTTCACTATCTATAAGTGCGATATAAGTACTGACTACCTAACTGAACGTGTAGCAATAATATTTGTATACAAACATATCGCATGGCAATAAACGTAATGTGCCCCCAGTTTTGAACTTTACATGGCTGTATTATCTGCAGTATTTGTAAATATGAAAGACGTTTTATTTTTAAAACCTTTATTGTGTCTCCTCAAACAGTCTTTATACTTTTCTTCGAGATGATTACACACGAGGGAGGTAGTGAATAGAACACAAGTAAACACTATAATAATGTTTATAAAAGACTATTGTTTGTATTTGATCGTGTTAAATGTAGCATTGTGTTATAGAAAGGGGCATGAAATAAATGTACATTTATAAAATATTCCCGGAACAAAGACTGTATAAACAGGAAACAGAACAGAATAAGAAAAGAGACGTGGGTGTTTTGTTTGGGTGTTGGTTTGGATGTGTGTATGGGTGTGAGAGTAGGGGTGGTGGGGGGGCTGGCACTGAACGGAACGGAAGGCCACCTTAACGACGGAGCAGAATGACTCAATGGAAGCAATAGCAGTAAGGAAGGTACGAAAAGGGAAATGAAAGAAGGGCACCTTAATAAGGGGCGGGAACCGGGCCGAAGAACAGTGAATGATTAATTTTGATATATGTAAAATATAAGTAGAGAATATCAACACAAACCCCTTTTGCCTGGAATTTTATTCGTGCATTAAAAGGTCAATTTAGATTGTAATATCTTCAATCCAAAAATACCCTAAACGAAACCAAAACGGGCTGTCTGGCGTAAGACGCACACCTCTTAATTTATCCACTATGGATACTGTCCCACGATCTAAAACTTACAACGGAAAGATACCTTTGTCCTATATCGCGTAAAAAAGCTGAAAGTATCATAATATGTGCAAATTTATGCGTCTTCCTTGAATCCTAATGAATAACCCCACCGACTTTAAAACAAATCCCCCAATAACGTTGCCTTTATCGTGCTTAGATAACTGCAAGATTTGCGAATGAATTTACATTGACCAACTGATCACTCCTTATAAATTATGAAAAATAAAATCCATAGAGAGCTCAATTTGAGTTGACAAGAAACACGGACGCAGGACCGACCGACGCACTAACTAAAGGTATATAATTATATAGATACTCGCGTAGCTAGGTAAAAACTTACGGTACTTACAAATGTTAATATTTAATATAAATGTATGTCAGACAGATTTCTAGAGTTCAAACATTTCAATTATGCTCTTACTGAGATAAGTTATAAATCAACAATAAAGGATTTAAGTGTTGGACCCGGGACGATATATTTAATTAATAAATTACATATCAGTATTAATACTGTGTCAATATTACAAGCTTCGCCAATTGATACACGGATCAAAATAATTGAAATGTTTAGTACAAATCGATCTATAAGACCTTACTAACCTCATAAGAATACAAATTGGTTTAAAGGATATAAGACATAGATATTCCTATCTGCATTATGTATAATTGATTAAATGTTTTGATTCATAAATTATTTAATAATATCAAAAAAAATATCGGTGGAATAACAATGCTGCGTGAAAAATGACATTTATTAATGTACCCATTTGAGTATTTGTAGACCAATTAAGGAATATATCAGTACATTTTATTCAAGTAAATGTACTGCAAATCACCCACTGACCTGGTAAATTCTAATATCACTTATTAACAAATAACAGAAAAGAAGAAAAACAGATTTTGTACGTTATTAATATTAATAAGTCTTACCTGGTTTCTACCCTCTATATTTTTTAATCTACCGTTATATATACATTCATGCTTTATTACAGGTAAGTGTCTGTGTATATGAAAAGATAGGGCTTGACCCCAATTTATTCCTGTTTTTATTTGTGATAAGCAGAACGACGTCGTATATAGATAATAAGAGAAATATGTATTAGATACGCTCACTTATCAAACATAAAACCAATGTTACTTACTTCGATTCTTTAGTTTTTATACAAAATACTGACCCACTATTATAACCTATTTTAACTCATTTCATTTCATTCCATTCAATATAATTACCTTTCTTGCCTATACATTAAGATAAAATGGCAATATGGCCAATTTCAAATTAAATTTAAAGCCAGACGAGTGCCGTTCCATAAATGCCCCCCAAAATTATATTTCTTACCAACGTTAAGATAAAATGGCAACATGGCGAGTTTCAAAATAAATTTTATGCCAGACGAGTGTTGTTCTTTAAAATAAATAATGCCCCAAAACAAGGCGAGCGTAAAAAAACATCTCGATCAAACCCACTTCATTTATATTGTTTAAATGGCATGTAGTAATTGACAAGCATAAATCAAATAAAGATAGAGACGTAAAGTGTGGAAATATGACCACAGGGCAGCTAGACACATGTTTCGAAATAAAAAGACAGCCATAGACAGCAACTTATCCAAAAGGAAGACTCTGGGTTTTGACCAAATTTGATAAGAATCCTTCATGCCCCCAAGAAATCTGAAATGTATCTCTGAAACAGAAAGACAGCCATAGACAGCAGCTTATGCAAAATGAAGACCATGGGTTTTGACCAAATTTGAAACCTGTATGCCCCACCCCCCCTAAAAAAATAATTTGAAACGTATCTCTGAAACAGAAAGTCCTAGAATGCTGAAAGTTAGCAGGGATTATCCTCGTCGATCACAAGGCTTCACACCAATTTGGAAATCAATAGGATTCCCTTTCTCAGAGTCCTTATGTTCCACACCAAAATTGTAGGCACTGTCGCATTGACAAGGTGGTCGTGGAAAATTGAAAATCGATAGAGTTCATAGGGGTTGCGGACCGTAATGGCAGATCAATGGGATTCATCTTCCTACAGTCCAAATGCTTCACACCGAACCTGTAGCCCATATCGCGTGCACAAAAAAACAAGACAAGTGGGGCGGGGGGGAATTTGAAACCAATCAGTTTCGGAAAATGTGAATATAAAAATAACTAAATGGGATACTAATTACCTGTTTTATCACATGGACGTTTCAACAAAGCTTCACTAGTCCCCATCCAGCAATTGCCCATTTTACGAATAGATCACCAACTTTGAAACACGCCATTTGACATCATGAAGACAAATTCGAAATCTTGTAGTAAGCAACTTTTCTGAAGGTAAGTCAAGCGCAGGGTAGGAATGGGAAGACGAAGAGGCAAATATGCGGCCATAATCCCATGGATAAAGACGCAGTCGTAACTTTTGAGATACAATGTCGACAAATGTTTTCTAGGAATAAAGAAGAGTCAGCAGTGACAGGGATGTTAGGGCGAAAAAGCCGTAGTCTCAACTCTGTAGTTAAAGGCCCAGTCTTGTGTTTTGAGATACATTGTCTAACAGATACTTTCAAGTCCATTCTCGGCGCCATCTAACGCCTTGCTCTCGTGTACAAGTGATATTGTCTTCCCACCTTATGAGATAATATTGATTTATTTTTAATGCAGCTGGGTTTCCCTGACAATCTACACCTCATTGGGTGTAAGGAAAGTTACCCAGTGTTCACACTTTCCACAGTCGAGAACCAAACCAAATCAGGTTCACATTACAAGAACGGCAAAGAGAGAGAGAGAGAGAGAGAGAGGGGGGGGGGATATGTTGTTCTTTTTTGGTTTCAGTATGTTACAATAATAAATCTTAGAACTCATCTAGTTTTGTTCTTTACACAATGTAAATAACAGCATATATAAAGCATAGCGCGTTGATGGTCGTATATTATCTTTTCTGGTAAGTGTCATGTTTCTATCCTTGTTTCGCATTTACCTCAAAATAACCTAAGCAGGTTTTCCACTAAATTCAAATGTTATGAAACGGAAAGTTGTTGGGCTTTTACAGAAATCTTAGAACTTCAATTTATTTTATCAATTTTGACGAAAGGGCAAGTAACTTGGTTGTGTTTTTTAAAATTTAAAAATCGTTCTTTGCGAATAATGTTTTGTTATCTAAAGACTTACCGTTTAAAGTGCATAAAATTCCCTTTTTTAACAATTTTAACGAATAGTTATAGACAGTAATCCAAACACTGATTATATCGAAATATACAATACATAAAGTCTACTACGTGAAGAGCACTGACAAGTAAAATAGCAGATCTAGGTCGAATTAACAAGCATATATAAGTAAAAAATATATATAAAATTAATGTATGTATATCATAATGTATTGTGTGATATCAATGCATTTAGATAAATGAAAAAAGAAATCGGTTTTATTGTATCGATATGAAAGAGATCTTTGTTACTTCCCTTGTCATTGTCACAAGTTATATACGTGTAGATACATACATATAGCGACATTCCAATGTTTATTGCAACAATACACGCTATAATATAATATAAAATATGAAAAGATCACTTTACTAAAGAATATATTAGCGCTTTTGATAATCAATGATAGTGATTGATAAACCACGGCATACTGTCTAATGTTACTCAATAGTACTTTGCAATAGAAAGCTTCCGAATCTATCTTTTAAATTTGATGAAAGGTATACAGCATGTTTCTTCTAAGCTCTTTCCAGATTAACTATTTAGCAATTAAAAACAAGTGCATGCAAAATGGAGTGATTTAATAAGAACAATTTTGTTTTAAAAAATCATAAATTAAAAAACATATGCCCATCAGCAGTTTTTCCACCATGGTGGAATTTAAATGAAATTGCAAACACATCGATTTCTTGAAAAGCGAATAGCTTACAAAATATAGATCTGATTAGCTAAAGCAATAAACCCCAAAACACAATTTGAAAGCTTAAAAGCTTATTAGTCTTTTCTAAATTAAAGGCCTGAATTCTTAATAATACCGGTGTTGATTTATAATAAAGGCTCACAATGACTAATATCTTTCTAATAAAATACAAATACTGAAATTTTGCGAAATGAATTGATTCGATCATTACGTTATAACTGAATCGTTAATGAATATTTTTGTATGTTATGTTGCTTAAGCAAGCCGAACAATTTTTGCCAATTGGCTGAGAACTGATTCTCGTATATTCACGTAAAGTAATGAACTCAGATTTGAGAAGCACGTACAGCACCAAACAGGATGTTAAATAAACCATGGTTCATACGTCCGAGACGCGCGAACTGTGAAGAGGCTATAGACAGATTTTCTCGAGAGTTCTTAATTGTAGCCTACATATTATTGTGTTGTTCTGTTACATTCCCATAGACATTGTGTTTTGGCGAATATACCCCCTCATTGGATTTTATGGCCACCCCTCTGGCCTTTGCTTTTATGATTTAATAATATTTAATGACATAATAATGATTCCTATTGAAGTACACTTTACAACAGCTTCTATGCCGTGTATTGAGATTTACTAAAATAAACAAAAAGGAGTCGTACCGTCTTGTAGTTCAAAGGCCTGTCGTGTCACACTCATGTGGATATTTTCTTTAACGGTCTTCATACGGTTCCTTAGTTCTTCTAGGTTTCTCTGGGAATCCGCAGTATAAATTTTATAATCTTCAATGGATGCAGATATGTCAGATACTACAGAAATTAAGTCATCAATAGGGTAATTGCCATCAAGGGAAGTAAATTTAGGCGATGAAAATAAGTCCACGTAATCACTGATACTCGTATTAAAGGACTTGATATCAAAATCCCGTGGAACTTCTCTTCTAATACCAGCTGAAACACTTCTTGGTTCTCTATATCGAGATTCGCGATTAGGATCAATATGAATTCCATATGATTCTGGAGTCTTTGGCGGGCTCCTTGGTGGTACTTTGGTCTCGACATCGCTATTTTGGTCCAGGCTAACTTCTGATTCCCGTTTCTCTATCTTTCCTTCACAATTCCCATTCTGGGAATCATGAATGTAAGATGGAGCATCTTCGCGAAAAGGTGTACCAGCTCTTGGTGGTGTTTCTGATTTTGCATTGTCCGTATTTGCTTTCTTTTCCTGGTTTGCATTATTAACACCTGATTTGCGTATCTTTGTTTTTTCGGTTTGTTGTTTTGAGTAAGCTCTGTTATCGTTACCCACTCGGTGTGCTTGTCGTTTGCTGCCGTGGTGGGCGTGTTCGTTTATTCTGCGTTCACCGGGCATCTTGTACCATCTTACCTGTAAAATATAAAACGATACACATTTATAAGTCTTACAAATTGTGTAATAAGTAATACTCTTCACTGATCTTCATGAATAAACATACCTTATGTCAAATATTATTATAGAGAACAATAGTCGGCACTGTCTAAAAATCCCTCTAAAATCAAATAACTGATATAAACCAACATTTCCTATAGCCTAATCCTTAGAGTAAAGGTATACGGTTTTTGACTGGGAGATGTAGCCACTTGTTGTTCTAAGTCTGCATTAATGACCTTTTCAAAAGGAACTTGATTTTATATTGACCTTTATATCTACAATAATATTACTGGCTATAATCTTGTAAGAACATATATAAAACACCAAGTATATAGTCTCAAAATTAATAAATCTAGAGATATAAAACACTGTGTCTTAGATCTTAGTACCACTTGAGATTCGAGGGGTATTTCTTAAGTTGAATATGGTATGTCCTACAAGGGGATTAACTACAATAATAAGTTAAAGGTATTTTTTTATACTTCAGATGCATTGCTTTAGGTTCAAGTATTGTTTATTACATGTATAATTATGCCTCTGGTGATAATACTATAGGGAGGATAGAGTGTCGCAGTTTTATTCCTTGCGTTTCGTTTTATTCAATACCATTTGACCCCATATACTCAGGTGTTTTAACTTTAGTTTATATATTATTGATATGATATAAATGTTATAGTATGAATATTTAAAATTAATATCCCTTAATGTATTCGTGGTAACATTTGCCCCTATTTTTCCCACCAAATTATGTGTTCGCCAATAAAGGGCTATAACTCTATAAACTTTTCTTCTTAATTCTAGTAAAATGAATTGTGAAGATTATTTTGTGATTTAAAAAACACGACATTTAAAATCGCTGCATAGTCACCTTTATACATATTAGATTGGTCAATTTATTTAGTAAAATAGTGTTGATGGTAGTTTGCAATATAGAACTGCAAATATTCCAGTTTTCCATACATAAAATCCCTAATAAATCTTCAGCAATGTATCAAGCACAAATTAGCAAATACATTGTTTTTCATGCAAAAGGTGTCATTCTCGAACACTATTAATCAATTACTTACCTAACTTAAAAGCAATCTGGACTATGAAACTACATCTATCTTACATCACACTTCGTTTAGAACTGACTAAATTAACCACAACTTTAGACTACATTAGATTGATATCGTAACCTAACACTATACCCAGTTTATTTCTCATTAAAGAAATCACGTTAATGGTGATAGAAGAATACCAAATTACCTGTATATATTCTTATCGGGATATAGTAAACATGATAGCGACCATGAGTCTTTTAAACCGATAATTGCAAGCGACGGAAGACCGCACCACATACAACTTTATACAAAACACATATTCGGAAAATGAGAGAACACAAAATAATCTATACGAGGACGATCAAAAGCGGAAATGTCATTCTTTGAAGCAATTTCCACTCCACTATAAATCAAGATAAATTTTACTACTGTTCTTGAGTAATTTCACTTTAATTAGAGTTTACCAAATTTATTAATGTAATAAATAACTTTATACTTTATTGCCTCTATTCTGAATGTGTCATTTCTTGATGCGAACTTTCAACAGATTAATCATTTGTGTCCAATAGCGTGATATCTGATTTGGTAATCTGTAAACGGTATCGTAATAATATAGGACACCTTTTTTTCTTTTAAAGATGGCGGTAAATAGTATAACTTATAGTTAGCGCCAGAGAGGTAGAATGGCATGTTCAGTTACCATGGAATAGTAAAAATGTTTTAAGCGAAAATCAATATATCAATGTTTAAACAATCACCGCCCATATCAACTATACGGTATTAAATGACAGCTTATTGTTTTAGGTGGAATCCAATAGATCAATATTATACAAATAAAATTTTATCACCTTTACATGGCCAAATATAATCTATAAATAAGATAATGGTTATCAATCAGATGCCAGACATAACAAAATATAAAAAGATTCAACCTTCACTAAAAGTCGTCGTTGGTCTTACTTAAAGGAGCTAAATCGCTAACATTTGGGGCCTAGAAATTGACAAAAGTGGGTCGCAACGCATATAATACTGTAATATGAATGTATATAAATTGATTTACATTCAATGGTTTCCGTTTTTACTCCAATTTCAAATCAGTTATGTTCGGCGAAATAAGCCAGCAGTCTCAAGCGAGTGCAAATTTCTAGCGTCTGGTTATTCCAGTCTACATACGCCTTTTGATTTGGAACAATGTGTCTAGCCTCGTCCCTCGAGTCTCTTGATACAACTGGGGCTGAAGCGCATTATGGTACACGATTCGTGTACCAATGGTAAAATGTTTATTTTGTCTTAAATATTGGATATCAAAAGCCCATCTTTTTCCGGTAAGATCACAACATGAATGTTGATTTAATTTGACAAATAAATCAATGTTGAAGATTTTGGATGATATTGAGTTAGAGACTTAGCTACTTTAACCGGTTGACTATACATTGCCAGGGCAGTGATCTTCAGTAACTGTTCTTGTCTAACAACTGTGTTTTGTTATTTATTGGGTTTTTTGTTCTTTGGAGGGGAAGGGGGTGCATCTTTGTCATTTGTTTGGGGGTTTTGCGCGCGGGTGGTAATGGTTTTGGTTTGTTGGGCTTATTTAGTCCTTTAATCTCTATCTCGTATTTTCATAGCATATCAAGTAGCATTACCTTATTAGGCCAAGAGAATATATTAAATCTGGACGCCTATAAAATAAGTTATTGTTTTAAAAGTGTTTTCTACTGTTAGATGGAAATAAAAATAGATAGTAATCAGAGTAATATTGTCTATAATGACCTATATCCGTGATAAGGTGGTTTATCATAATGCTTCAATGATCAAGTTGAATAAAATACGTTATATTGATTCCACGATTACAAGGTCACAAGTTGTAACACTATCTATAATAAATAAAAATAATCAAAACTGTTAATATTATTGATCAAGTTCAATAAATTAATCTCATGTTATATTTTTTAAAAAGTGCAGTGTTACGAAGCTGTCTAAATCTAAGCAAAATTAATTCATTTACTGGTGGATTTTGGAGACCTTCAAATTTGCTGAAAATGTTTTTAGTTCTATTACCAAACAAACATAATGAAACAAATGAGACGAGTTAGATCTTTTTTTAATCTCGTCTTGAACCTATTTAGGTTGACCCATAAAAAAATGTCTACGTCATTATAGCTCATTATGTCACCTGTGATTGTAGATGTTTAACTGAAGGAATGTGGGATAATACAGTTACATAATAGATGTTTTTTTTACATGTCCTAAATCAGCCACCGTAATATGTGGCAAATGCAATTTGAAATAAACTGTCATGTCAACAATATTTAAGGGAACCTTCCCCGACGTCATGTGTGGATACATGTTGGTTTATGAATCCAAATCAAACGCCAAAATATAAATACACGGTCCATTTACCGTGACTGAATATTTCAGCTCGGAATACGAACAAATTTAACAGTTCAGAATTGATTGTCTAAAAGTGATTCACAGAAGTATAGTCAAATGTATTCATTTAAATATAATCGGTACTGTGTTCCTTTCTTTTAATATTTTTTTTCTGTTTTTTTTTTTTTTTGCGAACCATATTCTTAGATTACTTAATCAATGGCGGATTGGGGTATCTCTATTTCTTGGCAAATAGTTCTTTTCTGTCACGACCTCCTGTGAGCTAGACAGGACTGGAGCGTAAATCCTAGATACAAATCAATTATTAATTATACTGATTAAGCAACCCAACAAAGCCAAGATCTATTTAAAACAGCTTTAAACCTTAAAATGGCGTGTACGAGTTTTGACTTTATATATAAATACATGTACTGAAAAAATTATTATAATTGTGTATAAAATATGTCACGTTAGTAATGAAACTATCTCTTAAATCTATAATAATAAACCATGTTGATTTTATTTACATTCTTTTAATATTATATAGCCTAAACTTACATAAACAACAATGTCATGGACTATAAACATCAAATTTATGTACATTAGATAATAAAAATAACCAAGTCATGAATATGAACATTCGTATAAAACTGTTGAAAACAATTCATTTACAACTCCATCAATCCTAAGCTAGAATCAGATACAATTTGGTTATAATAGTTTTGGAATAAAACATTAAACATTGTACGTGGTCATTTTCAGACTAATACGAGTCCCGGCTGAACAGTTCTAAGCCTGAACAGGATAGATAAGTTGGGTTGAAACAAACTTTTGCCACCACCAAGGACGATCATTGAATGAATCATAGTCATAAGAGCTGCAAATGTACCAGACTATCTTGTGAATCTACCCATTGAAATCACCAGAAATGGACAAAACTGGCTATAGGGCAGTCATCAAGTACCTGCAACTGAAAGGACTAACCTCCAGCCTTGACAATGACCCGCGTTTTGGAAGACCATCAACAGCAACCATTCAAGAAAACATTACCCAGGTGCCTGACATGGTGATGTCTGATCGACATTTGACCACTCGACATATTGCCAGTGTTGTGCGCATCTCTCATGTGAGGGTTGACCACATTATTGCCAACGAGTTAGAAATGACAAAATCTTCTACAAAATGGGTTCCAAAGCTCTTGACTGCAGATAAGAAACGTGTCAGATTCCTGACGTCCCGTTTTGAAGTAGATCCTATAATTTTTAGCCAGATTTGTAACCATGAATAGGACCTGGATTCATTACTTTCAACAAGAATCCAAAATTCAGTCTAAACAACTGAAACATCCAGAGTCGACAGCACCCCAAAAAGCCAAATCGATTCCTTCTGCTGGAAAGGTGATGGCTTCAGTCTTTTGGGATTCCAAGGGTATTCTGACTATTTGGAAAAAGACCAATGGAAGATATTATGCTGACCTACTGAGACAGATGCGTGAAGATATCAAAGCTAAGCGACGGGGAATGCTCACTAAAGCTGTTCTGTTTCACCAAGACAAAGCCCCTGTTCATAAATCGGTGAGTGTCATGTCAGCAATCCATGATTGTGACTTCGAACTCATTGACCACCCAACTTACCCGATTTGGCCCTGTCAGACTTCCACCTGTTTATAAAAATGAAAAACCAACTAGTCGGTCGTTATTTTCCTAGTAATGATGGCGTCATGTCAGCTGTGAACTAGGGTGGTTGAAGAAAACTTTTTCCTGAGCGGCACCCAGGCCTAGCAACATCGTTGGCAAAAGTGTGTACATACGTCGAAGTCTGTTTAGAAAAAAATGGAAACCATCAACTTTATACAAGTATTTCACAGATAGGTTTAGATCTTTTCAGCCACCCCTTATATCCCCGTTGAAACTAAACAACCAATAAACTATGGTTACTTTAAAGTTGACTATGAAAAGGGTCAGAAATCTGAAAACCTCAACATTACAAGACTTCTGTATTACAAACCACCTCAAAACTATACGAGAAATAAAACACAATAACAAATACGACATTATAATATAATCTATGTAATTCATACGATAGTCTTTTTATATTAAAAACAACACATAAAAACCATAAATTAATATAAAATAAATATGAAATAAAAATAAATATAAAATATAATACAAGAAAAACAGAAACATAAATTATAAGAAGGCTTACTAACGTACCTGATGTGTATTTACAGTCTATAGATATCCTTTATGTCAATTAAATCCAATAAGAACATAGGTATATAATAGCCGACAGTCAATCTATATAGTATACACAGTCCATTATTCTATTATCATGTATATTCCATAAACTATGTATGTATATATAAGTAAAATGGATTTATATAGTTAACCTCTATCTCACTGTCACTAAATCTATATTTACACTGATCGTAGAAAACTAGTTGTAAACAAACACAACCCACTTCTAATCAACCCATACCTTATCAATCATATACACCTAAAATATATCTATAGGCTAAATATCATAAAATAGGGTTAAAGAGAAAGGTTGCCCTAAGGATGGTCGATGGAATTGTATTGTTTTAAGCCCGATCGATGGAATTGGGAGGAATCGAATGGAATTGGCTGGAATTGGCTGGAATTGAACGTGTTTTATTCATTCTTCACATCACACTCATTAAGTTATATTATGACCACAGTATGGATTTGACATCTATTTAACTGTGTTACGTTTATAATGTTTTTAAATTTGATTGTTGCACAGAGGTAATGTAGTACCATGGGTCGTCTGTCAGACGTGGAAAGCGGACACGTACTAAAACCGGTCGCCACATCCTACATATCACCCATGCATTCTTTTCTTACTACATATCTTAATGGCCTTGTGATCGTCTAGTATTTTCACTTGTCTTCTTTGCTTCCTTTTCACGTTGTGTATTTTCTTCATTTTTTTTAAGTAGTTAAGACTTTTATCTTCTCATTAGTTAAGACATTTGTCTTACCAGGATTAACAATACAACAGTTCAGTTCTATATTTTTATGTCAAGCTGGGTACATATGGTTATAATGCATAATAGATTACAATAAAGTCATTCTCTCAATCCCATTCCACTCGCCTTTTCGAGTTTGCTGATAGAAATTGCTACATCTTCTCCCTCTGGAAATCAGCGGCTGTCTAACGAATGCTCAGAGATATGATAGTCTTGTAGCTTTGGGTTTGGCCCTTCAATTATCTAATTGGTCAAATATGACATGATTAATTATAATGATTGGTTAATTAGCCCAATGACGTCGAAAACCACCTTAATATGGACAGTGGAAAGTTAACACCAGAAGTGTCACACATGTTATTTTGTTATTAACCCAGCATTATCTGTTTACCAAATTATAACTGTTTTTATGTTTAAATCCGTCAGTCATTATTTGAGTGCACGAGATCTGACTTCTATAGAATGTATGAATCCAATAATTAGTTAAAGATACAATATAATGCTATTAATAATTTAAAGAGCAAAAATTCTACCAATAGTCTTAAAGTAACCCGACATTCGTTTATTTACTCTATATGCCTCTATGAGTACTTTGCCCGGATAGTGGTGATCTGTGACGAGGTTATGCGCATCCTGCCATACGATTACCTCGGAATCTTATTTTTATTTTTAAACTCATACTGATCTGAACTAGTTTTACCGAACAAAACTACTCATATTTTTTTTTATTTATTTTTTTTTTTTTTGCATCAAACAATACTTTAACGACTGTCTCTTTAATTCATTTTTATTCATAACCGTGCGTGCATGTCAAGTCATAGACCGGAGTGTCAAGCGACAATAATCTGTTTTATACTTCATTGGGTCACCATTAATGTGTTTAAATAATTCAAGTCTAAATGAAATAAGAGACCAAGGGGAAGGGGAATTCAATTTCATTTTCATTCTTATTGTCGTTATATGGCATTTGATGGCGTCTTCGTTATGTCACCTAATCTGGGTTAATAAAAGAAAACAATGCAAATAAATGAAATGGGGATTGTTCCTTCAAAAATCTTCTCAGAGACGTGTTCATTTACATTTCTAAGGTTGCGTGTATGCATTCCGAAACGTAGGTTCGTTTCCCGTCTGAGCTTCTTCAAACAATTCCAATTTGTACAAAGAGGTTCCATCTTCGTCCTATCCTTTAAAACCCAGAATCCTGTCGAAGCCGAACATGTTTTTACATGGGAATTCAAACCCTTGACATTATAATTGGGACTGTCATGTGACCTTTAAGACAAACGCTTACGGTTTCAGCCACAACCAATATTCAAGCCATATTCTATAGACATATTTTTTTCCTCGGTTCCATGACAGCACGGGTTGTGATTTCCAAATAAAAATTTATGAAAATAACAGCCAATCCTAAACATTTAGATTAATATACATAAACATAGCAACCTACTATTACTCATGTTGAAATATCGCCCCCTTTTTATGAGTATATATATGTTTTGTTATAATGTGTTTACATGACTACCTGTATTTATAATAAATACACAGATTACACACGTAGAAACCGCGACAAGAATGTTAGGAACATGATTCCCGGTGTGTTTCTACAACATGTCATAGGACTTCATCTTTATCACAGACCCGCCCTGCAGTGAGATATGATACCCGTTATTCTACAATGTGCAAGCACAATCTGCTTAATGTACGACAACCACCACAACTTGTTAAACGTTGTTTATTAAGGCATGGGTGCATGTAACTATAAGAAATTAAGTTAGCCTTGATAGTGAACTATTGTTGACCAGACCTTAACCCCATTCCACTTATTTTGCCAAAATGCCCTACCTGGCTGTTTTATGACTATTCATGATAATTATAAAGATATAATTGTTTTTCTTTGGTCATCGGTTTTTCAATAAAGGAATAGAGATTAACCTTTCTAGATTCAACGGCGTGAAAGATATTTATTGTCGTCAATTTTCGATCCGATCATTCCATATGTTATCATATTTCATATCGTCTTTAATCGATCAGATTAAATCGATTACCACTATATTATCAATACCTAGCTGTATATTTTACCACCTAACCTTGTATGCTACATTAATTTCTAGTGTTAGGCTTTAAATATATAGTTTGCTGTGCAACTTGATCTGTAATAATTTGATATGGTGTGTATTAACCACGATCAGTATGGCTCTATCTATTCAGCAGTATTATTGCATTTGTTAAGTTCCGACCTTGCGTATATATTCAAGATCGTGTTTTATTTCTAAATCTATCGATTGCTGCACACAAAATGCCTTTGTCTATCGCCCTACATTGTGTACCATTGAATACAATTGTTTGCGACTTTGTAAACAATCGAAAAAGAAATAATCCGAATAATGCATAATGTACTATATAAATATTATGGACTATAATTATGCCGAAACCTAAGAAAAATATCGATAAAATGTTCACATTTTGGATTTTGCTAAAACGTCACATCACTGTGATAATTTGTTAATTAAGAGAGAATCAATTTGTGCATGCGATATCACCCTAGGTGGAAGCGAACGTTAAGTCCCAAGGAAGAAGAAGAAGATAACGGCTGAGTTATACACATTAGTTCAGTAGTTTAAACAACACGTAAATTTATAATACCCTATTCTATCAATTTACAGTAAATTATTATCGCTTTAAACTAGTATCTAAAGGATAGAAGACATTCGCAGATTCGAAAGTGGTAAGTCTAGCTGTTTTAACTTAAGATTCTATTTTAGGCAATAGAACCATTAATTATTTGTAAATATATATTGATTGGTGTGTACGACATGCAACATTGAATATATAGTTAAGTCTTTAGGTGTGTAAGGGTAGATAACTCATATTATCTACCGTATAATGAATTCAGTATTATGTACAATAAAAAAATATGTATATCCCGAGGCAGCAGCTGTGTCAAGACAGTCCTAGTAACATTCACCACAATATGTTCATAGACTTCGATTTCTGTGAGAAAACCTCTTTATAGCTAAACGACTGTTTGTGTTATCACGTTTAACTACGTTTTGCAATTAGAACGACTCTGAATCATATATTTTATGGATTTTTACTGGAAAGAGCACCGTGTCCTCATCTTAAACTCAACAACGTTTAAAGTCAGTCACCGATAACTCCCAGATGACGTGCGACTTTTGTTATATATTACTGGTAAAAAAAAGATAGAATATATTCTTGAGTTGAAGAAATTGTGGATGTATTACATTCTTTGTTATAGTTAATTCAGTATCAGACTTCATGCCACAGATGTCCTGTTAAAATGCAATTAGAATTGGAGTTTTTATTGATGTATTGAACAATGTATGTTTGAAAACTGGAATTCCTTTAAAGGTTGTTTATTTACTAGTAACGTTTCAAAGAAGATATTGGAGGTTTGAATTACTTTTATTTACAGTAATTTTCATCAGTATATCATTTTATATTTCCTATAGGAACCCGTGCCTGGTAATGTGAACGGTTTTGAATGGGGTGGTGTTGAGATTTAAGTAACAAATTGTTAAATTTCTAGAATTTTGATACAGGCGGTTCTGGAATTTCAAATATTTGGATATGGCTATTTCACTGCTCCTATCCTTTTCTTTGCGAAATGTTTTGAAATAACAGTGTCACGGTAGATTCAAATAAATTGACGGATACAAAATGATAAATCATGTAGAAAGATGATTTATTACCTGACGTTTTATTTTAACACCCTATTTTATCTAGACATATCACTATTCTGTCTTAATAGGCAATAGAGCCAAACTAACCCAAAAAACATACTGTATATATTTAAACAAAACGTGGTGCATAATGCTGCAAAGAAAAACCACCATAATGTATTTAAAAATAACTTGAAATAAACATACATGTAATGTATATTGAAATAAACATAATGTATATTGAAATAAACATAATGTATATTGAAATAAACATAATGTATATTGAAATAAACATAATGTATATTGAAATAACCATAATGTATATTGAAATAACCATAATGTATATTGAAATAACCATAATGTATATTGAAATAAACATAATACGCATTAAGTATATCAAGGTTAAATATGCTGAATGTGTATGTATATACATGTATTTACAGTGTATATTTATACAAAATACAGTGTATATTTATACAAAATACAGTGTATATTTATACAAAATACATTTCCTGGACCCTCATCGCCGTGAAGAATACGTGACATGGCGAGAAAACTTGATTCAGATTTTCCGCACACCATTCATAGATCTTTTTTCTCCTCGGATTTAGGCCATTATATTTTGCAGTGGATGTCAGACGGTCCGAAACCTAGTCCGCTCCTCTGTGGCTTGATAATCTACTGGTTGCCTTGTTTTTTATTTATTGTGGAAGTGTAAGGCACTTTGAGACGGGGAGCCACGGAAACCCAGTGAGTAAGACGTTTGCGCGCTACCCTGGAGGTCCCGTATTCGATCCCTGTGTTGACGAGAAAGTTCATCGGAATGTTCCGACTTCGTTCTCACTTGTCAGTGGAGCAAGGCGGATGGCTTAGCAATGTGAATCGTATAGTCGTTCTGATAGGACGAAACATCGAGGTCCCGTGTACACATCACTGTAAACTCGGCGTCCTCTTTTAAAACACCAAATTCGCCATTTTAGAACACTATTTTGAAACACTTTTTAAACACTCTGTTCGTGGAAAACATCATGGGAACCAATATTGAACCTAGCGTAATGATATTAATATAACTTATCCTTAATAGAACCTTGTTTATTTAGTTCTAAATGAGTTGGATGTGGTAATTTTAAGTATCATAACCCCCGTTTACAAATTTGGGTCAAAGTGTATGTGTACGCAACTCGTTGAGGATATTTTAAAAGTCATTTATTCGTAGGTGTAATTTCCCGACATCAAAATGTCAACAGCGCCGACTATATTTCATTTTCTTTAGATCACAGATAATATATATTTAACTTTTGAAAGGTTATGCAGCATTATAAAACAACTCAGTAAAAACAAATAACAGAATCCCACGAAAGACGAACTTGATTTGCTATTCACAGCAGTATTCCAACCTCCAATAAAATACCTCAAAGTTTAACATACAATTTAATGATTTTAAGCCACCCAAGGACTATATAATTCAACAAAAAAGCAAATATCCAAATCTTAAGAAACGCGAACTTGATATGTGTATAACCATGGACCGTGTATAGATGGACAGGCAACGCCCACGTAGCCTTTAGAATTCTGTGCCGCGGTAAAAGAGAGACCTGACAATCGTGACTAAATTAAATTAGCTCCCCTCGCGCAAATACCTGTATTAAGTTTAAAAGCAAAGAAACAGAAATCAATTCATAATATTTTTATTAATCTTGCTACTCTTTTTTTTTTTAAACCCATACATAGATAGACTACTAACTGATGATTGGGGTGTAAATATATCAACACATCGTCTTTGTTTACTTCGGACGCGCCTATGTGAATCCGAAAAAAAAACGTCGAGTTTTTCTTAAAAACAAATCTACTAAAACACTCTTTTAATTTTTACTTCTGCACAATAAATCATCATCCCGGACAGTATTATACCTGAACTTTATTTTCATAACTTTAAAATCCTTCATATATACGGGAATTCGGAGTATTAAGCAAAACCAAAATGCTTACAAAACCTATGAAAATATTGAAATCGATAATTTCACAATTTTCAACTGCTGCATTTGGAAATTTCAAAGTTTCAAACTGCACAAATTCGTCACTACCGGATAGGAATACTTATCAGGTTGAAAAATTACCGTGTAACTATAAGAATACCGTAAATTCCAAGGAGGAGTTCGAGAAATTAATCAGTATAAAATCCCGCAATGTCAAAAATCACATCGCTTGATTTGCCGTTGACATTGAGATGGTATAACTATGTATACCGCAAAGCAGCGTGCCAACCCCTAATAAAATTCATAAGTGTTTAATTTAAAATTGTTGCGGAAAACAGATTTTTCATTGATCTTAAGTCAATTAAGTTACTGAAACGACCAAACAAAACCCGAAATCCTACGAAACATGATTTTGATCTGTATTCGCCGTATACAGCAGCAGTTTATCAACTTTCAATAAGAATATAAAAGTATAACAATCAAAGAATAAAAAAAAATAGCTAAACAGACTTTATAAACTTCATAATTTGTCAACTTTATTGTTTAAAAATTGTAATGACTACGAAATCTAGGAAATAACACTTAAATATGATGGGAAATGATTTGTCACGGTCACGTTTTAACCTACTTGGGTTTAATACAGTACGGCAGAAATATCAATCATTCTCAGAAAAGGAAATGACACTTAATAGATGTCTTAACCGAGAAATGTTACTTTACAAAGTATGTAAAATAAAATGGCAGCCAAAATACTATTTATGGGGCTGGTGACATGGAACAAATAATATATTAATCTTGACATTAATACCTGCATAAGATCATATCTGTATCCTAGACAAACTGAAAATCACTGTTGATAGGCTGTTGAAGGAATTGCTTACATTTTTTAAACAAACGAAAATTTCAGGATGTTTGATTAACTTGAACTCTTATGAATACATTTAATGATCGCTGATTGACTATTCATCTACTTTTATAAATGTCTAATTTTTCTTTGCGTTTCTAATTGATACAGTCTACATTATATTATATCGTTTTTTACAGCCACGGGGGTTCAGTGAGCAAGAAGCTGATAGCTTACTTTATTGATTTTCTACTTTGTTGGTTTACTTTATTGATCGTCTACCTTGATAGGTTACTTTATTAATGGTCTACCTTGATAGTAGACATGCTAGTTTACTTTACTGGTGGTCTGCTTTCATAGTTTACTTTATAAATAGCTTCCCTTGATCGTTTACTTTATTGACGGTCTACCTTGATAGTTTACTTTATTGATATTTTACCTTGATAGTTTACTTTATTGATGATGTACTTTGCTAGTCTACTTTATTGATAGTTTACTTTATTGACTGTTTACTTTGATAGTTAATTTTATTGATGGTCTACCGTGGTAGTTTATTGATAGCGAACTTTGATAGTTTACCTTAATACTTTACTTTATTGATAGTCTAGATACCTCAATAGTTTACTTTATTGGTAGTCTGGTTAGTGATAACAGAGATCAGTTTAGTAAATATACTCTTCAAAAAAAGTAGGGGATATTGAAATGCAAATACCTATGCAGGTTGCGATATGATAAATAGTCATGGAACTTGACATGCTTTGAGAGTATATTCACAGATGAAGAATTTATCGCCCTAACAGAACCACTGAGCTGCACCTGCGACACGCAATAGCGCCATACAGGTTGGAGGGGTTCATTGTCAAATTTGACACTTCAAGGAAGGGTTGATGAAAACTGCCGCGTGCTGGTTTATCCTATCCATGTTTGCTTTCCTATCGGTTCTTGCATAAGATTTACTGTTTAGCGTATCTTTGCTTTAGTGTGTTACGTTTAATTTGCAATGAGACGTCTTCAATATGATGAACGTCTACGTGCTATTGGCATGCTTCAAATGGGTTCTACACAGCGAGCAGTAGCCAACATGCTTAATGTGTCACAGTCTGTGATCAGCAGACTGTGGAACCAGTACCAACAAACACACAACACGATGATAGACCTCGTTCAGGTCGTCCTAGAGCTACTACACAAGCCCAGGATCGATACATTCGTACACAGATCCTGCGAAATCGAGGACAAACGGCCACTCAGCTTTCTGTAAACTTGGACCAAGTTACAGGAATTCGAGTTACACCCCAAACGATTAGAAATTGGCTACGTGCAGCCCATTTGCATGCGCGACGCCGACGAACGCGTGTTGTGCCTCCATTAACTCGCCAGCACATGGCAAACAGGCGTCAATGGTGTAGGCAGCGTAGAAATTGGGGTAATCGTCGATGCGCGCGTGTAATATTCTCAGATACGTCCAGATTTACTCTGAATTTCACCGATAGGCGTGCTCACGTTTGGAGGCGTGTAAATGAACGTCGTGCTAACGTTAAGGTCAGACTGCATGACAGATTCGGGCGTGGGTCTGTTATGGTGTGGGGAGGAATCACCATGACTGGCAGAACGGACTTACATATTGTTCAAGGAAGGGTCACTGGTGTGTACGACCGTGAACACATACTGGCACCGATAGTTCTGCCCTTTGCTCAACGTGCAGGTCGACGTTTCATCTTTCAAGATAATAATGCCCGTGTCCACAGCGCCCGTGTCGTGAATGTCCACCTTCAGCGTCACCATATTGTCCATATGCCTCGGCAGCGGCTGAACTTGGGTGAATCCACACGCCGGTCTCTCCGTCTCTCTCTGCCCTCTCCCTGTCTGTCTTTAGTTGTCTTGTTTAACTATATAGCGCCGGAGAATAAATAAGACACATGGTCATACATGTAATTGTCTATTTTATCTTGTCATGCTTACTGACCAGTGCATATTCCTTTGAAGTCCTGCCGAGTCTTGCAAATAGATCATGTGCAGCCCGTAAATGACTTAAGAACAGTGCATACAGAATTAAAATGTCAATACTATATGTATTATCAAATGGCACCTAAATGGCCGTTCAATTTGATGAAAGTTATAGAGTACTTTGTTACACTAGCTACCTCAATAGTATACTTTATTGATAGTCTAGCTACCTCAATAGTTTACTTTATTGGTGGTCTACCTTGGTCGTTTACTTTATTGATAGTTTACTTTATTGATAGTTTACTTTATTGATAGTTTACTTTATTGATTTTTTACCGTGATAGTTTACTTAATAATATTTTACCGTAATAGATACTTATTGATAGTTACTCATTGATTTTCTACCATGAAAGTTACTTGTGGATAGTTTACATTATTGATTATCTACCATGACAGTTACTTATCGATTGATTACTTTAATGATAGTTTATGGGCGAGCGGGAATATTTCAGACGCTTGTTGGACTGTTTGGTGTAAAACTAAAGCCTTTTCAATTATTCCAATTACTCCAAGTTTGGCATATAGCTTACTATCTTTATCTTGGCTACTACTAATAATAATAACATAATGAACTTACAGAGCGGCTGCATTCCAGTAAACATAAGGACATAATAATGTTGTGGAATGATTCTCTGTTATAATGGTCTTACTGAAACTACTTAATTGCTGGGATTTATTCCCAACATGCTGATTATATTAGACACCATATAGTATGGACTGGAGTAGCAATTCTCGACAGACAGAGAAGTAGCGCGTTAAACTCCATTTTCATAGTACAACTTTCAACAGTTTGAAAATAAGAAGAACAATGGCTATCTATCGTTATTGTCGTGCAAACACGTTGATACACCTTTCACATTTATAGTCTACTTTATTGATAATTTTCTTATTGTATTTTTTTCATTATATTTTATTTTATTTTTTTTTTTTTACATTGGGTTGGTTTTATTTTAATAAGTGTTCATATTACATTTAAATGCTTTCATAATCCGGATATCAGTGTCGCAAATATTTAAATATATTTTCTACAAAGTAGCTGATATATTCAGAAAATTGCATATAATGAGCTGTATCAGAATGTAAACTATAGTAAACTGATACACTGGCTGTTGATTAATATCTACAGTAAATGACAATATAATGTATTCATAAAGGCACACCTGGGTTGGCAACTTTAAATATAATTGTCAGTGTGGTTGGGTGGAATAAATCTATCAAAATATTGTGTAAGGTCAGGTGATGTACAGTTTTGCCACAATTCATTTATTATGCAACAAGGAGAACAATTAAACATTGTTCTACGTTATATTATTGTTTTACTTGCAGTGCGTCGTAATTAAATAATGAATAGAGTTTGGTGTATTTTGTAGAGCAGTGATATACAATACAATATATATAATATTTCAAGTAAGTAAAAGATAATATTTGTAATTGATGATGACCGTATTTTAGTATGTGTATGGAACAAACCTATCCCTAGGAGCTGCTAATGGATACTACCTGAATATATCCTCATTCACATTTTACTTAGTTGCTTAGTAAACTGCCTCCCACTAAAAAAATGCCAGTCAGCCAGGATCCGAATTCAAACTCGGCCTTAAGTGTATTAGGTGGAAATAAATATATCTCTGCATTAAAATATGTAGGTTGATGAGAGTGTTGAAGAAGAAAAAACCATTGATGAAAGTTGTAAATAATGACTTTGTTCACGATTGGCTATATATTCATTACGTGCAATGAACACAAAGGGCTTTTTTACATTATAGATCAAACGTGACACGTACTTCAATTTTTTTTCTAATCAACAAAAATAGATTTTTAGACTACAAACAGAGGCTAATCAATAATTGTATTTTGAAAACATAGTTTAATAAAGTCTGTGTCAACATTAGAAATATTTAACTATTGTTATCTAGTAGAAATATTGATGTATCGTTCTTAATAAAACATAGAATCAATCATTTTATTGTCTCGCTTGAAAAATAACCCACGACACTTGCCAAAAGGTCAAGATTGTAATACTTGTGCTCTGAACTATATACTCATTGATAATATCGTTTTATTAAAACTTCCGAACGAGTGTAATTTAGTTTTTATTTAAATTCAATATTTTGCGCTTCAGTGGTGTTATATAATGAGGAATTAGGAAACCAATACACACATATATATTTATACCAATGTTTCGCCAATTGCTGACCAGGAAGGTCCTCATCTTCGAATCGCTAGTGTAAATGATATTTTCTCTACTTGTGTTGAAACTTAACCAGATGTTGGACCGTCCCCATCCAGTCGACAACTGTGGGTATGGCAAAAACCGATTGGAAATAGCAAGTTGGTAGGTTTTGCATAATGTTTTATGTCCATATTACTACGAATTCTGTCGCATTTTTGTTTAAATTTATAAATGAGCAACGTGGTCGTGTATTCTTGTCCGCCCGTTCAACATGTTGTAGTCACTGCTCAGGAAAGAGTTTTTGAGATTTGTTTGTTTTTTTTTAAAAAGGCTTACTGGGAAACTTCAACTAATCAAATCATGTTCTGTTAAAAAAAAAATCCTTAAATTTAACATTTATATACAAAAAAAAAAATACCAACTGTAAATAATCTCCTGGTGTGGATTCAATCGGATGTTAGCCAAGGTTAAGAGTGTCTCGGCTTGTTTTGAATATATCCAGTGTATATCATCTGCAGATCAGAGGATGCAGATTATTCACGAATTGACAATTTAACATATCTTCCTGAATACTGGGCTGATATTCCTGTTAGATATCCAACCTAACTTTCGTCATAATTTAGTTTGTAAATATTGTATTTCCGAATAACACCAATATACTTTCGTAAGCTAAAAAATCCCAGTATATCTACATTTATACATGATTTAAAATAAGATTTGACCAAATATACAATAAACGATGTTTGTCTTTGCTAGAGTTGATGTTTCTTGTGTCAGAATTTGGAGTTGGGTTGTCCTGCTCGTGATGTTTTTATTATTTTTATATGGAGTTAGTCAGTTTATTACTTATCTCGAAGGTTGTCATATTAAAATAATACACCTACATGTATATACCTATTATCCAATTAAGTGACTAATTTCTTTTTTTGGCCAACAATTTAAATTATGTATTATACTGAACAATGTTGTGGGACTAGGAGAGGGTGTCGAAGAGGTCTTGTATATATTCTTCTTTTTTATATGAAAAAAGAGCAATACTAAAACAAAATGTTCTTAACTATTTCTGACAACAAAGTCATCTTAAATATGTTTAAAGGTAAGAGAAAATTTAACCGGATGTACTAATAACATGTCCATGAATGCACTTATTTTGTGAAAAAACATTATAAGTTTATTTTTATACGGCCATACAGGGGCGGATCCAGGAAGTTTTGCAGGAGTGGGTTTGCCAGGTGACGTCAATTTGTATTATGAATTTCATACGATGACATTGTGATTCAATTTTATTGATGCAAAGCATAAATTGTGATATCACATACACGTACGTCTATATGATTATCTTGCACAATTATGACACTTTTCTCACAAAAAAACGTTGTTTTACAAAAAAAATTATGCAGTTTAGGTGCGTGTATATCGTTGTCCATCTATTTGTCTGTTCACAAGTCTTGTACACATTCTACATGATTGATATTTTAGATTTTAGAATTTTAGTATCGCCACATTGTTAAGTCACGTTTAGCCAATTGGGTTAGTTCCTGTACCAATGGTGACAAATAATTTTTTTTGACTCTTTATTAGCCAGCAATTAATTTGTCATCATTGTTGATTTGTTAATCATTTTGCTTTCTCTACCCGGTTAATTGATTTTTCTTTGTTTTGCCCCAATGTTCCCCGCTGTTTTGCCCGAAATTGGGGTTATAGGTGTACACCTGAAAAATACTAGTGTGGAAAAATTTAAGAAGGTTGTTTATCGTGATGTTGATTATTGGTCATCTTTGTTTGTTAATAATGGTGCGTTTTCTGTCCGAAAATTTGTATCTTGCTTTGTCCAAATTTCCGACATATTTTTTTCCGAATTATGAAAGAAAACTCCGTCCTCATCAACCCCGACCGTACGCCAATGCAACGCTTGTACAATTCAATATTTCTGATTAATGCTTCCGGTAAGTTTGGCAAGACATTTGAATTGTGGTTGGGGCGTGAGGAAATTCCTTTAAACAAATGAAAATAATCTGCGATATTGAAGCGTTAATCGAGACACAGACGTTTTTATAATTTAATGACAAAAATTGTACAAAGAACGAATCTTAATTAGGGCTTCTACCATTTGATTAAGCGCGAGGTTTTACGATTTAAATAAATGTTGTTTTTTTTTTATAATTTTCTTATTCTAGGTAACATTACAACAGAAATGGAATGTCCTGTATTAGCAAATAAAACTGTTATAGTTACTCAAAACAATATAAATTCTGTTGTATTAAGTAGTTATATCAGACGTGTTAATACTGTTGTTAAGGTTTCATGTTTAAGTAAACCAGATTATAAACCTGTTGGTCAGACAACTATAACATGTCAAGAGAACACAAACTGGAGCCATCCACTACCAAAATGTATGAGACTTGCTGCAAGTAAGAAAAGAATATGGTTATCAAATGTTATTGTGAGTGTGAGATATCAAGAGCCGTAGGGCTACGCCCAACCCCACCCCTATTTATTTGACAAAATTAATGTAGGCCTACTTACATTCCAACCCAACAAATACTTAGTGCTGGATTAAACTTTATTCACCCTTCTAGATTTCTCAGATCGACTGGCAAAAGCTAAACAAAAATCACACACACACACGCACACAGGGGCGGGTCCTGGAACGTTTGCAGGAGGTGCCCCCCCCCCCCCGATCCACGCCTGACACTTGTGGTCTTTTGGCAGTTGATGAATGATTGGGATACGGTCTCAGACCCATAACTTTAAACGTCTTCTACTGATTGAAATAGTCCATATGGTCTCTCACATTCCGCGGAGCTACTGTGGCTCAGTGAGTACGGTGCTACCTTCGTTTCGGAGTAGGCCAAGAAACTTCATAGGGATTTTTCGGCGTAGTTTTCACATGTCAGTGGTGCTGGACAGAGGACGTGGCAAGGGGCAGTGTCTAGTCGTTCGGGTGATATGAAAAGCCGAGGTCCGATGTACAATTACCCTTGGCAGATGGAATTCAATGACGTGTAGGCGAAAACCCCATTGCCTGGTCAAAATTTCCCCTCAGTCGTAAATTACATGGATAAACACCGTAATAATACCTTGCAATAGCTCTTTAAAATGTTTTTTTTTCAGCAACTGAGCCAACAGTAACGGATATAAAAGAAAGAACGGGGAACATTGTTAATAATGATATTAGTATGCTACCTATGATAGTTGTACTCGCATTATTTTCTCTGTTGTGCATATTTGCTCTTGTGTTGATAATATTTGCTGCAAGAAATTGGAAAAGAAACCAAAAGAAACCGCTGACAGAATCATCTAGCCTTGACAGGTATGCCACGGGGACTCGAATTTATTGATTTTTGGTTGTCTAGCTTTGGTTTTCAGTTTTCTTAATTGCGTATTTTAAAGTTCATTGTTATAGAATAACTGCACAACAGAACCAAAAAAAAAACGGATCAAACAAACTTAAGAAAGATTAAATTCAATTTTCAAGAAAGGGAACGGCGAATTCTTATTGGACTATAAAAAATGAGTTATAACTACCACAGATCATTGTCTTCCCTTGGTTTTTGGTACTACGCAAAACAAAATTATATAAATACCAATGTATCTTTGCCGTGTAGAGACTCGACATTAATTGTCTTTGCCTTATAAAATATCACATGACTAAGCTTTGAAATAGTTTGGGTTTTTTAGCGTTCAGAGAAAGAAAAAAATAATCAATCCAATTATCAACTTGTAGACAAATTCTAGGTGCCCTCGTTCAAGCGCAACCGTTAACTAAAAAATGCGTTAGCTTTCAAATAGAGATGGTTTAAGTAAATTAACAGTTAATCGTGTGACTACCCTTTCGAAATGACAATTGCTAGTCCCAGTTACGTCAGTGACACCAAAACACAATCTTTAATTTACCTCGGAGTTTTAACGGGGGTGTTTAGAAAATTTTAAGTTGGTTCCAGTAGCTGTCACCGTGTCCTGTTGTAATGTTATTAGTCCTATATAAGTATACTTATCTAGACCCAATAATATTTTGATGTTTATCTGATTGCAGAAATAGTCAACCAATTAGTCAACCAGCCAGTCAACCAACCGCTCAGACGTTCAATCAACCAAGACACATATTCCCGACCTTCAACTCATCACCACATAGTTTATTTAATAACCCATTCAGTACGGACTGGGAATCGGCGTCTGCTGGCGATGCCTATAATTTAGCTCTGGACGACAATAGTGATTACATCTATAACGGATCGACAGTAACTGCTATTGATAAAAATAAAACTAGACCATCTAGACCCTGGTATTGTAATATACCACAAAATGGTGTGTCTATGTCAAACTTAACAAATGATTCAGAGGAGAAATTCTGAAAGGTGTTGCCTTGTGATATTACATACATTTCAACCTGAACAAGTTTGTGTTATTGTTTAAATAATGATCCATCATATGGTGCAATTAAAAAATGTGGGTAATATACTGCGACGCAATTAAAACCCCGCCACTTTTATAAATGGATGATTGTAAATTTTGTTTACTTTAATTTAGCAAAGAAACACAGATCACAATGATGACACCTGAGAATGGTGTTTTCCCGATCCCGTATTCGCACTCAAAGATCAGTTGAATTTGACAGACTAGGATATAAAATGGGTCTTTTTAACAAGCTAGGGCCAGTACATATCTGCAGAAGACGCATTGCGTTAGTTCAAGAGAACATTGGTACCACATACGTAGCTCGATGGTTTGGGTGCCAACTCTTGGGACGACAACGCCTCGACAAGACATACGTTACTGACTTTTGATTTTTACCATTCGTGCCTAAGTTTTATTCAAAACTTGTTGTGACCCCCGTTGTTGATTTTCTTGCGTTGGCTTGACTTACTGCAACCATGCCAAAAATCACATTTCAGCTGCCTTATGTCTCGACAGCTCTTCCAGTCAAATTCGTGGTGGGTTTGCATTGCGTCTCAGTGTATGAAAAGTTACTGTACATCTCCAACGCCAATCTTTGGACACACCCATTGTAATAAATATATTTTTTAAGAATACTGTTTGGAAATAACTTCAAAGATATAACCAAGGATACTTAAATACATAATGAACATTTCTTTTGGGCTTTTGTGTACGGACCTGAAATGTGTATTAAAAGTAACAGTGCGGAACTGTGAAAGAAAGATTGTCTTGTTGTACAGTACATTTATCTAAGAGAGAGAGAGAGAAATGGGGTTTAACGTCCACTCGACACAAACTAGGTCATTTTGGGACTAACATATGGTTTAATTTTATTTCAATAATTCGCTTGCGCGTAGGGGTCTTTAGCAGTGGGGGGAAACCGGAGGACCCGGAGAAAACCCATTTATCTAAGAAGAGAGCCCTGTATGTATTGTTTTATCATGCAACAGATTGATATACGAAGATCAGCTAACAAAGCCAAGGACACTAAATAAGGCGCGCCTCCGACTCAAAATGTGATCATAACCACAAATCAATTAACATAAAGACCATGTGTATATATACTTATAAAGAAAATTGAGTATTTGTTATTTATTTATGCATTTATCTACCGTAAACAAAGAAGTACTTGTACTTTTTCTACAGTAATATATTATATATATGGAGAAATAGGGTACAGGTAGGATCGAAACCGCGCCACTTGACTCAATGTCAGTCCTTATGACTATTGGGTCTCTCTTTATATGGGTATTCAAAATTGGTCCTACTAATCACCGACAAGAGTTTTTTTTTCTCAAAAGCACGCGAAGTACATGTATTGCAAACATTTTGGATATGATATGATATACTTTGGGCGCTATATCGACAAAGTAAATGATCTTGTCAGTTCTTGTCGGTGAATAGTGGCCGTGCAAAATTAATAGATGGTTGGGTTGAGTCTATGTAGCGTTGTTTCTTACGGTTGAGAAGAATCTTTCTTCCCTGCTTGGTTTACGCGTATCAGCTTGGATACACCCCCCCCCCCATTATTCCACTCCTCTATCATATACTAACTTATCACCATCATATTCACGGTAGTGAATCGTCCTGTTATTAGTACCACTAGTGAGTGGTTCGTGGGGCGACAGGCTGTACAAATGTTATGTCAACTCTAACAAAACAGGCGGAATTGACAGGCAGGCCTCGAGATTCTGCCCCCTTGAGGCTTGACTCACATTTTTGGCCCTCTCGTTCACAAGAATGTGCTCCCAGCAATGACCTCAAATGCCAGGATATTGACTCAAATTACAAAATTTTCTCAGATTGTTCAGTGCTCCTAAGGTTCACAAAAATCTAATAACATCAATAACAATCCTAATATGACATGAACTTTGTCAACTTGAATGAAACTGCTTTCCGACGAGGTAAAGATCGGCGAACAACAATACGATTAGAGCGGGAGCCCAGGGGGTTAACCTAGCTGAAAAGTGTACCAATTTTCTCCTGTATGGTATCGATGATACATATCTGGTATCATCAGAATGTAAGTCTACCGGGTATCTGGTGGTGGGTGTGGTATTCCACGGCCAAAATGCCATGCACCCCACCTAGGCTAGATTAGCTCAAAAGTGTACCACATAAAAATCGTACAGCAGTCTACCGTACATCTTCAAAACACCCTGACAGACATTTCTAGTGGCGGTGTACCCTGACAGATCTATGTAATTGCAAGACATTTGTAGTGGTGGAGTATCCCTGACAAGAGTTATCTAATTTCCAGCCCACAGCTAGGCTAGATTAGTTGAAATCTGTACCACCTAAAACTGCGTTGAATGACCAATGCCAGTCAGTTTGTGCAGTGGGTTACCTATAACAGGCACGCCCAAAATGCCACGGCCCCTAACTAGGATAGATTAGCGTAGAATACTAATTAAAATTGGTACACTTTTCAGGTAGGTTGAGCCCCCCCCCCCACCCCCAGGCTCATGGTCTAGATCTATGTGTTCTACCGGTACGCTCAGTGTTTTAGCCAGCATTTTGTTGACATTCATTGTGGGGTGGGATTGTGGATGGCGCCATAGATCCCCCCCCCCACCTTATTTCCCGCTTCTAGATCGACTATTGTCACCTGAAGAATAAAATTTTCTTGGATTAGAATTTACCTATAATAAAAATGTTATTATATTTAAAAAAATAGTGAGGACGGGTGAATGTGTGTGAGTAAGGGGCGGGGTGGCGACTTGGGCAATGTGGATTATATGAATTAGTACACAGATAATCGACAATGGCGAAGGAGGGTATTTGCTAAAAGGGGGGGAGGGGGTCTTAGGTTTGAATGACAGAAGGCCATAAAGCGAGTACAACAGGTGAGGACGTATATTGCCGTCGTCCCTGTCTGTGTGTATGTTTGTGGTGCATGCCCAACCCTCAGGGGCAGAGCTGCGCCTATTTTCTTTATGTGTGTCGCCTACAACCCGCAATTCTTAATTGATTGTCTTGAAAACTTTTCATACTTATTCCTTGTGCCCTAAGGATGACCTTTATTATGTTTGGTGCATGCCCAACCCCCTGGAACAGAGCTACATCCAATTTTTGTCTGTGTCTGTGTTTCGTCTACAGGCCGCAATTCTTAACAGATCCTTTTGAAACTTTGCATACCTATTCCTTATACCCTAAGAATGATCCCTATTGTTTTTTTGTGAATGCCCGACCCCCAGGGACAGAGCCGCGTCCATTTTTTCTTTGTCTTTGTTTGTTGCCTTCAGGCCACAATCCTTAATGACTTGGAACTTGGCATGTATATTCCATATCGCCTAAGGACGGCAACTATTGATTTTTGTGCATGTCTCGACCCCCAGGGGCAGAGTCACGCCCAAATTTTGTGTTTATCGTATACAGGCCGCAATTCTGAATGGATCAGCTTGGAACTTGGCATATGCATTCCTTATAGCCTAAAGACGGCAACAATTCATCTGTTTAGCGCCCGAAGGCCACAATTCGGAATGGATTATCTTGGAACTTGGTATACACTTATTCCTTATAAGCTAAGGATGGCAACTATTGATTTTGGTGCATGATCCCCCCCCCCCTACCCGCTTTTGGGCGGTCCCACCTTTTGTTAATATTTTGTCTGTAAATGATATATAGGCCGCAATTATTTACAGATTTGGATCCAATTCAGAATGATCCCTCATAGGGTTGTACTTATTTATATTGGTCCATGTCCAACCCCAAGGAGCAGAGCCACGCCCAATTTTTGTGTTTTTTGTCTACAGGCTGGAATTCTGAATGGATCATCTTGGAACTTGGCATATTTATTCCTGCAAGGATAGCAACTATTTATTTTGGTAGATGTCCTGACCCCCATATCAATCATTTCAATAACAGGGTTTTATCTATTTATATTGTTACAAATCCAACCACAGGGGCAGAGCCACGCCCAATTTTTGTATTTATCATCTACAGGCTGTAATGTGGAAGTTTATTGCAGCGTTAGCTATGCTCTAGTTATATCTCGAGGGCGTTCTAATCCATTTCAATCTCTGCCATTGATTATGAACTTGTCATGTTAATATATATCTAAATTATAGTATACATTTAACATTTGAAGCCAAAATAAAGTCCTGCTATAGGAAGATTTAACTCTTACATAATTCAGCTTTAATCATTGGACATAAAACAAAAAGTACAACAGACTTGGTTAACTGCACGTATGTAAAATATCAATGATTTATTATGTTAACGATAAAATTATACATATTTAGATACTTTCCATACAGAAGTTCAATGAAATGGACTTATATTCATTGGAATAAAACTAAAAAAAAAATACTATTCAATAAAAATCGACAAACGCATTTATAACAGAAAAGAAAGGTTTAACGTAGCTAAGAAATATTATTTACAATTTGATGGCATTACTGTAGTACTGTTTTCTGGGGGTTGTAGCTATTTCCAACACTAACGACGAAAGCTGTACTTTTTTACTAAACAAGTATCCAAAACTGGCTAATGGTCACAATAACGAGATATGTATCGCTATAGGGCGAGTCGAAGCCCAGACAAAAGTTTCAGTAGAATATAGAACATATATATAAGCTTAGGATTAAAGCAATTATATAATAATATTTGATAAGAAATGTTAAATTGTACAAAGAAAACCAATGTTTAAATACGCGTGGTATCTATAATTAACTCAAATACATCGTTACATAAACTCAAACAGTTAACGATGAGATATTAATACGGATATAGGTCAATTGCTACATTAACTTTAATTAAAATTAGATAATAATTAAAATATCCACAAAGATACGCTATAACAGTATAAATAAATATATCATTTCTAGTAATCTAATATATAATGGGGGTTTCGTCTTTATTCCAATCCTCTAATGCATTCTTTTCAATCGGTATTTATTGCCCTTGTTAGATTGGCCCAAAATACAACGTTACCTTCTGGGTCGTCTGTATAATCTATGTAGCTGTCGTCGTTCATCAGCTGAACAAGGGCCTCGGGTAAATCACAGACCGGAATACTTTCACAGACAATAACAATCAGGACATTTCGTCCTGTACTAATGCTTTCAACCTTAGCCATATTCAACTCATAAATGCACCAATAACTATTCAGAAAATTTCTTGTTAAGAGAATCAAGGTCTTCTTACTATTTCTTACTGCGCTCAAAATATTGGCCGCGATTTCCTCTCCAGGCACAAAATCTCTGTGGTGTATGCATAGTCTCAGATCTTGTTCCTGTTCTAGTTTCTCCCTCATTCCCTGGGTGACCAAATGACGATCTTCGTCGGCGTAAGAAACGAAGGCGTCAAATTCAAACTCGGTTTCCGCATCATTCACCAGGGGAAACGCTCCACGATATCTATTTCTGGTTAGATAATACAGATACCTTAACTTCCATCGATAACGATAGACCAAACTTCCAATTAGAACACTGACAATAACAAATAAACTACCAGTTAAAACTATAATCATAGCTGTTAACGAAGCACACTGCTTCTCCAGCTGGATGATAATCCCATCTAAGTTGGACAAACTCAGTTCTTTTCCCTTATTATCTTCACATGTGTATTCGTTACGTCTCAAAAAGACAGTCTTGTTGGATTTCATCCATATTAAAAACGGTAAATTCTCACAGGTACACTGTAATGTCTGATCTGATAGGTCAACCATTAATTGTTTATTCTTATTGTACTGTTGTTCACCAAAATTTCTAAATTTGACGGGTAGACTTGTCAATTGATTTGAGGAGAGGTCAATGTATTGAAGTTCGTCCATGTGGTCAATGTCCAAAGTCCACAATTTAAGGATATTTTTCGATAAATCTAGACTCTTGAGGTTCACTTGTCCACGGAGTAGTTTTTGTGGTAGTATTCTAATTTTGTTGTCGGAAATATCGAATAATTCTAGATTTTTTAAATTACTAAATATATTTCCGTTTACATCAGCTTCCAAAACAACGGCTAGAAAATTAGAAGCAATATATAGCTCTCGAAGGTTGGGAAGATAATCAAAAAATGTATCACCAATGTAGTCACAGAAGTTGTTTGACAGGCTTAGCCATTCTAAGTCGTCCAATCCAGTTACTGGTCCTATCCATTTATTTAAGATGTTGATGGATACGTCGATCACTTTTACGCTGTTATTTTCAAACCGCATTTTAGGGATTGGATAACTAAGAACACAATAGCTACAATTAGCATACTTTAGATTGGGAGGAATAGGAATTGGTACATTCAACTTTGGATTCAAAATGTCATCAAATGAAAGTTTGCGTAATGCAGGAAAATTATTACGTCCATGCAGGTCACCTTTATCTACGGGGGTGTTTAATTTGCTTAGGCGACTTTGTTCTTTTTCGGTAAAATTGGGGCTTTGGTGTCGTGACCAGGTTAAATCTGAAGAACACAACTTACGAAAGTTGTACCTGGATTTAGAATAGGATGAAACATACCGAGAAGAAAGGGGATGCCCAACTGGATTATGCGACGTGTATTGATAACTTGCGTCTAAACAGATCAGATTCATCATTTTCTCCAATCCAATTATATAAGCCCCATACGTGGGTCTATTATCTCGCATGCTAAATAATTGAATGTATTTAGGAATTTGCGGAATCGCCTCTGTTTCTATTAACTCGAATCTGTTGTGGTCTAAATAAAGTTCAGTTATATTGAGATGTTTTATTCTATAAATATGTAGAGCTGTAATGACAACACCAACTGCAAAAGTGTCAACAATAGCACTCAGATTCAAAACGCGCATATCCGGCGAATTTAATGAAAACAGTGCCATTGAGGCTCTATCTAAGCCAAGGTTGGAGTTAAATGACAAATCCAAGAAACGCAACTGGGGGAACACATAAAACAAAAAGTACAACAGACTTGGTTAACTGCACGTATGTAAAATATCAATGATTTATTATGTTAACGATAAAATTATACATATTTAGATACTTTCCATACAGAAGTTCAATGAAATGGACTTATATTCATTGGAATAAAACTAAAAAAAAAATACTATTCAATAAAAATCGACAAACGCATTTATAACAGAAAAGAAAGGTTTAACGTAGCTAAGAAATATTATTTACAATTTGATGGCATTACTGTAGTACTGTTTTCTGGGGGTTGTAGCTATTTCCAACACTAACGACGAAAGCTGTACTTTTTTACTAAACAAGTATCCAAAACTGGCTAATGGTCACAATAACGAGATATGTATCGCTATAGGGCGAGTCGAAGCCCAGACAAAAGTTTCAGTAGAATATAGAACATATATATAAGCTTAGGATTAAAGCAATTATATAATAATATTTGATAAGAAATGTTAAATTGTACAAAGAAAACCAATGTTTAAATACGCGTGGTATCTATAATTAACTCAAATACATCGTTACATAAACTCAAACAGTTAACGATGAGATATTAATACGGATATAGGTCAATTGCTACATTAACTTTAATTAAAATTAGATAATAATTAAAATATCCACAAAGATACGCTATAACAGTATAAATAAATATATCATTTCTAGTAATCTAATATATAATGGGGGTTTCGTCTTTATTCCAATCCTCTAATGCATTCTTTTCAATCGGTATTTATTGCCCTTGTTAGATTGGCCCAAAATACAACGTTACCTTCTGGGTCGTCTGTATAATCTATGTAGCTGTCGTCGTTCATCAGCTGAACAAGGGCCTCGGGTAAATCACAGACCGGAATACTTTCACAGACAATAACAATCAGGACATTTCGTCCTGTACTAATGCTTTCAACCTTAGCCATATTCAACTCATAAATGCACCAATAACTATTCAGAAAATTTCTTGTTAAGAGAATCAAGGTCTTCTTACTATTTCTTACTGCGCTCAAAATATTGGCCGCGATTTCCTCTCCAGGCACAAAATCTCTGTGGTGTATGCATAGTCTCAGATCTTGTTCCTGTTCTAGTTTCTCCCTCATTCCCTGGGTGACCAAATGACGATCTTCGTCGGCGTAAGAAACGAAGGCGTCAAATTCAAACTCGGTTTCCGCATCATTCACCAGGGGAAACGCTCCACGATATCTATTTCTGGTTAGATAATACAGATACCTTAACTTCCATCGATAACGATAGACCAAACTTCCAATTAGAACACTGACAATAACAAATAAACTACCAGTTAAAACTATAATCATAGCTGTTAACGAAGCACACTGCTTCTCCAGCTGGATGATAATCCCATCTAAGTTGGACAAACTCAGTTCTTTTCCCTTATTATCTTCACATGTGTATTCGTTACGTCTCAAAAAGACAGTCTTGTTGGATTTCATCCATATTAAAAACGGTAAATTCTCACAGGTACACTGTAATGTCTGATCTGATAGGTCAACCATTAATTGTTTATTCTTATTGTACTGTTGTTCACCAAAATTTCTAAATTTGACGGGTAGACTTGTCAATTGATTTGAGGAGAGGTCAATGTATTGAAGTTCGTCCATGTGGTCAATGTCCAAAGTCCACAATTTAAGGATATTTTTCGATAAATCTAGACTCTTGAGGTTCACTTGTCCACGGAGTAGTTTTTGTGGTAGTATTCTAATTTTGTTGTCGGAAATATCGAATAATTCTAGATTTTTTAAATTACTAAATATATTTCCGTTTACATCAGCTTCCAAAACAACGGCTAGAAAATTAGAAGCAATATATAGCTCTCGAAGGTTGGGAAGATAATCAAAAAATGTATCACCAATGTAGTCACAGAAGTTGTTTGACAGGCTTAGCCATTCTAAGTCGTCCAATCCAGTTACTGGTCCTATCCATTTATTTAAGATGTTGATGGATACGTCGATCACTTTTACGCTGTTATTTTCAAACCGCATTTTAGGGATTGGATAACTAAGAACACAATAGCTACAATTAGCATACTTTAGATTGGGAGGAATAGGAATTGGTACATTCAACTTTGGATTCAAAATGTCATCAAATGAAAGTTTGCGTAATGCAGGAAAATTATTACGTCCATGCAGGTCACCTTTATCTACGGGGGTGTTTAATTTGCTTAGGCGACTTTGTTCTTTTTCGGTAAAATTGGGGCTTTGGTGTCGTGACCAGGTTAAATCTGAAGAACACAACTTACGAAAGTTGTACCTGGATTTAGAATAGGATGAAACATACCGAGAAGAAAGGGGATGCCCAACTGGATTATGCGACGTGTATTGATAACTTGCGTCTAAACAGATCAGATTCATCATTTTCTCCAATCCAATTATATAAGCCCCATACGTGGGTCTATTATCTCGCATGCTAAATAATTGAATGTATTTAGGAATTTGCGGAATCGCCTCTGTTTCTATTAACTCGAATCTGTTGTGGTCTAAATAAAGTTCAGTTATATTGAGATGTTTTATTCTATAAATATGTAGAGCTGTAATGACAACACCAACTGCAAAAGTGTCAACAATAGCACTCAGATTCAAAACGCGCATATCCGGCGAATTTAATGAAAACAGTGCCATTGAGGCTCTATCTAAGCCAAGGTTGGAGTTAAATGACAAATCCAAGAAACGCAACTGGGGGAACACAGAAAACGTAAAATTATCAATATAACGAAGGTGACAATGACTCAATACAAGCTCTTCTATGTGGAATACATGATGAAAACTATCGATGAATATATTAGCTGTTTGACAATTGCCAGAAAAGTTGAGATGAGTTAGGTTTTGAAGGTCGGAGAACTCTCTCAGGTACAGATTTGGTATACCATCAATTTTCAACTTCTGGAGAGATATTAAGTGACGAAGATTAGGGTAGGTCGGGTTTCTGGTATATTTGCCCAAATTTGAAGATAAATCCAGTCTTTTTAGTTTAACCAATGGCTTGAATACGTCATCAGGGTAACTCTTGTTATCCAGGTCTAGCTGGTTGTGTTGGAGGTTCAGGGTTACCAAGGATTCCAACCCATAAAAAGAATTTTGGCTGAGATTGTTAAGTGCATTTTTGGAAATGTCCAGATTGACAAGTTTAGTGTTACTGAAGATGAAATCCTTAATTTCGTCTATGTGGTTGTCTTTGAGGGTGAGGGTGGACGTGTTATATGGAATATCGGGTGGTATTTCCGTCAGATTTTTGTTGCTGCAATCTATGATGAACTGACCTTGGTGATTTAGGCAATGACATGTTTCGCAGACAGAATCTTGAAGGTTGGTTATAGAGTCAACAACTGTCAGTAAAAACACGACGATCTTCAATATTAACATCCTGCAAAAAACACGAAAATAAACATTATATATGAGAACAAGTGCTCTAATAACATAATAATTTTCAACAACAGTAAACACTAATGGAGGATAGCTTAATACGAGTGAAATCTGTACACGGTTGATTTTAATATAAAATTATCAATAAATAAAAACAATCTTTCTCATGTTACCCAATCATGCTAGGGCTTCTAGCTTTACATTGAAACGTGGAGCAGTCAACAATTTTGTTTTTGTGCTTATGTTATAGGATATTGTCGGGACGCGAGGGTAGAAATTAGGGTGTAACCAGGTAAAATCTATACTCAATAACGGATTTAGGGGCGCTTTCCAATAATTCAAGGATTAAAAGGCAGGCGTTTATAAATTAAATAGATATCTGATACCCAGCGTATTGTAAAAAGTGACTGACAAGGACATCATATCCAAACTGTATATGACGTAAAATTTGGTTGATTCGAGATGACTGCACACATTACATAATGCAAGCAGTTTTCATTTTGAAATATTTCAATTAAACAGACATTATGCAGGGCTAAATCTGGCTATTGCAGATCTTTCTTTAGGTCTTAGATGTTATATAAACTATTAATTAAACATTTATTAACATGACAAGACCCTAACCAACTCCCGATGCCATCAGATTGGTCCGATTTTAAGTAGATTAAAAAAATCCGGCCATTTCATGATTTAATTTAAAAATGATGAAGCTAGACTTAGCCTCGAACAACCAGTGTGGTGGTTACAATCAGTGCACACCTCTTGTCAAACCTTTAAAGGCTAATATCTTTGCCCAGAATAAAGTAATTTTAATGAAAATTTCAGTATATTCATTTCAGGGGTGGATCCAAAAAAATTTGCAGGAGTGGATTTGCCAGGTTCTTGAGATAATGTATCTTTTAGTTGGGGTCCTGGTGGGTTCTCTCCCCCGGCCTTGAAAGTTTTTGAGCTGTCGCCGTTTTAGCGTATATCTGGGGTAACAAGAGGTCACTTTGACATAACAAAGAAACTGGGAATTTACATAAAAACATACTAAATACTTGTACCTAGTACGCTACGTTTTGGTTTTATTGATATCCAATAAAATCAGTTCTGCACGATCGTTACAGGAAACTTTAAAGATACATTATGGGAGATTTTTATAAAGAGTTGGCCATTCTTGCTATAACAGTTCAAAAGTAGATGATGAAAGAAGAATATATTGAAAAATTCAGTCAAATTACTTTATTCTGAACATAGTTATCATCGTTGTAATATTTGCCTAGAAATGGTAGCGAATTGTGTCTTCACCTTCGCTGATCGTTTGGTTGACAGGCGTTAACTCCACCTACATATCTCGATTATCAAGTAAAGTTTTCAATGGCATACCGAAACGCTTTACAGCGGCCTCGCTAAGTACACTCTATCATTTAGCCTCGATCTAACAGGCGTATTTTCATCAGGTTACCCCTTATTTGATTTAATCAATTAGTGAAATCCTATTTAAATCCGAGCTGTAGCCGAGCCATCCGTGGGTCTACAGAGTTGATTTTGGTCTTGTTGTTTAAATAAAGATCTAATTTATAATTTCTATAACATCTGAAGCCTAAATTAAGACTTGCAATAATCAGATTTAGCTCTTGCATAATGCATGTTTAAGGAAGCAAAATAGAAAAAAAAAAGACCGCGACTGCGTCAAACACCAAAATATCAAGAAAATTCATCACATAAACCATTCGTTTAATTGTTTCCAAAACGTCGGGACACAGATAACTTGACAAGAGCCTATAACAGAGTTTTGCACAATTATGACTCGAAATATAATGGGAAAAATAGGCGGTGTGGATGTTTTTTGATGAATGCAAAGCATTAATTGTCTATATTAATTGGCAGCTATTGATAGGGCAAATTCAAAACACCCAGTCTTACAAGGTTTCAGTGGGTCATTTGGCTGGGAGGGGCAGATAAAAGGGGCCAAAAAAGGGCTAAAATGTGCCTCATAAGTAATAGGATCAGAATTATTTCTAAAATATTGCCATACAATGTATGAATGTAAAATATATAAATCTGACCGGAAAAAGTCTGGCCATGCCCTTTTCTGACTGCCTTTAAAGTGTGGACCGGGGCCAAAATTTGCCTCATAAGTAATATAGTTGTTTCAGTAGAGCACATCCCTAATCTGAGCACTTAAAATCTGCCCGATCTGCCACGCCCACACAAAAGGTCAAAATTTGCATCATAATACGATCAGAAACAGTTTTGAAATGTTGTAGTGCTATATCTGAATCTTTAAATTTAAAACTGAACGGAAAAAATGGGTCACCTTTCTGACTGCCCTAAAAATGCCTCACGAGTAATAAGATTGAAATTGGTGCCAAATGTTAGCTAATTATGAGACGGTTCTAAAAATATTAAATTTTGTCTCATAATTAATATGACTGAAACTGATGTCAAATGTTAGTTCTGTATTAGTCAGTTCTAAAACTATCAGGGCATATCCCTAATCTGACTAATGAAATATCATAATCAACCACACCGGCAAGGGGAATACACAATTTGTTATCAAGCAAAAGTTAAATCTACAAACTGAAATATGATTCAAATCTGTGCCAAATGTCTGTGAGTAGGTTCTGTTTGGTTTTTAAAACTTTCTATATATCTGGCCTCATTTACACTTGTTAAATGGCATAATCCATGTATGGGACAAACAAACTTTCCTATTGTAGGTGTAGCTTCCTCATTCATATTTTGGTGGCACCCAAAGTTGGAAATTTATTCTTGGACCTCTGAATTGCCCTCAAGACCTTTTAATGGGCGAATCTTTTCCATTCTGAAGAATGCAGCAATATAGTCACAGCCAGTGAAGCAGTGACAAGCTGGCAAAGCACTGCATAATAGTGGTCCTAATTGTCTTAATATATCGCAAATTAGTTTGCGACTGGATTCCAACCTCCATAAACACATTTCCGACACAAGGAATTTGATTTAAAAAGTATTTATAAATGCATACATGTCAATGTAGAATCTTTGTAATACTGAAGAGACCGGTTTACATTTGTAAAAACATAACAGCCCGTATCCCGATTTACATGCAATGTCTTAGATCGAATAACTGACAAATAGTCAGTACTCATCCAATTGTTAACTATGTACCGCACAATAGATTTTTTGAACTTGTCATTTATTTACGCTGATGTAAAGGTTATTGGCCGTCTCATATTTGGACCTGAAATGGTATATTTTTGGTCACGATCTAAGGAACCCGCACGTCTATCTCTCTCTACGTCCCTTATCGATGGTTGAGGGTCTCCAAGTAGATGAAGAAAAATCATTACATCTATCACTATACAGTCAATCCATTTAGGCTCATGAGACTCTATTCTGTTTGCAAAGGCCTTCAAATGGAAAGATGTTTCAGTTGATATCATGGTTTCATCTATATAACTAAACACAGGTGGCATTGTGTGAGCAGATAACGTAAAGTAATCATCAGGTCTGTTGCCGTTCTTTTGACGTTTCTTGTAAGTACTGTCAGAAGCAAATGTGCTTGGTTTTGACAGTTTTATGGATTTATCAAACCAGGAAGGATCTGCAAAAACTTCTGAAATAAATTTGTCTCGAGAACTGTTGCCATTTTTATAAACGTTTCAAAGAAAATCTTTTGATTAATGTTAATTAATATATCTTGTTCCGCATTATTCTTGAATGGATTAGACATGTTTACAATTCTTTCAATAATTTTGATGTGATGTACCGTGTTCTGAATACTAGCTTGTCTCAATTCAGAAGTTACATCTTCAAGTGTGGAAATGCCTAAATGTTCAAACTTCAACCATAGTTGCCCTCGTATAATGGGACATGGGCCATCTTTATCTAGCTGCTACGGAATTTGTAAATGATGATAGTAATACCTGAAAAACGATTAGTAGCATCTGCATTAACTGTCCGTTCTACGTATGGAAAGGGCACGTCTTTGGAATTGGCCAGATACTCCAGGATGTGTTTCATCTATTTTCATCATACTGTCATGCAACCGGAGAGTCCATCTGGCATAGTTTGGCTGATATAAACTGAAGAATAAACTTGACATTTCAAAGAAGCGGTATGTAAATAAGTTGTCACCAACATGAATACCTTGTGAAACAAAGTGAAATATTCGAATTATTTTCACATACGTGACCAGTGTATTTTGTGAATAAACAATTATTTAATTCAGTTCTTTGGAAACATTATAGCTTATTGAAGAATTTGATTCACAAAAATGTCTGAAATGTAATACATCCAAAGAGAAAGCTAGCAAAGGGTGGGTGCGTTTACATCTATTATAGTGGGCACCTGTTAAGAATCAAGTAAGAGAACCATCAACTATTATCCCAGCATCACTCAATACGAATGGTCCTTCGGATTCTCCAATATAATTTGAAATATGCCATTGATATGTGGAAAGGTCCCAGCAGTATGAAGAGGTTGTCAAATAGAGGACTTTCTGCAGCCTGAATTGTATATGCCATATTCGCAATAGCCAAGTCATATCATGTATTTCTTGACCACACTCTTCACCAATCTGTTGGGATCACTTCATTGTTTCCAAAACAAAATTGGGAGAGGTTGGCGATTGATTGATTTGAGGAAGATAACATATTTGTTATTGAGGAAGGTTATCTTTTACCACAAGTGGATTCCACCATACCCACGTTTGTGTATCGGTAGTTTCTAGTGATATCAACCAAATAACATCCAAAAGTTTGCCATCTGCACAGTTACTAAAAATAATAGATCTTCTGGGATACATCCACTGTTAGTCATCCTAAGTTTCTTCCTATATGGTTCTAGATTTAAAAGGCTTCGAGTAAATGACTGTCTATTCCGACAAACAGGGAGCTGGTTATCATTGTCAGTTGTTTTAGTACTGGTACTTGTATCTGATACATTTTGTCGTAATTATCCCAGGCAGCACTGTGTTCTTCCTGTGAACTACTAGTATATGTTAATCCGTATCCAGTTCTCCATTGCCGGTGTAGCCAACACCGTGTCCATAACGATTTAAAATATCAATTACTTTTCTGCGTCTTGTTATACTCTTAATCGCCATTCCAAGAGTCAAATGACATTTTGAGAAATTGATATAATTTTTCTTACATTTTTTACTGTTTTTCTTCGTCTCTGGTCAGGCCCTCCTACTAAATGAGTAAAAAGTCGATTAATAAATCTTGCACAGAAACCTCTCCTTGAATTATATCCTGCACAGTTAATTTTGATGATAAAGTGGACTTTGGTACATTTAGTATTTCCTTACATAATACGTATGCTATTGTGACGAATCTTTGCTTTTATCGATGATTTTCTGAGAACACCTCTTTAATTGTCTCTTCAACATTCAATCTTTTGTTTTAGTAATATTTCCTTTAGTATGTGATGATAATAATGTCAATTTCTCTGTCCCAAAGTAATTCACTATCTTCCTTTCAAAATGGAAAATAATAAAATCACCATCCTTCGAAAAACTGGTATATACTATTCAAAAAATGTAGGGGATATTTGATTTTGGGGGCACAATACTAAAATATGCAAATGACTACGAAAAAAGTCACTATAGAACCTAACAGAAGAAACATTTCCAGTTACATGTGACGCCCAAACGCACCAATAGCTACCGCATGGAATGCAGGTGATGCTTGGGATCATCATGGGGGTCCACCCCAAGATTTGCACGACTCTGACTTTGAATGTTACAGTCATTGTGGCATTGAATTCCAGGGTGGAAACATCAGTTTAATTGTTTTAGTGACCAGAAAACAAATTTTGATATGCGTCGGCTTACCCAAAATGAAAGGTTACGTGCCCTTGGCATGCTACAGATCGGCACAACACAGGCGGTTGTGGCGCGGACGATGAATGTTTCTCAGTCTGTCATAAGCAGGCTATAGTCCAGATACCGTGATACACAATATGTACAGGACAGACCACGCTCAGGTCGACCAAGGGCGACAACTCAAGCCCAGGATCGATTTATCCGTACCTTGGCCTTGAGAAATCGTGTCATCACAGCAAATCAGATCAGCGCTCGTCTTCAAACAGACACTGGTGTGAGAGTGAGTGGCCAGACGATTCGGAATCGACTGCATAGGGGTCACCTTCGCGCCCGACGTCCTCGCGTGATCCCTTGTTTGAGAGATCATCACATTCAGGTAAGACATCGTTGGTGTAGGGATCGTCAACACTGGGATAATCGACGCTGGAGCAATGTGATGTTTTCAGATGAGTCAAGGTTCACTGTTGATTTTTTGGACAGACGTAGGAGGGTGTGGCGTCGTCGAAACGAGCGTTTCCAAGACGTTAACGTCATCAGACATGATCGATTTGGGGGTGGTTCTGTTATGGTGTGGGGAGGCATCACTGTTGCTGGAAGAACGGCTTTACATGTTGTTGCAGGGCGTGTTACAGGCCAGTACTACCGGGACAACATCTTGGCAGTCCATGTTGTGCCGTTCGCACGACGTCATGGCCGCCGTTTCATCTTCCAGGATGACAACGCAAGATGTCACAGGGCCAGGATCGTTACAGGTTACCTCCAACTACAGAACATCACCACATTACCTTGGCCAGCACTGAGTCCCGACCTCTCCCCCATCGAGCATGTCTGGGACATGCTTGGACAGAGGTTACGTCAACGTCAACAACGTCCTACCAATGTCCAAGAACTTGCTGCTGCGTTGCAACAGGAATGGGACAATCTGGACCAAAATGACCTTAGACGTCTCATAAGGAGTATGCCACGTCGGATCAATGCTTGTTTGGCAAACAGAGGAGGATTTACCCGTTGTGATGCTGTGGTAACTTTGCTGTTTGACCCCGGGTATCATTTTACCCTTATAATGGTCAGTCTGTGCATTACTTAGTCTAACGATCATTTGGAATAAATCGATGAATGTGAACTTCATTTCATTTTGTCATTTGTTTCTTCGTCAGTTTCATTAGGTGACTTTAATAACACTTAAAAATCAAATATCCCCTACTTTTTTTGAATAGTATATATATATACTTCCAACAATGCACTGATTATATATTTCTTTTGTTTGATGTTGAATAGAAATTTCGGATTAATATCTCAGTTTCTAATAAGACGATTTAAACTGTAATTTGGGATTGGGGATCTCAATTGCTAATGGTTGCATAATTTTAATCGATTGGACACTTGGGAATGGGGATCTTCGTTTCTAATCTAATAATGATTTCACAATAATTTTGTAGTATGGATCTTACTTGCTAATGTTTTAATAATAATAACTTGGGAATCTCAGATATTAATAATCAATATTGTATTTCATGCATTTATGTTATGTAACATTTGTTTAAAATATTCTACACATTATCTTGGATGGGGGATATTGCTTGTAACAATGTTTGAGCAAAGTTACAGCCATATTGTGGCGGTTTTTTTTATTCCCATCTTTGATCATTACAGTAGCCTATAAGATAATTTGTATTGTTATTATATATGTTATCGTAGTTCAAATTGTATTAGAAATTGTTCATTATTCATTACAATCATATTTATATATTTTTGTACCTTGTCATTTATTAATAAGATATATTAATAAAAGGCCATTTTCAATTCATTCACTGTGTTGTTGTATTATACGTGCTTTGATCAAACTGAGCAAGATACTGTGTGGCATAAAAAAGAAAATGCCATGAAATAATGTAACACTATATTTAAAGAAGATAAATCGCTATTCTTTGGCACCTAGAAATGGACACAAATGGGTCGCAACGCTCATAATAATGTAATATTAATGTATATAAACTGATTTACATTCAATCGTTTCTGTTTTTACAGTAATTTCTAATCAGTTATGTTCAGCGGAATACGCGAAGAGTCCGAATTGAATGACAGTCTTTGGCATCTGGTTATTCCAGTCTACACTGGTAGTATTCTCCTACATGGGACATGGTTAGCTTCGCTCATCGAGGCGCTTCATACAAAGGCGCTCAAAAGCAGCCCGACACACGATGCGTGTACCAATTGTAACATTTTCATTTTGTCTTAAATATTGAATATCAGAAGCACAACTTTTCACGGTAAGATAACAAAATCAATGTTGATTTTGGTTCCATTAATGGAGAATCATATCACTTGAAGGTCAGTCGTGCTGTATTGTATTTCTACTATACAATGTTGTTGACATCTGCAAATTAATAGTGAAGGTGTCAAACTAGTCAGTTTGTAGATTTAACTTTGAAGTGAAAGCAAGAATGTGTATTCAACCTTGGGTTGGGTGGTGACAATCAAGTGGTCAGATTAGGAGTTTGCCCCACGGAAAACCATCAGATTTGATATTTTTAGAACCGACTAATACATAGTTAACATTTGACACCAGTGACAGTCATATTATTTATGAGGAAAATTTTGACCCTCATTATTGAGAGTGGCTAATTAGGCACATTTAAGTGGTCAGATTAGGGGTTTGCCGTTGTGGTGGGATATGATATTTAAATAGTCAGATTAGGGATATGCCCCACTAATACCAGGCAGATTTGATATATTTAGAACCGACTAATACACAGCTAACATTTGACACCTGTTTCAGTCATATTACTTATGAGGCAAAATTTGACCCCTTTTGTGGACGTGACAGATGAGGCACATTTAAGTGCCCCACTGAAACCAGTTAGATTTTATATTTTTAGAACCGTCTCATAATTAGCCAACATTTGGCACCAATTTCAATCTTATTACTTATGTGGCATTTTTGGGCCCCGTCCTAACTTTTTAGGGCAGTCAGAAAGGGGTGTGGCCAATTTTTCTGGTCAGATTTTGCTTTTTAAGATTCAGATATAGCACCACATTTCAAAACTATTTCTGATCGTGTTACTTATGATGCAAATTTTGACCTTTTGTGTGGGCGTGGCAGATCGGGCAGATTTTAAGTTCTCAGATAAGGGATGTGCCCCACTGAAATCAGTCAGATTTGATATTTTTAAAATCATCTCATACATAACTAACATTTGATTTGGCACCCGTCCGCACTATTTAAGGCAGTCAGAAAAGGGCATTTCCGGTCAGATTTGTATTTTTTATATTCATACATTGTATGATTACATATTAGAAATAATTCTGATCCTATTATTTATGAGGCAAATTTTAACTCTTTTTGGCCCTTTTGTCTGCCCCTCCCAGTCAAATGCCCAACTGAAATCTCGTAAGACTGGGTGGTGAAATGAAATGAAATGAAATTTAACGTCCCACTGTTCTGCTCCTATACTGGGCTAATGAAAACGGGCATAGGCCATACAGTGTGCTATGAGAAAATTTTGCCCGGACTGCGGCACTATGGCCTACTCTTATATCGAATTCAAACTACCAAGGATCTTGTACGTGCACGCCAATGTATACAAGGGACCTCGGTTTTCCGTCAGATCCAAACGACTAGACAGCTGTCCTTATCAGGCCCACCGTCCTGCACCACGGACAAGGGAAAACCACGTCGGAAAATCCTGATGAAATTTCTCGGCCAATGCAGGGATTGAACACGCGACCTCCAGGCTAGCGAGCCAGCGTCTTACCCACTATCACCGTGCCTCCAGACTGGGTGTTTTGAATTTCCCCTATCAATAGCTGCCAATTAATATGGTCAAACCTTCTATACTATTCAAAAAAAGTAGGGGATATTTGATTTTTAAGTGTTATTAAAGTCACCTAATGAAACTGACGAAGAAACAAATGACAAAATGAAATGAAGTTCACATTCATCGATTTATTCCAAATGATCGTTAGACTAAGTTAGACACAGACTGACCATTATAAGGGTAAAATGATACCCGGGGTCAAACAGCAAAGTTACCACAGCATCACAACCAAGTCAGTAACGGGTAAATCCTCCTCTGTTTGCCAAACAAGCATTGATCCGACGTGGCATACTCCTAATGAGACGTCTAAGGTCATTTTGGTCCAGATTGTCCCATTCCTGTTGCAACGCAGCAGCAAGTTCTTGGACATTGGCAGGACGTTGTTGACGTTGACGTAACCTCTGTCCAAGCATGTCCCAGACATGCTCGATGGGGGAGAGGTCGGGACTCAGTGCTGGCCAAGGTAATGTGGTGATGTTCTGTTGTTGGAGGTAACCTGTAACGATCCTGGCCTTGTGACATCTTGCGTTGTCATCCTGGAAGATGAAACGGCGGCCATGACGTCGTTTGAACGGCACAACATGGACTGCCAAGATGTTGTCCCGGTAGTAATGGCCTGTAACACGCCCTGCAACAACATGTAAAGCCGTTCTTCCAGCAACAGTGATGCCTCCCCACACCATAACAGAACCACCCCCAAATCGATCATTTCTGATGACGTTAACGTCTTGGAAGCGCTCGTTTCGACGACGCCACACCCTCCTACGTCTGTCCAAAAAATCAACAGTGAACCTTGACTCATCTGAAAACATCACATTGCTCCAGCGTCGATTATCCCAGTGTTGACGATCCCTACACCAACGACGTCTTGCCTGAATGTGATGATCTCTCAAACAAGGGATCACGCGAGGACGTCGGGCGCGAAGGTGACCCCTATGCAGTCGGTTCCGAATCGTCTGGCCACTCACTCTCACACCAGTGTCTGTTTGAAGACGAGCGCTGATCTGATTTGCTGTGATGACACGATTTCTCAAGGCCAAGGTACGGATAAATCGATCCTGTGCTTGGGTTGTCGCCCTTGGTCGACCTGAGCGTGGTCTGTCCTGTACAGATTGTGTATCACGGTATCTGGACCATAGCCTGCTTATGACAGACTGAGAAACATTCATCGTCCGCGCCACAACCGCCTGTGTTGTGCCCATCTGTAGCATTCCAAGGGCACGTAACCTTTCATTTTGGGTAAGCCGACGCATATCAAAATTTGTTTTCTGGTCACTAAAACAATTAAATTGATGTTTCCACCCTGGAATTCAATGCCACAATGACTGTAACATTCAAAGTCAGAGTCGTGCAAATCTTGGGTTGGACCCCCATGATGATCCCAAGCATCACCTGCATTCCATGCGGTAGCTATTGGTGCGTTTGGGCGTCACATGTAACTGGAAATGTTTCTTCTGTTAGGTTCTATAGTGACTTTTTTCGTAGTCATTTGCATATTTTAGTATTATGCCCCCAAAATCAAATATCCCCTACTTTTTTTGAATAGTATATTACTCATGAAATGAAGGATTTTTTTCGTTACTGGCTCTTAGACTAGTTTTACAAACTTTTTAAATAGCTACATAAATCATCTACATAATATATCTTGAATGTCTATCGAAGCCCTTCGTTCTACACCACTGACAAGGGTGAACCACACCAGAGCATCCGATGAACTTTCTCAGCCAACGCAGGGATCGGACACGGGACCTCCAGGTTAGCGAGCCAACGGTTACTTACTGAGCCACCTTAGCCAGGCATACGTTGAAACTAAATGAAATCAGGTTTAACGTCCTACTGTTCTGCTCATGGTCGGGCTAATGAAGACGAACTTGCGCCATACAGTGTGCTATGAGGGGATTTTTTCCCGGGCAGCGGCACTACGGCCTACTCTTATATCGAATTCCATCTGCCAAGGGATCTTTTACGTGCACGCCAATGTGTACACGAGACCTCGGTTTTTCGTTGTCACTTGTCAGGCCCTCTATTCTGTACCACTGACAAGGTAGAACCACGCCGGAAAATCTGGATGAACTTTCTCGGTTCAATGCAGGGATCGAACACCCGACCCCCAGGTTAGCGAGCCAACGTCTTACCGCCTAGCCACCACCGTAGCAAGCTCCCATGTTTAAATTAAAGCTACTAGGTTCGGAGTTGGGGTGTTGGATGGCCGAATGGTTATAAAAGAGTGTGCGCGCTGTATCATAAGGTCTGTCATTGAGTCAACTGGCGTGGTTTCGATTCGCCAGTTGTATGTGACAAGAAGTAGGGTCGCCTGTCCAGCCTCGTGGTTTTTCTCCGGGTCCTCGAGAGACCCTACGCGCAAGTGAATTATTGAAATAAAATGTCCCGAAATGACCTGGTTTGTGTCGAGTGGATGTTAAACCACATCTCTCTCTCAGGTTCGGGGTTTCAACGAAATAATAGAAAAATGTCAAATTGCATAAGTTGTGTAAGACATATTAAACAACTTACCTAGCAGAGACCACTGTGTCGACAAAAATATATTAAGCGTGAAGGAGAGAGAAACGCTTCATTATTACGGAGTCCGATACCGGACACAAAATATAGCCTACCTCGCGTACCCAATTACTAACTAGTGCACACAAAACAATAAATAGTGCGTGCCAGATATTAAATATTGTGTAACTTAAATACTAGTGCGCGCCAAATTTTAACGAGCTAGTTATAAGGTGGCTTCAGACCGCGATGTCTACACAGGCTTATCCTTTCAGTTTAATACCCCAAAACATAATGCACTTCGTATTATAAATCGCGCCCGAGTTGTTTACTTTTGTGTCGCTTACCGGACTCCGTAGTATACGCTTGCGCCTGGGTTTTCTCCATTCAACTTATTATAGATAGAGTCTGCCTGTGTCAAACTATTTGTTGCGTAATAGTCAACGGGAAGTATCATCTAAAGGAGTTAAGTCTTTAACTCAATATTTTCCATAATATTCGAAATTAAAAACACGAATTAGAATTCAATGTTGATCAATTTTAATCAATATTGATGTTGTTAGATGTTGTTATCTTGTCGTGAATCTATAATCATTACATGGGTGCCATTTTGTAATCATCAAATAAAATAATATCCCACAACAGTATGTGGAATAATTAGTAAAGGCTGATTCACAAACGACAAAATAATAATTTAAAAAATGTCTAGAATGCACGCAGCAGGTGTAAACGACTGCCGTTCAGTTTGAACTGTTCACATATTTCACCAAACATAATTGATTAGTAATTGCAATATTTTTTTTTTCAAAAATTGAATATAAATCACTTTACATACATTCATATTACATTAATATGTGCTTTTAGAACCATTTTTGTCTATTTCAAGGTTCCAAAAAATAGAGCCAAAAGGTTGTGATCAAAAGCACATTGATCACTCAATACAAGAGCACATCAACAGCACATTGATCACTCAATACAAGAGCTATAGGCAACAAGTGTGTTCCCACCCTTTACATTTTCATACACATTCTGAAACCAAACTTTGCACCAAGTGAGCAAGTGACAATTGCTTTCTTTCCATTGCTCTGCAATCCTTTTTGACTAGTTGTCATATCTAGGATAGGACAAAATGGTCAAAGTTGGGTTAGTGGATATAGAAAGTCATAGGAATAGTTTGATGTGAGATCATGATCTGTTACTGATCTCAGTAAAGAATAATAACAAAACATCATATTATAATAGATAAATATCATTTTTTATTGATTGTTGCTCTAAGACAAATATTCTGTATGTTTTTCTGATATGGTAAAAAAACAAAATTGGTATTAATTTTTTTTTTACATACCAATTACATAGAAAAATATAAATATACAGATATGATAGCAATAAAGATCAGGGCTGGGGCCATTACACTGCCAATGTAATTACTTTTTCATTTTTAGGAATGTAATTCATTACCATTGCCCATAACATTGAAAGTAATTAATAACCATTACCTATTACTTTATGGCTCTATAAATAAAACTCTTTTTATATAGACATTAAAAAAGACAACCTTATTTTTCTGCCATTGAGCACTTAAAAAATCGCACTGAAAATAATATTTGATTTGATATAACAGAGTTTTGGTATGAATTCTAATTTCTAAGGAAATTTTCAAGTGATGGGTGTTGTGAAAAAAATCTGCTGTTGTAATTTTATGGGTTTGAAAAATGAATTGATCATATTGTTAACTACATATGATTTCAAGTACATGTAATAAGATAAAATTCGTACTCAATTCAAATAGTTTTCTACAAACATTGCTCAGCATGACCATAAAACAAGATTTACCTTTTTTTCATATTTTAAGTAACCATATGATGAGATACTTGAAAGCCATTGTTTGGTTGGTCACTTGTTACCTTGAGATTAAGATCAATCTGCAGGACCGTAGCTAGCCCAAAATTGTTGGGGAGGCAAAGGCTTCTGGGGGCGCTGATGTACCTACACTTGACGGTTCACGGTGAACAGTACCGTGGACACGCCTCCCTTCGGAGATTGGTCTAGGGTGCTCTCCCCCCAGAAAATTTGGGAAAATAGGGTTTGCACCTGAAACTGACGGAAAATTTTATTTTTGAAGCTGAATTTGCGATATTGGCATATTATGATTTTTCGATATGAACATTATAAAAATTTGAAGGAAGGAATACGACTTTAATGTACCTATAATAATTTGAAAAAACCCCGAAAAATTCGGAATCAGGTTAGAGTGCGACTTGTTTGCATTTTGAAGATTATCATGCCATTTTGGACGTCCAATTCATTCGTACGCGCCTAACCAATCTCACTCGGCAAATGGGCGCCCACGATGTCGGTAATATGGGTGCTGCTCCGGGATGAGGCACCTCACCAATCATTGATCAGGTCGTGGGCGTCCAACCAATCTTATGTGCGGTCCGACAATCATATATTGTCATTATAAGGCACCCCACAGATCAAGCCGTGGTGTTAATCGTGTGAGTCATGGTGAGGCACCTCATAATGACTCACATAAAGCCAAGTGACATTGGTTGGGCGCCCCGCCAATCTCGTTAGTCATTAGCTTTGTATTGCGTCCGAATTTTTCTAGGGGCCCCCGCTAGCTACGGGCCTGAATCTGTCATAAGACTATCTAATTGTCTTTTAATCTAACTGATGGATTGACTAAAAGGTTGAATTCAGATTAGCACTAATAATTCCCTTTGTTTTATCTGTCTATAAAAGGGCCCTCAATAAAAACAAAAGGACTAATATGAAATAGTTTTGTTTTGTAATTATATTTTGTCTAAAACAGATTTGTTCTTTTTTTCAATTACAATGAATTGGATTTGTGTCAGATGTAGTTAATTTACTTCTTTAATGCTAAAATTTGAGGCTTGTCATAGTTGGAACTATTGATATATGCCATGAAATGTAATTGAAAAGTTACTGAAATGTAATTATTCATTATATGATTTTGGGAATGTAATTTTAATTAAAATTACATTTTCATTACTCATTAGTATTGTAACCTCCCATTACTCATTACATGACCATAAATTAAAAATATAATTGCCAATTTCCATTATCCCAGTCCTTATAATAAAGATAGCTTTAATATACTTATTTTCTTGTCAATGGTATTCATGTTACAACGGGTATCTCTGGTTTTGTGTAAAACGTGGCACGGACAGACTGAAGAGCAAAATTTACTTTAAACAGGCTTTTAATAATAATATACAATGATATGAAAAGGCTATTTACATGAATACTGATACACAGAATTCAGATGTTTCTTATAAAGGCAAGCAAGGACAGTACATCACACATATAAAGTTTGTCCTACAACTCATTGAACCGAAATCATCATGGAAGACAGGAGAGGTCTAGATTCAAATGATTCGTTTTTAAAGAATATAAAATTCTATATAATTTCTATCTAGTTTTCTTTCTAGCATGATGATGATGGTGATAATGATGAAAGCAGAAAAATAACTAGAATAAGAATTTGATTATATTTAAGGAAGACATTATAATAAATTATCAATACAATTACATGCATTTATATTTTAAAATGTGGAGTGAAGATATAGATGATCAGATAAAAGTGTACAATGAAATTATGAGTTATCAGGTTAATAAAACATGAAAGAATAGTGTGCCAAATAAAATACATTTATACAGAAAATCCTGTTTCAGTTTAAGAGTTGAGGAAAATATGAGATAAGATTTGATTTATTAGGAAGTTGATATAAAATGTTATCTTAATTATTTAAAGATGCATTAGCAAGTTGGGGGTCTTTGTCAGTTGGTACAAAAATAATTTTTGATGTACTGTCATTTGACTACAGATCTACATTGGGCAAGTTCAAATTAGACTGTCATAGGCAAATCTACCAAACCACCAAACAGTGTCATACAAATTTTAGTGCTACTGAAGTAGTTTAATAAATACTCTTTAAAGTATTCTTGGATTTTGCACAAGCGAGTTTAAGTTTGTTTTGAATATATATATTATTATAAAATAATTACATTTATTTTATTGGGGGAGAGTTTCAATACGAAATGACAGGTTCAGTATATTTTGGATGATCAGATAGCCCCAAAGTATAAAATCTCTAGTTATCAATATAACAACATTTTGAAGATGAACAATCTTGTTTTCACATTCCATGTTTTACTCCCATGTTCTTCTTCATTTTCATAAATATAACACTAAAAACTATTTACATATCATACAATATTTTAACAGACCTACAAGGTTTTCTAAATATTATTTAATAACTTTTAATTTTGTAACAAAACATAAACAATAACAGATATAAATTTTAACTAACACTCACAACCTCTGTTTTCTCTTCTACTTATGATTATCAAAATGACTACTAATGACAAACTGTTACTTTATGGTCAGTTTGATTGTAGCTCTAGTGAGTCTACATCAAGATTTAAGATTTCTAAAGCACATTTTCTGTATAAATATTACAATCTCAATTCTAAATACAGCTTTGAAAATTAGTGTTGATTCTTAGGAATCCAAATAGTAGCCATTTTAGTTCAGATTTATTTCAATCAAAATTCTCCTTTAATTTTTTAGAAAAACAATTTCAATGACCCTGTTCACAACCTTCCTGTGTAGATAAGTATGGTATATAAAACCACATGTGAAATAATGCTCACTCAATTTGAATTTCAAAATAAAACTAGAATCAAATAAAGTTTTGGAATGAAATACATGTATTTAAAAACTTGAAGGGAGTTGATATCTAAAATACATCTAAATAAATCTATAGTACATGCAAAATCAATATTTGGAAGGTGGAACATACTATAACAGTGGTCACATTAATAAGATGTATACATGATGTAACTTCATCACCAACATAATATATAACACATTTAAATTTAATATCAATTAATAAATTTTTGGCAAAATTTAGAAGATATGTCTAATAATATTTCAGCTATAATATTTAACTCCTTCAACATACAGACATTATAAATGTTCCATAGAAAATTTTGTATGAAATTTTATTTAAAGTTCATATTTACATTATATATAATATCTCTAATAACTAATTTTTTCTAATATCACACAATGCAGTTCACTACGAAATATTTAAATGAAACTATCCTATGAACACAATATGGATGTGAACGTAATAAAAGTGATCTACAATACATATATGTAGATGTAACAAAATTATATGTTCACAGTTAAGTACGTACAGCGAATGTTGAATGTGACCTATACTGGAGGTAGTATTAATACTATGTAATGAATTTATCGAGATTGCTATTAGAAATGATCAACCATTACAGATACACTGTTCTTGCCAACATGTCCTTGTGTTACCCCATCTAAACCAGCTAGATTCATATTCTGCCATTGTGTTGGGTGACCTAAATTATAAAGGAAATAGATAGGTCTATTTTCACCAGATTGATATGAAAATACAAGCATATTGTTTTACTGGAATCATGATTAAAATAATCTAGGAGACAGTACTTGTTTGAAATTCAAAATATTACACAAATGAATGCTCAAAATTAATGTCACCTCTATCCGACGGACTTAAAAAAATCAAAAATTAATATACTATGTACTTTTCTTTTGAAGCTAGCCATACCCAATCTCCATTGGCCAATTTTTCTCCTTTCTGATTAATACTAAGATGCAATCATTTCTATTGATTGTGTTCCTTATGAAGGACCTACTCCAGAATATTTTCTGGGGGAGACCCCCCCCCCCCCCCTACTTGATAATCACAATATTGATGACTTTATTGACTCTAAAGAGATCTTCTGGACAAATATAGCTTAAACTGTAAGATAGGAAGAAATATTGGAATAACCTTTCCTTTATACTGTACATGATGAAGTATTATATATAATACATACCTGATGGAGAATCACTAGATTTTAAAGCAAAAGACCAACTATCCGGATTAACAGCAGCACAATGTGGTAATTTTAATTCTACTGGTTGATTAAATTTTAAACCATGGGGACCACACATTACTAGTGGACTTAATAATGTTTCTCCTGAAAAAATATAATATTTACTCTATTACCAGTATTCACATTGTATGATTGAATGGTATCACATTTTGCATTTTTATTCATTACCAGTATCTAGTATCAAAAGATTTAAAATTTCATCAACCATGAATGAATGAAATAGGGTTTAACATCCTAATTTCTGCTAATGAAGACAGGTGCCCAACCAGAAGTACCATTTATTCACCTTTACAACTGCTCCAACCATGAAAAACCCGGAAGTGCAAACCATTTCATTAATGAGGAGAGGGCGTGTCATATTAAGGACATGTAATCATGTTTATTTATTTTTGTCAGCTACTTTTTTGTCAATTAAACAAGCAACATGCACAATATTGTCAATATTTTGTTTTGAATCTTGTCAATTGTTCTCAAATGGAGGACAATTTTTAAAAAATATAAAAATTCTGAATTTTTTATTTAGTTTGACAATTTAATAACATTGTAATTAACAAAAGCTGGTAGGGATTCTACAAGATTATAATGTGATGAAATACTAACCTTTATCTCTATCTAATGGAGGTAGAATACTGTTATCTCTACATACTTTAAAATATATTTCTTGTTTTGGACCATCTGGTATAGCACCTGGTGGTATTATAATACTAACACCTATATAAATATACAAAAACATTCATATATGTCAAGATAGGTTGCCAGGCAACGAAATATACGCCCAAAGCAGCTAAGTTGTCCGAGCAGTCAACAAGAGTTTTTTCTTTTGTCGGTAATGAAAACATTTATAAAACACTAAAATTTTATTAAGAGTAACAACCCATTAAGTAATTATCAGAAATCACTAGAGTTTGTTTGCTACAGCTAAAAGATAGGTTGCCAGGCAACAAAACATACGCCCACAGCAGCTAAGTTGTCCGAGCAGTCAACAAGAGTTTTTTCTTTTATCGGTAATGAAAACATTTACAACACACTTAAATTTGATTAAGAGTAACAACCCATTAAGTAACTATCAGAAATCATTAGAATTTGTTTGCTACATGCTAACGTTTAGTATACAAAAATTTAATAGCATGAATTTAGCTGTCCATGTTATTGGAAATTATTGAAAATCAATTAACTTCATCTTCTCATGACCTTTAACACTGTGTATAAATTTAAAGTCAATCAACACTGTGTATAAATTTAAAGTCAATCTGATGATACATATGGTCTCAAGAGCATCCACAACATTTTTCGAAGTTATCAAGGGCCACAACTCAGGCTGTAATTATCGGAAATTGTTGAAAATCAATAAGTTTTGTAGTTTCAGGACCATATCACTATATATCAATTTAAAGTCAATCGAATGATAACTTTGGTCTGAAGAGCGTGAACTCGAGTATTCAAAGAGGTCAAGGGCCATAATTCTTGCAGTAATTATCAGAAATAGTTGAAGTCAATTGGATATTAACTTTAGCTTCTAGAGCGTCCACAAGATTTTTCAAAGTGATCAATGGCCATAACTCGGGCAGTAATTATCAGAAATCGTTGATCAATAGGTGTCTGCATCGCATGATCTTAAACACTGTGTATAAATATGAAGTCAACTGGATATTAACTTTAGCCTCCAGAGAGGCCACAAGATTTTTCAAAGTGATCAAGGGCCATAACTCTGTCAGTAATTATCGGCAATCGTTGAAAATCAAATTTAAAGTTAATTTGATATTAACTTTAGCCTCTAAAGCATCCACAAGAATTTTTAGTGATCATGGGCCATAACTCTAGCATTAATTAATGAAAAAAGTTGAAAATCAATATGCTTCTTCGTCTCATGACCTTCAAAACTGTGTATAAATTTAAAGTCCATCAAATATTAACTTTAGCCTCAAGTGTGCCCACAAGCAATTATGAATGACAGACAGATGGAAGGGTGTGACGACAATATATGACCACATTTCAATGGAGGCATATAAAAACTATATCTTAATTAATAATATCTTTCTATGGGAGAGAATAAACAAATTTTACCTGTTTCTTTTGATTCTAAAACACCACCTCCACTATCAAATGATCCTCTAGCAGTAGCCACTACTGTATGGTTCTCGTCTATTTCTCTGCCAAAATCCATCCTACAAAAATACAAACAGTTCAGATAAATGGGACAACAGTTCAGAGTATTTTTAGATGCATATAACACAATTTCTTCAATAATAATAAATCAATTCATACAAATACAAAATTCTTTCTTGAATTTAACATTAAGCTAATGTCAATATTTCAATTTCATTCATGGTGGGTGTGGTGTGCAAGGCAAGTTATGCTTGCTCTTTCATGGAAACCTGGTACCACTTTCCATTAAGGGATTCATCCAGGAAGCTGCGTTGGCTCACTCACCTGGTGGTCCCCTGTTCCATCCGGGTGATTGCCAAGAAAGTTCATCGGAACTTACCGGTGTGGTTCCCCCTTGCCAGTGGTGTTGGACAGAGGGCCTGGCAAGGGAAAATGTATAGTAATTCAGATGGTACGAAAAACTGAGGTTATGTGTACACATCGGTGTACATGTAAAAGACCCTTGACAGTTGGAATTCGAAATAAGAGTAGGCTGTAGAGGCAAAATTTCCATCATAGCACACTGCATTGCATATGCTCGGTTTTCTAAGGAGAGTCAGTGCAGAAAAGTAGGATATTAAACCCCATTTCATTTTATTTCATTTCAGTTGCTACCAATACTCGATTTTGCTTCATTTGTCTGCTGGACTATATATTTGTCAACTGGTTAGGAATTTGGATTGATTGTGCTTGAATTTTGTTCAATAAGTGACATGCATGTTTTTAGTTATAGAAAAAGATATATTTTATAAACCAACTCTATAAATACATTACAGCTGTTCTAGAAAACATCTGCCAATTTATCCCTCATAATAAAATACTTGCTAATTTGTGGACTAATTTGATGGCTACTTTATAAAGAATTTAAAATAAAGCTCAAGTAACACTACAGAAGATTGCTGCAGAATTTAAAATCTTGCGTGCTACCACAATATATGCCCATCAGCAGGAATAAAATTCACAAATCCTTTTTAATTTTTGTATTGCCAGAAATATGGCTGATTTCATGCAGTCTTACCCTGCAATAACTGTATCAGGCGTAGAGATACTATCTGATGCCCCATCACAACTATCATTATCTCGTACATATAGTTCCTTAGTTACCAGCAAACTAGTCACTAGGGGAGATGGCCGATACACATTATCAAATTTAATTGGGGGTGGAGGAGGGGGAGTGGGGACAGGTTTAAATGGTGTACTGGTGTTAAAAAAAGAAAAGAAAGGAGAGAAAATGTTAAAAATTAAAATGGATAAAGCAGAAATAAAGCTTTTAAACCAAATATGAAATAAGCACCACAACCATGAGAGAAATAAAACTGATAAAATTAATTTTAAGGTACATAAAACTTTCAGTACTCAGATCATTGAGATTAAAATCCAGAAAGTTTAAAAACCCAATGGTAAAATATATCAAAATACATTTCATTGGTTAAAATAAAGTACCTGTCAGTAACATCTACAGCTTTTACTGATTGTGGAGGTTCCTTTTTACCAAATGTCCTCAAAGGTTCTTGTTTTCTGTATGCCTCAAAAGCACTGTTTCGTTTATCTTGCGCATCTTTCTCCCCCTCTCTGTGCAATAAAATGAGTTACATAGATTTTTCACAAGTTATTAGAACAAAAGCAAATGGAATGGTAAGCGCTAGAAGCTCTAAAGCACACCTTAGCAAGCGCATTATTGAAACTAGGATGAAATGAATATTCAGCCTATTATCTGTACGTGAACAAAAACATGCATATTGATATATGATCGATATATGATCATATGGCCTATTATTAAAGAAAAGGGAATCTACACATGACACAATTATATGGAATACAAGTTAGATGTTTTTGTTGTGATGTTTTGCCAAGGATTCTCCCATCTTTATCTTTGCTCGATAGAGAACACGTGTTGAAACATCGCCATTCTTTGCTTGAAAAAGACATTTATTGTACCATGTGTTATTAAACATATTCATATTTAATATAGCAACTTGTAAATTGTCCGTCATTTATCATTCCAGTAAAGAATAAACAAGTGCATACATTAAAAATTTCAGCTGTTACTTTTAACCCACGTCAGTCATTTTTTAAAATACACCCAGCTATACCGAATTTGAACCATTAACTTGTTTTATATCAAAAGCAGTCTACAATCAACAGATCTCAAACCTTTTAAATTAACCTGAACATTCAAAAGATCCAGTTCACGATAAATCTTCAATATTCACAACATTAGCATTATAAGCCATAGGCATATAATTATGTATAATCATTTAGTGAATGGTACGTGTAGGTGTAGAATATGTGTTTTGTCCCCATATTTCTAAACTTTCTTTGATGTGTATCTTAAGTTAAAATATTTGGTTTGTTCATTAATTTCCTGTTCTTTATGATTAACATTCTGTACTCAACATTTTAAATAAACAGTGACAATAAAACAGCTTGATGAAAACAATCAGTAAGCTTACATGTTCTTATCCTAAATTAAAAAATCTTCCAGCTGTGTCACATGTCAATGTGAAGTCAATATTTTACTTTCATTGCTTAAATGTCCATTTGAGCTAGGTAATGCAACAGAGATGTTTCAAATCACCACGTCCTTTGGCACCAAACTTGCGTAAGTGTTTTACGCATGATACAAAATAGACACATTTGTAAACTAGGTCATATTAACTGAGTATTACTTGTTCAATTTGATTGAAAATATTAGCACCAAACCTTAGCTGAAGTGAACTATTTGTTGAAATTTGTGTTTCATTTAGGTATTTTTTTATTTCTTATTGCCACTGATATATTTGCAAAAATAACGAATGGGAGCACATAATGTCTGATGGTTATTTGGCTTAAGCTATACTTTAGTGGAACAAACAGAACATGCACCCTGATTACATGCCAAACTCAAAGACAAGTTAATGTAGCACATACAGTAAAAAAAAAAGATAGGTTGCCAGGCAACGAAACATACGCCCACAGCAACCAAATCGTCCGGGCAGTCAAAAAGGGTTGTCGCATATTTTTACTTTTTTCGGTAATGAAACATTTATAATACACTAAAATCTGATTAAGAGCAACAACTCACAAGGTAATTATCAGAAAACTATAAGAATTTGTTTGGTTTTTATAAAGTTCTGCCCCATGCTAACATTTTGTATGCAAAGCTTATAATATCATGGATTTAACTGTTCAAGTCATAAAAATTCATTGAAAATCAATATACTTGTTCGTCTCAAGATCTTAAACTCTGTGTATCAATCTGAAGTCAATCGGATGATAACTTTAGCCTTTAGAGCGTCACAAGATTTTGTAAAGTGATCAAGGGCCATAACTTTGGCAGTAATTATCGGAAATCGTTGAAAATCAATAGGCTTCTTTGTCTCATGACCTTAAACACTGTGTATAAATTGAAAGTCAATCGGATATTAACTTTGGCCTCTAGAGCGTCCACAAGATTTTTCAAAGCGATCAAGGGCCATAACTCTGGCAGCAAATATTGGAAATCGCTGAAAATCAAAAGGCTTCTTCGTCTCATGACCTTAAAAACACTGTGTATAAATTTAAAGTCAATCGAATATTAACTTTAGCCTTTAGAGCGTCACAAGATTTTGTAAAGTGATCAAGGGCCATAACTCTGGCAGTAATTATTGGAAATCGTTGAAAATCAATAGGTTTCTTCATCTCATGACCGTAAACATTGTGTATAAATTTAAAGTCAATCGGATATTAACTTTGGCCTTTAGAGCATCCACAAGATTTTTTGAAGTGATCAAGGGCCATACATAACTCTGGCAATAATTATCGGAAATCGCTGAAAATCAATAGGCTTCTTCGTCTCATGACCTTAAACATTGTGTATAAATAACTCTGGCAGTAATTATTGGAAATCGCTGAAAATCAATAGGCTTCTTCGTCTCATGACCTTAAACACTGTGTATAAATTTATAAAGTCAATCGGATATTAACTTTGGCCTTTAGAGTGTCCACAAGATTTTATGGAGAGATCAAGGGCCATAACTCTGGCAGTAATTATTGGAAATCGTTGAAAATCAATACGCTTCTTCGTCTCATGACCTCAAACACTGTGTATAAATTTAAGGTCAATTGGATATTAACTTTAGCCTTTAGAGTGTCACAAGATTTTGTAAAGTGATCAAGGGCCATAACTCTGGCAGTAATTATCGGAAATCGCTGAAATTCAATAGGCTTCTTCGTCTCAAGACCTTAAACACTGTGTATAAATTTAAAGTCAATCAGATATTAACTTTAGCCTCTAGAGCGTCCACAAGCAATTGAGGATGCCGGACCGCCGGACGGACGGACGGACGGGGGCGACGACAATATACGACCACATTTCAATGTGGGCGTATAAAAAGGAGATACAATTACAAAATAAACTTTGACAAAGCATACTGTATAGTTAGCTGAGCATGCATTGAAATCTGTTTAACCATTAAATGAGCATTGCAAAGCCATCTTAAATTGGATATTCCAATTGTTTTTTTGACAATAATTTGAATACTAAATCAATTGTGGCATTTTACTCATACAACAGAAAAAAAAATCAGCAACAAATATAAATGCAGTTTGCTCCAACAGATCCAGAAATAGCAGAAAGAGAGAGCCAATCGGTTATTGTGTAATTGTGGTGTTATAATAAGCTAGTCATGCACTATCAAAGATAACATCTAAATAAAGCAACCGGATACTGTATTCATCTTTTAAACTCAACACAGACATGATGCATACTTGTACTAATATAGAATGTCCTGGTGTAAATTCTAGGAAATATTTCATTCACATAAAATTTCTATAAATATATCACTGGCTTTTCTTATATCAAGGGTCAAAATAATATGCAAAGTTCATAACCTTATTCTGTCCTGTTTCAGTTAGGTACATAGGTGGTTACCATCTTTATTTGTTTGAAGTTTAATTTTGGGCTTGGTCATTAAAGTTGTATGTTTTCATGCTCTTAGTCTTAGTAATATTTATGTTCTATCCATACTACCATACGAGGCAAAGTGTCTGGTAAAATAACCACAACTGATGTATGTGCTGTAAGCCTTGTGTGCTTATTTTGATTGAATACAGTACCAAAGGTATTATAAAATAGGCTATACTCTTATTAGCAACCATCTCCAAGGATAGCAATAGAATTTTTTTTACCGAAGATCACTATGGGAATGTAAAAACTGTTTCTTTGATCCGTAAAAACCAGGTGTAATTAACTTCTTATAAGACTCAAAATGTTCTCTGACATGTTTGTCTGGGTCCCAACTTTTATATCTATCTGATCGAGGGTTAGAAAGTGTAGGTTTATTTGTTCTAGTATGAGATTCAGACTTTGCTCGATGTCTAAATTGATTTAATTCTTGCAGTTGTTCATCATCAGTTCTGGAAATTAAACGAACCAAACATGTTAGCAGAATACTCTATGATTAACAAAGGCCTTGAGAAAGTTAAATTCCTTTTGCAGACATGTCATTACATCATATCAACATATACAGCATTTGTTAGTCATGTGGCAATGTTTTTATTAAACAGATTAAATTAAAGCAATATATGCAATCTTATTGACTACTTAAGCTGGTAGAATGCACATGGAGAGAGGTGGAAAATACCAGTTGATTGTAAGTTTATTTCAGATTTGAAATTTTGCAGTATTTTTTTGCTTGGTAATTGTTCTGACTATAGACCATGAAATTATACTCTTTTTTTCAATAATTAAAGAAAGATTTAAAAGGGAAAATATACTAGCAAAGAAGAAGCAAGTGCAGTCAGGGTTGGGAAGGGAATAGGCAAATTGAAACGGACTAATAAAAAAAAAATAAGACATGCTATTCAGTAATGAAATTGGTACTTTATTCATGCTTGTTGAAAATATGATAATTTAGAAAATAATACTACAGATATAATATTTATGCTATAATTCATGAATAGCTGAGCATGAATGCTAATTATAAAGTATGTGAATCATTTTTAACAAATGATGCAAGTTTCCGTTCCATTACATTACATTCAAAACGGTCCATGCAGTAGCGAGTAATAAATTCATGGCCATTTTTACAGCATGCACAGGGTATGTGTTTTTTTTTCTAGCTATCTATAGATGAATAGAACTGTTATATGGGTAATTTGGAATGGAATGGAAACATGCAACTATTAATCTACAATGGACAATGATGAAGGAAGCTTGCTCCTTCTTTGCTGTAGTATACATTAAGAAAATTTTAAAATAACATTGGTTGGTTACAGTATATTTAAACATATTATGCCTTCATGTTGAAAAGTGAGCATACTGATCAAATGCCTATTCAAACCATTATGTTCATGTATATCTTTGACCAATACATTCCGAAATGTTGGCATACAAATTTCCATTTTGCATACCATTCGAAACTGAATATATATGACCATAGAATTCTGGGTTTATTCACAATATTTGGATTATTCTATTTAATATATCTATCTTTCTATTTACAATATACTAATGTACAAAACTATAAATATTATTATATATTACAATTATTTATATAAATAAGATATATACGCACTCCTAGAACTGCCATTTTCTTTTTATAAAATATCATTTTGGGATAATAAAAGTTAGCTAAGAAATATTAAAATGCCAGAATCTGTAAAATCTCATTAGAAGCCAAATGGCCTCAAAATAAACTTGCTGAAGTTTAGTATAAAAGTAAAAAAGAGTGATTTATAAAATGATTATTATAAAATATATCAAACTTAACAACAGTGATCTACTTTGCTAGACCGGCAGCATCAACATGTGTGTGCCGAATGCAATGGCTATCAATACAGCACCTAGATTATAAGTATTGTCTGTATATTTATATCAGTTGTGAGTGACGTATCAAAAGGCAAGAACAAGAATGAAAAGAAGAAGAGCACTATTATATATCACACAATATGTGATTAAAATGAGAATTAAAATGATGTTACGGTATATCAATGATAAATGGTAGTCAAATATGTACATGTAAACGATAATAAAACTGATATTTGTTAATACTGTCATGTAACAACACAACCTTTTAGTAAACAACCACAACCTATATCTCACCTTGGTCGAGTATACCCATTTTCAACAGGGTAAATTTCACTATCGTTACGCAATTGTTCTTTACTGGATCGTATTCTATCTAGATCGCGATGGTCCATGTACATATGATTTGCGAATGATTTACCAGTTCGATCATACACATTGTCCGGAAAATATTCTGTTCCGTATATTTGATTATCGTAACTGTTCACATGATTATTATAAACATCAACATGATTATCAGATGGTCGTTTTTCCCTATTCACACCATTCTGACGCAAGTCGCGCACATGACCATTTGGCTGTTTGAGTGCCACATATTCATAAGGTCCTTCTGGGGTATTGTCCACCGAACGATGAAGTTCGTTATCTGCACCATTGTAATTTGGTCGGTCACGTCTGGCTTGTGAGGAATAGTTCATGTCTGTATAACTCCTGCAATTAAATATGGTACCATTCAAGTGCTGTGATATACATTAAAAGACATGTGTTGGTCAGACAGTAGTTGAGATTTGGTAGGAATTTGGATGTGCCTGTCATCCTTTAAGCACATAAGGGTCAAATATTAATAGCCAATTACTAAGTGTGACCAGTGCTTTAATCAATCTAAACTTTTAACAATGTCCGTTTTACACATGTCTACAGTCTAAAACAAGTCCAACTAAATGTCCTTAATTAGTTTCTAAAACAAATTAGATTCAGTTCTATTTCTATCTATTTGTCAAAGACAACAGTATTTTTTTGTCACAGAGTTTATTGTTAAGTATCAACAAAAATATGAATTTTGGGAAGTTTAAGACAATAAGAGCTGATTATTATTTGGTGATGCTAACTAATGAAAATTGAGAACATTGTTTACTGAGGCTGTAAAAAGTTTAGATCCACAAAAAATAAAAAGCAAAATACAAGGCAAAAAAAAAAAAAAATCAATGTTAAAGCAGCAAACTAAACTTTGAACTAAAGAATGCAATTGAATTCCAAATGGCAATATTAAATACAAACCTATTGGAATTTTCATAATTTCGGGCTTTTTCATCCTCAAATACAACACCTCTTTCACGCAAACTATAATTTTTAACTGGCACTGGTGGGGGTTCCTTTTTTACTTTGGGTGGAACATCTATTACTGGAGCATCCATGTATTTAACAGGTTTTTTTGATTTCGGATCGTCCTTTCTGAAACAAAAAAAAAAAATGGAACAAAACCATTAAATGTGATAAGAAAAATGTAATAATGTAACATAATGGTGCATAATTAAAGTATGTATAAGTATAGCATGATATTTAGTCAACATATATTCCAGATAACAGAACATACTTAATCAACCTGTCAAAATTATTTTTATGGCAACCGTGGGGATCTTAATTTCAAGCAAGATCAAAGAAAACAAAACATATTTGGTCAACTTGGCAAGTTTAATTTGTAGGCTAATTCTAATCGCAGGGTGTATTCCCATGACCGCACCGTTACAGAGATGAACAAAATCAATCCTCCCCACGAAGGTGCAGATATTGACTTGTTAGCTTTCATTTGAAGAGAGGCATGTTGTTATTAGGACCCAATTAACAGTGTTAAAGATTTTATGAATTTATATTCACTCTGAATTTTATGAATTTATGTTCACTCTGAATTTCATGAATTTATGTTCACTCTGAATTTATGTTCACTCTGAATTTTAGTTCACTCTGAATTTTATGAATTTATGTTCACTCTGAATTTTATGAATTTATTTTCACTCTGAATTTTATGAATTTATGTTCACTCTGAATTTTATTCACCAATTGGCAACTAATGATGAATATCATGAAATCATCCAAGTAGTGTTCACTCTGAATTTTATTCACCAATTGGCAACTAATGATGAAAATCATCAAGTCATCAAAGTATTCAATATGAATCTTAATCACCAATTGGCAACTAATGGTGAATATCATTATATCATCCATGTAGTCTTCACATATTCGCTCACTCTCAATCAGATCCAAAAATAACTGAATTGGCCGACTATGTAACAAACCAATGGGCGAGGGTGAATATATCAGTGATGGGATTTCCCCCATATATTCTGGACATCTCCGACGCTATTTTCCAAACGTCCTAAATTGTGCGACCAGGAATATGCCCGATCAGACATCAAGACATGGTGAATAATATTCCAAATTCCAAAATTAATATAGTGTACCGAGTGTATAACTACCACTCAACCCGATTATCGCTGATAATAGGCTGGATTGATTAAGTAATTCAGTGATCGACGTATTTATCGTGTTATACTGTCTATACACCTACTTAATCTGCCTTGATTGGCTGACTTAATCCTTTGTCGGACAATTCATCAATCCAATTCTGAACAGAAGACATTGCATCTCCTTGGTCGGACTATATATCAATCCAATATGAGTGATTATAAACTTAATCTACGTGATAAACCCATGACTTCTCCATCGTTGGACGTTTCAATCTCCTTGGTGTTGGCCGACAACGCATAGGAATAAGTCATATATGATATGTCACAGATCCTAATAGTATATAACACCCCAAATCAATATAAATTGTATCAGATAACTTGTCTGTGATGTTTCTTTGGTGGAAGCCGAAGTTAAATAAAGCTATTTCCCACACACGCATATCGGATAAATACTAACTGTTTCTGATTGCACGTGGCAGTTATAGTACAATAACTAAAATGAAAGAAATCTCGCGAGACCCGTGAAATTAAGAGATGTAAACGTGCCGAATTTCACACGTCAAATGTCAGAGAAAAGATTCTATTTTGATGGCATATTCTCGGATTTATGATCATATTTTGAATGGGGTTTATGTTTTTAAATAAATAAACATGCTAAGAAATGTTGACGAATATTTCGATTGGAATAATGTAAATAGTTAATTGTTTTAGACAATAGCGCGTGCTAGAGTCGACTGCGATTATTTAGAAGATGTCACTCGCTCATTGTGGTCGAGCAACGGTTACTGCCAAATAAATTTAGGGATGTCATTTTTTTTAAAACTTCAGTACAATTCGAAAAGGAGTATACGACGAATGTCGGACTTCCAATGAAAAGTGTATTGACTTATACCCCCCAAAAATATGGTAATTTTGGAGGAATTTGAAACAGGCACAGGCTGGCACGCTTTTATTCTATCATATTATGACAATACGTAATTTTTAGGAATATTACTGACATAAATTTGAATGAACCAGCGGCTGCCAGGCAGGATACGCCCACATTTTCAATAGATGGATAGAAAACAAGCTAAAACGAAATTTTATCTGTCAGTTTTGGGCCGATTTTCACGAAATTCGAACTCAATCATCCTTAGGGTGTAACGGTGATATAATAATACGATTTTTTAAATTGGATAATAATTATGACCTCCATAGGGTCCACAAGCTAAAAACGTGATTTTTCGTACAATCAGGGGCCATAATTCAGGAAGTTACAGTCCGATATGCGCGAATATCGACAGGAACCGAGATCTTTGGGTTATAAACTTACATTCCAAGTTTCAACAAAATCGGATAAAAATTGTGACCTCTATAGGGTCCACAACCTTGATATACCGTATTTTTACGCTATCTGAGAACGAGCGGCGGCCATTTTTTCTGTCAGTTTTGGGCCGATTTTCACGAAATTCGAACTCAGCCGTCCTTAGGGTGTAACGGTAATATATAAACAGGTTTTTTTTAAATCGGATAAAAAAATTATGACCTCTATAGGGTCCACAAGCCAAAAACGGGTTTTTGCGTACAATCAGGGGCCATAATTCATGAAGTTACGGTGCGATATGCGCAAATATCGAAAGGAACCAAGATCTTTGTGTTATAAACTTACATTTCAAGTTTCAACAAAATCGGATAAAAATTGTGACCTCTATAGGGTCCACAACCTTGATATACCATATTTTTACGCTATTTGAGAACGAACGGCGGCCATTTTGTCTGTTAGTTTTGGGCCGATTTTCACGAAATTCGAACTTAGCCGTCCTTAGGGTTTAACGGTGATATATTAATACGGTTTTTTAAATCGGATAAAAATTATAACCTCTAAAGGGTCCACAAGCCAAAAAACACGTTTTTACGTACAATCAGGGGCCATAATTCAAGAAGTTACGGTCCGATATGCGCGAATATCGAAAGGAACCGAGATCTTTGGGTTATAAACTTACATTTCAAGTTTCAACAAAATCGGATAAAAATTGTGACCTCTATAGTGTTCACAAGCCAAAAACGTGATTTTTCGTACAATCAGGGGCCATAATCCATGAAGTTACGGTCCGATAGATGCCAATATCGAGAGGAACCGAGATCTTAGGGTGATAAACCTATATTTCAAGTTTCATTGAAATCGGATAAAAATTGTTACCTGTAGACTGTTCACAAACAATTGTGGCCGGACGGACGGACAGGGGCGACGACAATATACGTCCACATGAAAATGTGGGCGTATAAAAATAACGAGGTGCACCTATTTTTTTATTACGTATGAATTTGAATATTTTGTTGACATGTGATTTTTAATTGTGGTCTGAAAACTCCTGTTTAAATAATGATAAGAGTTATTCCCCTTTATTTTTGAGGAAAAATTTCTGATAAGAAAAATTTTGAAATCCCATCACTGGTGAATATGCTACTCATCAGTGGAACCACTACCAAACAGGGGAACACAGAACCAACAAAACTCTGGAAGGATGGCATTCAAGGATCAAGTAGCTAGTTGTTAAAGCTCATCCAAATGTTTTTGAAATGATCGTATTTTTACAACAAGAGCAAAAATATTAATGAAATTAGAATTGTACAGTATGCTGGGGGACAGGGACCACCAAGGAAGAAACATAAATATGCCCAAATCCAAAGTCAGCTCTAGGAATTGAAAAGAAAACTCGAACAAGCGGAATTAACTTTAGTCAAGTATTTAGACACGGTGTCTTATTTGGTGAAATTGAATTAATTTGTTTTTATTTCTTATGCCATATGCCAAACATGTTAATTAAAATGTTAGTTAATTAGTCACATTAGGAATTATGAAAGTGTAAATTCTTATAACAATCTATAACACCATTGTTACATTTTTAATCCATTTTAATCCCTAAAAGCTGGATTCCCACGAAGGCGTCGAAAACAACCTCCTTTAATCCATTATGGTCAATATCATGATATCAGAGTAGTTGAGATGTAACAGAAGTACATACCTATATTTAGCACTAAGGTCAGATAGTTTTGCTTTATCAACATGAGCCGAACTAACAGGATTAGTAGTGCTGCGTGTAAATCTATAAGGATCATGAGCTAATCCTTTCTCGGGTTGACCAGACACCACTAAACTACCAAATTTATCTCTTAATTTTGAGTCATCATGTTTATTAGATGGAGAGCTCACATATCTGTTATACGAGTCGCTACTGTGAGATGAAGAGTCATTGTGGCCCTGAAAAAATATAAAAACACTTGTTAGAATGTCACATGAAAATCAAAGACTTTGTTCAATTATTATGACTTTTTAAAATAATTTTCTATATTTGTTAACAAGAGTATCAACACTTCAAATATAACACTGATGCTAGGGTCAACTGATCCCCCCACATCAAACTGAAACCAGACATTCATCGAACCACAATCTATATTTTTTCATACGTTTTTCCAAATCTATTTTTGACAATAAATAATAAAACAAGCAGTACTTACTGATTTTTGATTACTAGTTGGTGGAACACTAGATTGTGATATATGAGGTAAAGTATGTTTTTGTACAGTAGCATATTCTGGTATTTCAGATCGATATAAATCTGATGAACTAACTCTAGTTTTATATGGACTGTAATCATTGACACCAGGATTAACTGCAATTTAAATAACATTAACACACTTATTGACGGACATTTTATCAAACCTACTGATTAATGCACTGCCATCACAAAGGAGACAAGATTGATATTCGAATTTCACAGAAAAATTCAATCTAATTTGGTGGTATAGAAAAGTTGTTGTTTTTACTGAGAAAGAAAATCCAACAATTCTTACAATTAACATATAAATTAGTTGATGTTTTCTATGGGGAATTGGATCCATCACTTGATCAAAATGATCAACAAGAAAACAAAAAAAAACCCATTTGAAATGTGTTATTCACACCCACCTTCAACTGATCTATGGCGTAATCTTTCACTAGGTGTTAAGGTTGCGTAGTGATCTATATGGGATCTATTTTGTGCATGATCAGCGTAATAAGATGGGTAATAATGATCTTCTGGTCTGCCATTAACTAAAATATAAAGTAAATGGTGTCAAAATTAATGTCTACTATTTAATTATTGACCTAAACAAAAGCATCAATATAAAGCAATTCATATAACTAGATCAAATGATAGCATTAAATATTGCATTATTAGCATCAACCGGACTAATCAAGATGTGTACAGTCTAACGTATACACAGTGCCTCATATTTTCAGACCATCAGAATGAATGAATGCGTTTCTTTGCTAGGCTCACACCACTTATATAGGGAAACTGGTGGAAAATCCTGATGAACTGTCACTAACTGTCCTAGTTAATGAGCCAGCGCCATATTCACTGAGCTACGTGGCTTCAGTTAGAAACAAACTCAAATAACATGACTTAACCTTACCATGAGAATAGGGATCGTCATATCTAGGATCATCATTATAAGGTATTCGTTCTCCATAGCCTTTCTACAATACAAAATGAACATCATAAACATAATTGAAATATTATGAAATTGAAGACCAGGTGTCATTTAAAGGAGACAAACCTCATGGACTTAGACCAAAATGAAGATTTGATTTAAGATTACCGGTATCTTTGATTGGCAAGATCTAAAGAAACAGAATTAACAAGCCAACAGTGAGGCTGATGTCCCCCGCCGAAATTGCAAAATAAATAGATGACACATATTAATTAATCGCACATTTATTTTTTTCACTAAGTTTCATCACTCTCTATCAGATAGAATCAAGATTATCTTGTCCCAAACCATCGACAAATGAAATCGATTAGCTCTGCTTAGCTTCAGCTCGAAATGTTAATTATTGAACTCAGTCAAGACATTCACCTAATGAATATCTACATATACATCAAGTTTAAACATTCACCTAATAGACACCTATGCCAAGTTTGAACATTGTACCTCAATTAGAAGGAGAGTTATTGTGTTCCAAAGTTTCTACCAATCAAATTGCTTATCACTCTGCTTACCCTCAGCAAAAAATGTTCATTATCGAACTTAGTTAAGGTATTCATATAATAAATCTATACACCAAGTTTCATCAATCTCACTTAATTAGAACTAAAGTTATCGTGTCCCAAAGCATCAACCAATCAAATTGCTTATCTCTGCTTACCCTAAGCGGAAAATGCTCATCTTCGAACTCCATCAAGGCATTGACCTACTCAACACATACACCAAGTTTGAACATTCTAGCTCAATTAGGAAGAGAGTTATCGTGCCCCAAAGTATCAACCAATCAAATTGCTTATCTCTGCTTACCCTAAGCGGAAAATGCTCATCTTCGAACTCCATCAAGGCATTGACCTAATAAACACATACACCAAGTTTGAACATTCTAGCTCAATTAAAAGTTATCGTGTCCCAAAGCATCAACCAATCAAATTGCTTATCTCTGCTTACCCTAAGCGGAAAATGCTCATCTTCGAACTCCATCAAGGCATTGACCTAATCAACACATACACCAAGTTTGAATATTCTAGCCCAATTAGGAAGAGAGTTATCGTGTCCCAAAGCATCAACCAATCAAATTGCTTATCTCTGCTTACCCTAAGTGGAAAATGCTCATCTTCGAACTCCATCAAGGCATTGACCTAATAAACACATACACCAAGTTTGAACATTCTAGCTCAATTAGGAAGAGAGTTATTGTGTCCCAAAAAGTGTGACGGACAGACAGACGGACAGACAGAAGGACAGACAGACGGACAGACAGACAGACAGACAGACAGACGGACGAACCCATTTTAATAGTCCCCTGCTTTCTTCGAAAGGCGGGGGACAAAAATTTGTTTCAAAATATTAAAGATACATTATATAAGATTTAGATAAAGAGCTAGCCATTCGTGCTATAATAGTTCGGAAATAGATAATGTAAAATGAATAATTTGAAAATTTCATTCAAATTACTCTATTGTGAATGAATATATTAGCCTTTGAAGGTTTGACTTTCAACCACCGTACTGGTTGTTCGAAGCTAAGTCTCGCTCCTCCATTTTGAGCTTAAATCAAAATATGGCTAACTGTTCTAATCTATTTACTATCGGAGAATTCTGATGCCATGTAGAGTTGATTATGGCCTGGATAAGTTAATAATTTAGAAAATATTTCAGGCCTAAAGAAAGACCTGCAATAGGCAGATTTAGCTCTTGCATAATGTATGTTTAAGCCGAAGTCGACTTGTTTACTAATAATATAACAAGTTCGATATCACATCTAGAATAAGTTGGTTCAGCATCATCAATTTGTGGTCACAAACTGTTAATTGTGACCACACACAAACTGTCCAGAGAACCATGAGTGGCAACTAGATTCTGTATGGTGCTAGCACTTGTTTTATCTATAGATGTAATGTTTTCAATGAGGATAAATTGTCATCCCTCCGAACAAATGCCCCCAACAAATCCAATAAAATCAACTATTTTATTTTTGACCCACATAAAAGAGATCTAGTCATTTTAAATCTATCTTTCACATCAATGTACTGAAAATATAATAAATACAAGTAAAAATTTACCTTATGATTATAATTAGGTGGTGTTGGGTATGGAGGTATACCAGGTATATGATCGTTGGTATTAATACTAGGATCAGATGATGATCTCATTAATCTCGGTTTACCGGATTGGTCACCAGTATTGCGACTTAAATCTAATTCACTATCAGGTGAACCAGCAAAACTCATACGATTTGGCATCGGAAACAAAAAATCATCATTAATATCATCTTCGGGCTGAAAGACATATAATACATATTCATATTCTATAAAATTGAAAACCGAGGTCCCGTGTAAACATTGGAATGCACGTAAAAGATCCCTTGGCAGTTGGAATTCGATATAAGAGTAGGCGATAGTGCCGCTGCCCGGGCAAAATTTCCCTCATAGCACACTGTATGGCGTATGCCCGTCTTCATTAGCCCAGTATAGGAGCAGAACATTAGGACGTTAAACCCCATTTCATTTCATTTCATTTCTATAAAATTGATGAATGAAATAATTCTAGGTATTAACTGAGCAAGGGCTATTTGAACAATTGCAAGATAATCTCCAGAAATAATAAATATCTTCTATCACTGATATCAAATCTTTTGAATATCTAGTAGATAATATCTTTGTTCAAGAAAACATCTCTACTTATGTTTTTACAAACCTTTTTCTCTGACATCCAGATTTTTTGATGATTCTGTGCTTCAACCATTTCCATAACTTTAGGAAACCAGTTATCTGAGCTATTGTGATTAATAACACCTAAAACATATCAATTTCAAATGTTTTAACACGGACATCACAATTAATAAAACTGATATATAACTGCATGTCTTTCTGCTTGTAGAAAACACTGATATTATTATTAATTAGTATGAACATTTTTTCTCTGTACAACTCTGTTGTTGGGTGGGTGAAAAGTCCAATGCATATACTTTGCATCATAAGGTTTATCCTATAGTCAAGTCTGAGACTCTATCTCAGGTGTTTATGTGACAAGCAGTAAGTTTGCCTACATAACTTTGTGGGTTTTCTCTGAGTATTCAGGTTTTTCTCCTTCTCTTCTGACAAACTTCTGTGCACAAGTGAATTATTGAAATAAATACCACATTAGTCCCAAAATGACCTTTTTAGTGTCTCTTAGTCTTTCAAAACATAGCTCTTTATAGATAATCATTATATAGCATAATATATTTGAAGACATACCTGTAAATAAGTGAGAATAGAATCTTTCTAGTTTTTCATTATGTTCAAGAAGTTTCTTAGGGTTTTTACTGGATGTTTTCCATTTGGCTCGACAATCTTTAATAGCCTGTTTATTATCTGCCTTGATATAGATAACTATAGGACAATACTGGGCATAGTTTAATCTATCTACATGATGTGGTGTGACATCTATTACACAATGTTTTCTCTGTTCAAAAAATAAAATACATATTATAACCCTACATATCTTGATCAATTTGATCTGTTGATTCGTTCACTAAATTTAGCTTCATTTTTGGCTTACTATGTTGACATTTTCAACGAAGACAGGTTATAATCTAACAAAGCAAATCAACAGATAATATTCAATGAAGTCTTCAAATTTTGATTTTACTCAAATCAAGATCACAAATTCTGTCATTTTAAGATTTACAATGATCAAATTGTGAAGTGAATTTTTTACCTTGTTTATAATATTACGAATAGATCCCAGTCTAATAATACCAGACTTTTTCTTGGAATCTTCTGAACTGGATTCACTTTCTGCATTAAAAAGAAATATTATATTTAGTTAATTTTACTAAAAAAAAATATTCCTAACCGTCCTCAATTAGTGCTTTTTTCAACACCTTGGATGGTTGTTTAAAATAAATCATTTTAATAATGTCTGTTCAAATGTCTATCATGCCATAGCAAATGTCTTAGCTTTCAACGTTGGGGTTGTAAAAAACAAGAGTTGTCACATATTTTTTGCTTTTTCAGTAATGAAACATTTATAATACACTAAAATCTGATTAAGAGTAACAACTCATTAAGTAATTATCAGAAAATCATCAGAATTTTTTTTGGTTTTTATAAATTTCTGCCCCATAAGAAATATTTAATATCATGGATTTAGCTGTTAAAGTTATCAAAATTCATTGAAAATCAATATTATACTTAAATCAAGACCTTAAACTCTGTGTATCAAGCGAATGGTGGAAATAATAATATACAAGAAAGTACTTCTAATCTTGTCAGTACTTGTATTTTTGGTGATTAAGTATGCCTATTTTATGATATAATTCAAAATTAATTTCATCTATTTTTCATGGTGAGCTTGATAATGCTTTTCACAATTTTCATCTAAAAAAATACCTATATCAAGTATGTTTTCAAAAGGACATCAACCTAGAAAACTTACCTGGTGCTTCAAATCTTTCAGGATAAGTACTGATAAGTCTTTCTCTAGCAATATCTGATATAGCACCGAAAATAACAACAGGTCGTACAAAGCCAGCTGAAAAAAAATCGACAGTTTAATTAACTCAATTCATTAATTATTTTGTAACAAAAAATTCTTTATTGACATTTTAAAAATTAGTGTTTATAATCTCAACAGTCATATTAATTGGCATCACAATTATAAGAGAGATTCCTATGTAAACAAAAACACAATATTTACCACTTACCTTCTCTTAGTACAACTCTTTGGTATGCTGTGAATTTGGTATGTAAGCCAGCTGAAATAGTGAAAGTGAAACCATGGTGGAATATGACATTTTACATCAATTCATATTAATCATAGACATATATTAAACTGCAAATCTATCAATGTTATAAAATTGTTTTTTATGGAATACAATTACTGCTTATTACTGAGCGATGTTTCGACTAGGCTTCTCTAGTCTTTATCAAACAGTGTCCTGTGTATTTCACGTTCAATTACTAAATGCCACTGAAACAATTCAATATTGATTGTACAAAAACTAAACAGTGAATAGAAAAGGCAAAAGATTGAAATCAAGTAGAAACTTGAAATACAAATCAAGAGAAAATACAAATCAATAGGAAATAAAAAGCAAAGACAATCATGTTTGTATAGTAAACTTAACACTTCTCTATTCTAATCAAAATTGATAAACTATGTTTAACAAACAGGAGGACTGAAGTATTGTTTTCTTTTATTTTCGTAATCCTTATCACTATATCAACTTCTGTTTACTCAAGGTAAGCATTTAATACATGACTAACAAGAATGTTAAGTAAAGATTTTTAAGGAAAGAAATTTGTGTATTTGACAGAGGAGGCCTACATGTAGGATAGAGCATGTATTTGTAATAATTTCATGCGAGTAACATATCTAGTAATATTTCATATACATAAATATATGTATCGTGCATTTGTGCTTACAAATAAGAAATATCTTAATATATAACATAAGATATTACATAATCATAATCATATAATCATAATGTTTTTTCTCCTTTATTTTAAAGTGTTGTAAATCAGTTATAAATAAGATCATTCTATATTATTTATAAAATCATCTATCTGTTATTAACACTATTTAATTGATCTAAAAGATTATCAGTGCCACTAGTAGAATAAAGATTAAAATAATGCATAATAAACAGTAAAGCAAACAGGTAAAATAAGTGAATCACATCAAGCTAATTTCTCCCAACTCTACACTTACCATCATCATTAGCTAATAAAAATAAAACAAAAATAAAATACACCAATAATATAAAACTACACATTACACACAGATACAGTGGAACTTTGCTATTATTTTGTGAGAGAAAGAAATAAGGTCAATTTTTGTGTGGAAAGGTTATTACCATTTTTCTCATTAGTTCTCTAATTCAAAACTAACAAATCTTCAGTGCTAAAACTAAATGTCCAAGTTCCTTCATTTTTCATATTTTATATATAGTAGAATAATTAATTAAATATATATATATCTCTTTACTTTAGCAAGGTTTCCCTGTATCACCAAATTATAAACACAACAAATACAATATGAAGACATAAAACATGGTATATATTATATTCCCTTTACCAGACATCAGTAAGAAATCAGTTAATAAAATATATAAACTTACAGAAGATAAGTTCTTCCCAATGGTCTTTACCGAGCGATTTTGCCCGTCTGGCAGCTTTGCGTCTAAATAAACTGCCCCGCCCTTTATTTGGGAAGTTTTCTTTGTCATTGTTCTGTTGTTGTTGATATTGACATATTGTTTCAGCCCTAAAATGTAATATATTTACACAAATTATTTAATATCAATTGTGCATAACATTAATTTTTCTATCTTTATAGTCACATTCAAAATTAATTCATTTGAAACTTAAGTTACTATTAAACATTAACGCTATAAAATGATCAATTTAGTGACATTGGGGGTTCTATAAGAATTAAATAATGTGTAGTGTGCTATAAAACGGAAGGAGGGTGTTACATGTAGCGAGTATTGTGAGTTAATCGACAAAGAAATGTCTTCACTGAGTTAAAACAATATGGTGTATGCTATACCTTGTCAATATTGTAGTATGCTAGACAAGATAATGTAAGAAATTTTAATCCCTTCAAGTGCCTGTGTTAAATTCTAATCAATAAATTTATGAAATTTGTATCAATTACATTCGTTTGCTGCAGAGATGTCCAAAAACTTACTTGTGAGTATTTGGTATCGTTCCTTTTTTGGTTTCCTGAAAGTTCTTATCTAGCTTAATAGCTAACCAGGAGCCACCAATACCTCGAAATAAAGTATCCTTAATATGAAATAAATCTCCAATAACAAATGAATGTTCACCATTAGCCGTGCCTTCATAATGAAAATGTGTTCTAAAAACAAAGACATAAGAATTAATAGAGGTTATAAAAAGAAGAAAGGAGGTAGGGAGATGGGGTTTAACGTCCACTTGACGCAAACTAGGTCATTTTGGGACTAACATATGGTTCAACTTTATTTCAATAATTCGCTTGAGCGTAGGGGTCTTTAGCAGTGGGAGGAAACCGGAGTACCCGGAGAAAACAAATGAGGTTGGAGAGGCGACCCTACTCCTTGTCACGTACAACCAGGGAATCAAAACTACACCAGTTGACTCAATGACAGACCCCCTTTTTAAAAAAAAATATATCTTTTTGAAGTGAAAAATATCAAACAATAAAAATTTTAAGAAAAGAGGGCTGTATTGGAAAAAGTAATGGGTTTTAACATCTTATTTTTCTGCACCAAGCCCTTACAGCATTGATGAGTTGCGTATTATACTTACTTTATATAGAATGAATCTCCAGCTTCATGACTTGCCATAATTCTGTCATATTCTGTAAAATACAGGAAGAAATACAGTTATATATAATAGTCAGAATATTTGTAAAACTCAATCAAAATACTTTAGAACATACGACCCTATTCAAGAATAATAAACATTCGATCCCTAATTATGTTTGTGAAATATAGAACTTTGAAACATGTAACATACCTTCTTTTTTATATTGCACAACCAATGTAACTTCTCCCTGTAGACTAGTTAAATAATTGACAGCTTCTTCTCTTGTCATTCCTGATACTTCACGTTCATTAGCCTAAAAATATACAAAGTCAACCAATACAACTCTGTTTTCAATAATTTATTAAAAAAAAAAAATGCACTGCATGCTTTATTAATTCACATACATCCAATGAAACTAATCACATGCAATTAAACATAATTCGTGGTAACCAAAACATATGATAGTAACGTATACATTAACGTATACAATGACAGAGAATATGTTTGAAAAAACAGACAATGCCAAACAAAAGGTAAGCAATTACAATCATTGTTCATATTCACACCGTATGCAAACGTGCAAAAACAATCTTGTCAGATGCAATTAATGTGTAAGCATTGGTTTCACATTAATAACCAATCTCAGTAAATAATAATGTTGTAATTTATGATCAGCGCAATTGGTACTGTATTTGTATTAAACGCTTATTAGTTTGGGTATAGAAGTGTGAAAAAATTCATAAACTTTCGATTAGAAAAAAAAAGATTTAATAGAAAAGACAGAAATAAAATGAAATAGGCTAGAGATTGGTCGAATACTATTACTAGTAGTGATTATTTAAAAAGGTTGCTTGTTAGTACACACCTTAACACCATGTTCTGTTAGCCATGCCTGCAAGTAAGGTAAATAAAACAAGGTTGGAATAAAAACAAACACAGCAACTTAAACACAACAAACAGATATAGAAAAAGTCTCCGGCATATATGTTTTGATTTGTAACAAATTTAATAAAACAGTTTTAAAGGAGCTAAATCTCTATTCTTTGGCGCCTAGAACAAGGACACAAATGGGTCGCAACGCATATAATAATGTAATATGAATGTATATAAACTAATTTACTTTCAATCGTTTCTGTTTTTACTGCAATTTCTAATCAGTTATGTTTGGCGAAATACTTGAAGAGTTCGATTTGAATGGCATTCTTTGGTGCCTGGTTATTCCAGTCTACACTGGTAGTATTCTCTTGCGGGATATGTTTAGCCTCATTACAAATGGCACCCGAAAGCATTCTGGCACGCGATTCGCACCCCAATTTTAAAATTCTCATTGTGTCTTAAATATTGGATATCAGAAGCCCATCTTTTCATGGTAAGATAACATCATCAATGTTGATTTAAATTGACCAGTAAGTCATGTTTGGAATGCCGAAGACTGTAGATGACATTGAGTTAAAGACTTGCCTCCTTTAATTAATAAATTGTCCCAGAGACTTATTTCCATATTCATCAAGAAAAACATATCGTATTCATTTCACTAAACTCTATTCATGCAATATACTACTTTACCTAATAATAAACTTCACAAAATATAATGAATAAACAGTTTCAAACAAAAAATTGTTTCTTGAAATAGTTCATTCAACCATGCAAAACATTCGTATTTCATACAAAATCATAAAGAAAAGAAATAAAACCAGCTCTTCTTTATTTACCTTAACAATCTGATCACCCTCTGTTAAACCTTGTGCTTCAGCAGCACAACCTGGCTGTACTGATGCTATAAATGTACCTGTAGAATTACCGCCCGCTAATCTTAATCCTAAACCGACATCAGCATCTTTTCTAAATGTCACTGATCGTGGTTCAGGCCTGTAGAAGAGAAAACATGAATATTATAATGTGAAAATGTGAAAAAAAATTATCTATACTACGACTGAATAAAATGAACTACAAAATCTAGTTTTGAAAAGACGTAGAACATGTGTAAGTGGGATAATTGAAGTCAATTTGGAACGACTTTATAATTCAGAGTTATTTGTGGTGCCTATAAACAATGAGGTCATACATAACGTAAATGAAAAATTTGCTATATTTTCAAAACAAATGAAAATATTTAAGTGCATTCTAGTACATGAAACATTAAAGAGATAGAACTACTTTGAACACAGAATTAAAAGAGGAATGGAAAAGGAATAGATATCAGATAAAAATAAAACAAAACTAAACTAGCAAGCCTTTACAAATTGCATGTGAATAATGATCACATGGACATGGTTGATAATTTATTTTTATGTGGAGTCATCAAATTACTACATGAATTTGTTAAAACTTGATTGTTATGGTTTAATTATTAGGTGAGGATTATTAGGCATGATCAAATCTGTTCTACAGTAAAATCCATTTGTTGTTTATGTATAATGCTTTAATTTCAGGGATATAATTATTATACGGAATGGGAAATAGACCTATGAACCAGACAATACCCAATTTACCAGGATTTGGATGGTAATGAATATGGGTATAACTCCACCACAGTAAAATTATATTTGATTAAACTTTTGTGTGGACAAAAACAACAAAAAAAGCACTGAAATCAAAACTCTTTCAAACAAAACTCTATTCATGCTTTGAGGCATTAACCTAGGAATGTAAATCATAAAATGAAAATGAAAGTTAAAAGAGGATGCTATTTGTTAAGGTAACCATGCGAAACCTTCATCTTCTAGTACTACAATAGTTTCACTAGCAACTCAAGCCTACCTAATATCATGTCGTTTTCCAACATATCTTCTGTAAAAACATATGATAAGCTAATATATATTTTATAAACAAATTAATATTCTACTAATTACATATTATAAACCATATTAATAATAGTTATTGTCTTAGTATCACACAAAATAAGTATCACACAAAATAATTATCTAGTTTGAGACAGGCGGGTTATTCACAGCAGACTATAAAATATGGTATAATTTATAAGCCTACTACATACAGGTAGAAACATGCATGATGTTTTTCGATTTAATGATGTTAAAGATGATCCATTGATTTTTAAATGATTGATTTATGAAATGATAATCAGCTAACTAAGTTAAACGATTGATTCATGAATTGAAAATCAGCCACATTTAATGATTGATTCATGATTGCTGTAACAATACGACTGGCAAAAAAAAAAAAAATATATATAAAACCTATGTTTTATCATCTTAATTCATATCATCTACTTACTCTTCATGTGATGTATTAAAAACATCATCATCAACAATTGGTCGGGTGTTGTAATCACGTAATCTTGAATCATGAGGCGAGTAGTTGTTATTACCAGGATACTGTTGATAGTAATCTTCAGGATTTAATCGACCTTGACCTGGACTTTGGGGTAGAGCTGGACCATCTAATAGAACAAGATCAATTAATGTTTATAAATGAAACTTACAGAAGCCACAATATATTAAAGGGAGGTAACTCCTACATAAAGACCTAACTCTCATATTATCTCCCCTTAGAGCACAGACTGACATCTTTTCTCAATTACACATAAAAATACTTCTTAAGAATAGTTTCATTACAAACTATAACCAAATAGATAACTATTATCAGGTTAAAAGAATGAAGCATTTCCTAAGAATTTCTGTCTTTCTTGGCAACAAAACTTCTGGAAAATAATGTAGTCAATTAGGTTTGAAATGGTAAATAAAGCAACATACCATCAAATCCAGTTGGTAATGGTGGTCTAGGAGGACCTTCATGATCATATACATATCTCCCATCATATCTAGTATGTTCTGATTGTGGGTAAGCGCCTAATGGTACACCCTGGGGTAGAGATTCAGGTTTAAATAAATCATCTTCTGATCGTACACTAGGTCTATATATATTCACATCATCTTTATCTAGTTGTCTACGTAAAGTATCAAAACCGGGTTGATATGGTAAAGCTGGAAAAATAATATAAGCAAACATTTTACAGTATAACATGGCATTTGTGAAAAGAATAGCTTGCCATGTCTCATCTTAATTTATATACATGTACTAGATAACAATAAAATTGATTATATTTGTATTGCATTGGTTATCCAATACTCTCATTACTATTCTATCCCAGAGAATAATTAACCTATTATTGTGACCTTGCATAATGTGGGATGGTGGGGTGAATGAATTCATTCTGGCAAATATTGTTCTTGCAGATGTCTTCCCATGTCATTTATTATTTAAACAATTTAATAAAATTAGGAAGATCTATAGATTCTTTGAACTCTGAACAATTGTTTTTAGGTGCAAAAATAAACAAAAAAAATTATCACATGGTTTTGCATCCCCAAGGACATAATAAAATGGTTTCTTCAACAAATCTTACCACACCAATCAATCTTTCTATCACATTGATGTGTTCCACTACCAAAGCAAATATTAAATTACCTTTTCCCCTTTAATACCATGTAGTAATACATATCTACATTGGATTTTTTGTCTCTTTCAACAAAATAATTCTTAATATCAATATTGATCACAATAACAAAACACATGAAAGATTGCTATCTACTCTTTGCAAATGCAAACAAAAAGATTTGTAGAGAGAGAGACATAAAGAAACTAATCAGCAGATCTTACAAAAGATCAACTGTTGAAGCCTAATAACATCTACAATTCAATACCTAGCCATTGATTTTTGGAGGAAAAATACAGTAATAGACGACGTGTAACATTTAGAGATTGAAAGGAATGATGGAAATAAACAATAAGAGACTTCTTACCATCATCTTTAGGTTGACTATTTTGTTTTTTATGTGATATATTTTTATGTTTGGCTACTATTAACTGTAATTTATCTTTACTGCCTTTCTCTAGAAGTTTTCTAGCCTCTATTAAAGATAAATTCTCTGTAGTAGTGTTGTTAATCTGAAATATAAAAGGATTAAAATAACTATAGGAATTGTACATGGCAATACATGTACTTAAACCCAAAATTTTGTTATGTAATGATCAATAATATGTAATGAAGAAAACTATCAACTTACAATAGATTGCTTTATAATAAAGTGTAAGACATATTGTGCATGGCTTTCACATACATGCAGCCTGCTTCAACAAATTAATGTAGACTTGACAGTCAAACTTACTTTAAGCACTGTATCTCCTACTTTTAGTCCCCCCTCTTGAGCAGCAAGAGAGTGACCAGGTATGTCTTTAATATAAAATCTACATCCTAATATCACTCCGAAATCTGAAAAAAGAGAAGAAAAAAAAAAGAGATTAAAACATCGTTTAAATAATGGTCATTCTTCTACATATTCTTTCTTATGGCTGCCACATTCAATTGTGCACAAACATTGAATTCATAAAAGAAGTCAAAATGTATTTAATTTCTACTAACCATCTTTCTTGCTCTTCTTAGAGAGGGTTACTTTGAGGGGTGGCGTATCTGAATCCAGGATGCTGGGTAGCACTACACGACGGCGTATAACCTAAAAGATGTTCATTTGGCGATTAATAAAATACATTATGTCATGTATTTTATGCATTAGGTATATGTTGAAATTATCTAAATATGAAATTTCTGTTTTGTGTGAATATTCAATAACAAATTATGTTTAGGGGCATTTCAAAATATCATCTTTTGCACATTCACTACATAACAGGAAGAAAATTGAATTTGACTCACCAAATGGACTGCTGTTCCACAGTCTCTTAGCACTTGTATAGCTCGGGCGTGATCTACATTCTCTAACGAAATACTATTCACACTAACAATTCTATCATTCACTCTAAAAAAAATACATTTACACGCAGTCGTTACCTTAATGTCATTTACTCAATTCATTTTTTCCAATTGCCATAAGAGATAGTATCTGCACTCGAAATGAAAATGTCAGAAAATATCAATTTGGTGGCTGAAGATTATCTTGAACAAAAACTGAACTTTCAAATTAGATTTTCATGAAAATTCAATTATGTGTCTCAAAAGAATCCAAAATTGAATGCTCATTCAGAAAGGATCGTCTAAAATTCATTTTCTTATTAATGTTATCTAATTTTAATGATGGAAATGCAATCTAATCAAATTTACAAATCTCCATTTTGTTCCCATATTAATATTCAAATCTTAAACTAAAGAGAATAAAATATGAAAAAGAATTTCCATATTTTGATCTGTAAAAAAAATACTAATTTCATCTTAGAAATTTGTGATAAAAAAAAGTACAACATGTGTTACTGTTTCCATTATCTTAGTAGGTAATTTGACTAAGTACATGAATATCTGATTATAATTAATTAGATCCTGTTGGAGACTAATGAGATCAAATGAACTACATCATTAAGACATCCAAACAGACCATATTGTGATAAGAGATAAGTAATTAGAGATTAAATTACTTATACTTTTACTTACTGAAGCCTGCCTTCTGCCGGTCCTGCTCTCAGTACGTCAGATATAGCTACAGAAGGATCACCGTTGGCGAAATGAGGACTATCAACTCCCCCACTGACTGCAATGCCAAAACCAAAGACTGGTGCCTGGAAAAAGGAATTAAGATGGAAATCTGTTAATGATCATAGTAAAACATGTTTGTACTGGTCATTTAATAAGCTGGGAAAATCTATTGGATGCTTGACAGAGGGACATTTATTAGAAAAATATTTGGCATGAAGGTTAAGGGAGAGGAATTTACTGACTAGAGAAAACACTGTCTGGTTTACTAGTAAAAATATGAATGTTATACCTACAGTCTATCTGTATAGGTATAAACTTAATATATAGTTGACCTTTAAAACAACACGAATAACACCTTAACCACCAAATCAAAATGAATGCAAACAATGTAGTGCAAATATTTTCAAAGTCAAGTAGAATACTGCAAGGTTTTTCCTTGTGTAATAATCTTTATTAAAGATTGGATAACTTCCTTGTTTCAATTACTGCTATTTAATTTTTTTTATCCATTTCTACTATTGTCAAAGATCTCGCTACAAAAAGCTTTAGGAAGTGATCAATGGTGTGCACGAGGCAGGGTAAACTTTACTTCGTCTAGAACACCTGATATCACTGCTGTTATATGCCCACATAGTCAATAAATTTTTTCTGTACTTTTGTATATTTATTTGAGTGTTTCTATGAATGTAGTTGATGTAATGTAAATATAAACTAGATGAATCAACAGGTGTGTTATGACTACTATCTTTCATTTTAGATCTGACATTTTACATGAAATATACAATATGTTCCGACCATGTTTAAGATGTGATGGAGCTATGCAGGTAAATCACTTGGGACAAAAATATACACATCAAGATGCAACTTAAACCACTTTGCTTGCCAAATCGTATCATTAAATGAAAATGCACATTTTCTTGCATTATTCTTCAAATAGCTTTTCCTACCACACATACCTAATGAGAATATAACTGTATGTGTTCTAAAAGGAGATGTAATTTGCAAGCCTAGAAACACAAATAGTGTACGATTTTATAATGCAATTTAGAAACATCAATAACACGTTGCAGAAAAAGGCAACAATTCTTTTTAAGGAATAAAGGTTACAGCTAATATGTAATTGCATGTATCAATAATTAAAATATCTATTTGCTATATTTAATGTCACCTTTTAAAATATGTGAGGTCAAACAATCAATATCAAATGGGGATATATGCAAACAATATCATAATCTATCTCACCACTTCAATCACGTTTGCCAGTATTCAAATAAATTCATGTTTGGTGTGCAAGAATGAAGTTTGTACAGAATGTGAACTTGGGTTTCCATTTCAAACTTTACACATCAGACATTTTAATTGGGGTTACAAAGGCCAGAAATAGATGTTAGCGTCAGGAATAAGGTTAATAAACTTTCATTGTCTTGAATACACTTCAACCACAAATTAAATGTTAATGTTATGTACCATATGGTATTCTGAATAATATTTATGATTATCCCCCAAAAATTAGGTGCACCACAATATTTTTCCTATTTTAATTCACATACTAACTTCAAGTTCATGGCAATAATAGTAATACTCCTAAATTATTACCTATATTCATTACATGTATCTATTAATCAAATACTGTGTTTTATTATTCACAGATATTAGAATTCCATGGGTCAAATTTGTCTGCTCAGCATGCAATTTCTGTTACACATTAAGATTAATAAATTGCGTGCCAAACTGCTTTTAAATCTCAGAAATCTATCAAATTGTATACATGTATAACCTTGTGTACAGGCAAAAAAACCAGATGAATTACAATAAAGGCAACTACATGTATTCAGCTTAAGTGTTACTCTAGTATTATCTCTTACAATGCCTCTTTTTTAAAAAGAGGATTTACAAAAAACTCAGTTCAGTCTACTTGCCAAGCTAAAACACTGCTGACATTTTGTTGTAAAAATGCCAAACAATCACAATTAGTCTTGTTTCATGCTGAACTACAGAACTGACAGCTTTATCAGGATGCTTCATTTTTTATAAAAATAATGCTCTCTTTCCAAAAACAAGTTTATTCTAGGTTTTAGTACCTTAAATGTTACAACACATATCATGTTTGTTTGAGAATTGATGTTTTTCTATTATTCTGGCAGTTTACAAATTGTTTTTACTTTCAAGACATATTCAAATGCAAAATGATCTACAGATTCTAATACAAACAAATGAAGGTCTAAACATGTAGAAATTTGCGTTACTCCCCCAGCTCCTGCATGTAAGCACGTACAATCCATTAGGTTTTAACATCAAAGATCATGATTCCTCTTTTATGCTATACATTAACAAGCCAATTTTTTTCTAATAAACACTATAAATTTCTTTACCTAACAAGAGAGACATTAAACCTAGATCCCAAAAGGCTGCTTATTGTTCATCAAAGCAATATAATAGTTTTTGATCATAATCTGTGATTTTTTGATATACTGGTACATGTCTTGATATTACTTATTGGAAACTAACTTGGACAACATTGATTTTCTCTTAGCATGTTCAAAATATAAATTTAATAATAACGGTATTTTTTAATAAAGTTCAGGTAAATTCCTTCCTGAATTTGTAAGAAGAGACTTACTTACCTTGGTTAAATGAACTTTATGAGTTTCCCACACCACATTATCTCCAGACTACAAAGAGAGAAAAAAATACATGAGTAAAGCTATAACAATCTTAAATTTGTCTCCATCAATAAATGTTGTGATGTACATTGATCCTCTGTATCTGAGTTAAAGATGATTTAAACAGCACACCTTCTTGATATATACACACCTTGATGAAACAACTATTATCCACTATGTCATTTTAACGAAAGATCAAAATGAGCAAAAGACAGACACAAGGTAAACACTAACTCCACCAAACTATTGTTTGTCAAAAACAAAATGCAGCACATTTAAGTGATGACACACCAGTTTAACGGCTTAACATGTATGATGTTGACATTAGCTTGTAGGTCCCCTACAGCAGACAATAACCCATGTGCTGTGTGAAATGTTCTTTGTAGTAGTAGTTAGTTGTATTTTACGTCCGCTTCCACCGAGGTGATATCGCAGACAAGATGTTCTTTGTGACCTTGATACATTTATATAGTCCTGCTTTTGTGACATGTAGATGCCAGAATTAATGGGGATGATTATTTTTGCTAATTTTAAAATCTACTGGTACAATTTTTTCAACCATCATAGATGTTATGTCATAATTGTATAATCAACATTTGTTTAAACTGTGTATGCTGTCCTTGGGGGATGCAATGATACAATAAAATCTTATCTTATCTTATCTTAGTTATTGTTTATTGACAAAACAGAAATTAATGGGCATAAAAATTTAAGTTTATTATTTTTTTAGTGGGTCATATAATTTATAAAAACAGTCACATCTGGTAGGTAATTTTCAGGGGAAATTATAATAAGCCTTCTTGAATATTAACATACATTGATTGCAGATTCATAATATCAGAAAATTGTTAAAATTAGCAGGTGTAACCCTTGACCCTGGTAAAGACGTATTGATCTTCGGGTCCATTAGACATTAGTGAAGCAGTTGAAGTACAAATAAATAAAGAGTTTTGTCACACGATTGATTAATCAGAGATATAAAAGCCTCTGTTTGATTGGTCAAGGAGCAGGTGAAATAATCAAATGACATTTTAGAAAGTGGCACACGCCAATTGTTATGGTTACAATTTCACAAACTCTTCCTGTCATTAGGACATGAACTTAATACTTAAATCTCTTTTATTAACCTGTCCATATTTCAAGGTAAATACTTCACTCAGTCATGGTAAATGTTTGAAATATAAATACTAACTTTCTAACCTTAAATACTTTTCAAAAAGACTTTTAAGTCTGCATTCAGAGGTCTTATAGTTTTATTTACAATATCAGCTTAGACAGATGGTATTCAACATTGATATCAACCTACTAATTCAACCACAACTTTCTCATTAGTAAATGGTATATATTTAATGCACTTAGTTGTACCAAATATATCTCCAGTATATAAATTTCACATTTAAATGTACAAGCTTCAACACCACAAAATTATTAGAAATAAATATGGTATATATTACCAAAGTGAGAATAATAAGTTTTAGCTCAAGTTCCAAGATTAGATAATCTCAACAAAGTTATAAATCAAATAACTTTTATGGATGAGAATTTTTTAATCTTATCTAAAATCTATCAATCGTTGGTGATGACAGAAAAATACACAGACAATAGATTCTTCTGATCTATTGTTCCCAGATGAGAAATGATTACTGGCCACCAATAAACCAAGACTGATTTCTATAGCAACATCCCAAGTGTGAAACTTTTGTAAAAAAAAACCCAAATCTAAACATGTTTTAATATTTCATGCAATATTTATTTTTCTGACATTAGTGATATACATATAAACCATCAAATTAAATAAACTTTAGCAGGTAATTAAATAAACTGAATCCAAAGATAATAACTTAATCTAAAATTAGCAAAAAGTAAGGTCTATAAATAAAAGGGGAAATCCAACTGTGTGAACTAGGACAACATTCTTCTCTTGAAGTCTTACATCAGCTCTTTAAATAGCTAGCCAAGAAACTAAAAGCCTAGATTATGTGATATACTGTAACAAGTCAACAAAGTTTAATTTCTGGGAGTTCACTGATAATTGTATAATTTATGAACTAATTATAGCAATTTAATTACAGTTAACTTAATTTTCATGAGTGCCAATTTAAAGTTATCACAGTTAAAAAATAAAAATTTACTTTCTTGATAAGAACATCAAAGTTTTAGAAAAGACAGAATCTTTCACGCAAGGGTACAATCAGGGTTCTCTTCTAACACATCACTTCTTCACAGCTTGCATAAATGAAATCAATCAAATTTGTTCAGTCTACCATGGGAGACCACCTTTCATTCTGATAAGATCTATACCTAATGGTTTAAAAATTGTCTTTAGCAGCTAACATTTCTCTGATGTTATAATATAGCACAGTAAAGATTAATGACTTAATCAAATTCTATTCAAAAACCAATTCTCTAACTGCATAAAAATTTCACTCATGTTATTTGCAACAATATACTTCTATCAACATGGGGTTCTACATTTGAATTAGTTGGTTATTAAGCATCACAATTAGAATGAGTAGCATCAGTGGAAGCCAAGTTATGTGTATTGATGTAGCTGTTAAAATTTTGCTAATTGATGAGTGTGAATTAATTCAGCTATTGTAAGGCAGTACACAACCTTCCAAATATCAAGTGGATGTATTGTCAAGTTAAGATTATACGAACTGTAAGATCTGTCAAGGTGCTAGATGTCAGCTCAGAAGTTAGCACTCTACTTTGGTAATAAACATTTCAGCACTGTGTCAAAAGATAATACAGAATAGCTTTAAGTGAGACATGGAACACCTTTCTTAATCTTTTAGTACAATTTGGTGTAAGGATATACACATGGATTATCTTTTTTCTGAAGTGTTTATCTAAACATACATTTTTTTAAACTTCTGAGATGCTTAGTATCCCTATTTATTACTTTGTGTATTCACTACTTTATGTAAATGTTGTTACTTTAAACCTTGGGTTGATTAAATGCATAAGGCAGTTTTAACTAAAACATTTACATATCTTGTTTAAAATCAAAAGAACAAATACAAAAATTTGTAATGAATCAAATAAATTTCTCATCATTCACAGAAGATTGATGGGATTTAAACTGATGTTGACATTGAACTCTTTGATTCCAAGAAAAAAATGTGCAATTTGAGATACTCCACATCAACTTTTCAGGAGAAAACTGGAATTAATAATCAATAAAAAAAAACCCAGTTAAAGCAGTGGAAGAGTTGTCATGGTGCTGTGAGTAATTTCCTGTAATTCTACCTCTATAATAATGTTCTACAGATTCCATTATCTTTATTTTATTGGTCACACCAACTGTACACTCACTTTATAGTTTAATACCAGTATAAATGATTACTACTGTTCATTAGAAAATGAGATCTGGGATATAAAACATGGATCTGTCAAAGCAGATTGTATTTTAATAAATAATTCCATTGTTTCATAGAATAAATCAATAACATATTTATCACTGGTCAAACAATGATCAAGATACCTGTAGTATTAAGTGCATACATATGTGTGACCAAAGTCCAGATAAATATATACATGTATGCTAATTAACTAAAAATATTTGTTGGTGAGGTTTGTGCGTAAATGAAAACTTTATTGACCATCGTTTAATGATAACAATAAACAGTTTATTTTGATGTAACAAATGAGAAGGAGGACAAGTATATATTAATATATTAGTTCATAGTAAATATAAGATATTTATCCTCTAATTCAATATTTAATACAACATACAAAATCAATGCAAGCTGTTGTTTGAGAGAAACTTACAACCAAAAGTTAAACAACATGTTCCAGTGATAGTAATGTTTTTTCTGGGTCACTTCTTCAAGGCAAAAATATGCTTTAAATACATGTAATTTTTTCAGTTTATTCATAATTCATTATCTCATGTAAATTTTTTTCTATGATTGAATTTGCATACATGATATAAAGATAAAATGACAGCTCTAGGTAAAGTGACTACACTGTATCAAGTATATTACCCGTACATAAATCTAAAGAATGTAGTTTTCAGTTTATTCATAAAACATTATCTCACATTATCTCTGAATTGAATTTGCATACATGATATAAAAATTCAATTAAAGCTCTAGGGTACATAATTGAAAGAATGTCCGTATTTAAGATAAGAGATATTGAATGATATATGACCACAAAGATTCAAAGAATGTTTGGCCATGTGCCTGGGTAAATAACGCCTTCTTTTTAATCTAACTGGTAGTTAACGCAATAAATGTCATCCCACCAGCCAACTGTCACCACCGTAAACTCATATTAATAATAAATTTATTTACTACAGTCTTCAAAACTAACCTAACCATAAAAATATTAGTTCATTTTACTGTCTTAGATGAAAATTTCAACAACAACATTTTGGGGGATTAGAAAAAAAAATATTTCTCACTGAAATTTTTTTTAAACTTCCACATGGCATGCATAGAATATTATGCTGCTTGTAAGTGTCGGTGTTCTAATAATCTTGTAAAATTTACACAGATCACTTTGACAATCGTTATTACAAAAAAAACATATTCAGATACAAATAATATATTTTATTTTGTTTTGTATAGGTGTCAATATCATAATTGATACTAAAATGTCACTTTCCATATCCGCATTCTAAAAAAATGTTTTTTTTTTTTTATAATGAATATCATCATAAGATACTATGTAAAACTGTCATTATCAATGCAGCCTGTATCAAAATATCAATCATTCATAAAAATAAGTTATTGTCAACATACCTTAACCCTAAGAAAATTTTTGGGTAGACGCATATTGGCAGTTAATAAATTATAATCCAGTTCAGAGTTTGGTAAATGAGACAAAAGTTCCTCGAAAGTTATCAGTACATGTTGAGAGCCTTGTTACATGTTGCTAGTCTGGTGTGTTCTTTTTAACTGTACATTCCATACAAGATTGAGGGAAGGCCAGACACCACTGATAATCACTATTATTAGATGGCTCACTGACCAATCAGATCACAGCTCTACCACCCGTCT